ATAAAAACCTAAAAATCAATGTCGAATGTCCTAAGAGTGATGTGTCCACATTAGTCTATACACGTAGTATCACCACTAAACTACTATACAGTGCAAAAGTGTGAACGTGTTCATCTTTTCAAACCGTGGACGAAAAATACCAGAGAACAAAAGAGAACAATATCGTCCACGATTCCCAGCATACGTCCCCGATTGGGGTCGTGTTCAAAGTCTTCCTAAAAAGAGTACAAACAAAAGAGGGACAATAGGACGTCCATGATCGACGGTGAACACATGTTTGTGTGTGTGTGTTCAAAAATTGTTCACAAACAGGCAGCAAAGTTGCCTCCTCTGCGAAGTAGTTGAGACGAACCCTCACTAGCACACTGGCTAGCTTTTCAGAAGCTTGCTCCGATTAATTTGGTACACTGAAGGCAACATACAGGATGTATTTTTTCCTGGTAGAATACAAGTAGACAGACGGACTATTTATAACTCGGCCTTATTGGTGTGGCATGGGGGGATTACTCAGAATACCAGCCGAAAGAGGGCAACTTCTAATACTTCTCAACAGATTGAAATTAAGGCTTTACAACTTTGGTATTTGGGGGGGGGGGGGGGGAAAGGATCTGGTTCTCAGAACAAAGTCAAATCTCTGGAGTCTGGAGTACTTGCAGTTGCCATCTGAGTGAATTTGTTAAAAGGTCGCAGCCGGTTGACCTCTAGGCTTGTCTAAAGGTCAGAACTTTAACCCATCTCAATAATTTTGGAATGTGCCAAAAACTTAGGGCCCCCCCCCCCCCACCACCACCACCTCACAAGAAGTTGAACCCAACAGTTGATTGCATTTGGGCCGAATTACTTCTTTTTTTTCTTCATGAAGGACCGTGTCACGGAAAACCTGCTTTTTGAAATCAATAGGCCTATTTTAGTCCTCCAGATTATGGCACTATTTGACAGTCAGGTGTTAATAATCTGTTGCTAGGTGTAAAGTTGATTTTTTAATGAAAATTGATACCCCCATGAAATGGATGAAGTTAAGGCTTTATGAATCTCCGACCGTCTACCGTCCTACATTTGGTCAGGGTGGTCTACCGGTACTTTTTAGCCGTAGGCTAAACGGCAAACTTTTAAAATTACGAAACTCGAAGTGGACACTGTTGAGGTTTGCCCAACTCATTGTTTCCCCATATCTTTGTGCTGTTTCATATGGAGTACTGAAGTGAATACGTCACTTGCACACAATGTGTGTAAAAGACATCAGCGCATGATTCAGCCCGAGAACCAACACGCGGGCGTACTCCATTCGTTTGCACTACACTTTCTGGTTCTAAGTGACGTCACACTTCGATACTCCATACCCTTTTAACTCATTGTCATGTTCAACAACTCATTCAACAATTTTCCTGTAATTTTACAGCTTAACGTTTTCCTCCGTATAGCATAAATACATTCACATATTATGTACCTGTAGGTACAATTAGTTCATGTCCATGCTTTGCCTTTGCAATGGCATTCTGTTTATTTTCTCTTCTCACTTTTAATGCTGTTTTTACATTGCAGATCTTGGAATAAAACTTGCTGCTCAGTCAGCCCTTGCTTATGTCATAAAATCGTGATCATTTCTTCCCATCTGAAAATGCCACTAATCACATGATGTTGATTTTACAGCGAGTATCCACCAAGATTGCTGTTAAATTAACATTTGTTAATCTGGTTTTTTTTTCATTCAAGAGAGAACAGGAAGATGATTTGAAAACCTTTCAACAAAAAATGTACATTTCAATAGCACGGCCCTGGAGTTTTCCAATTTATTTCCTGTCAAAACAAAAATGTTAAAACTGGCTACAGAAAGTCTACAGGCATCCGGTTTACCGGTACTATGTTTTTTCAACAGACCATTGAGTCAAGCTCTTTTTTGTGTGCACATAGCAGACAGGCTACCACAGGAAGTGCTTGGCTAGACAAAGATAATGTTTTCTTTATTAAAAGACCCAGTCAATGACTTCCTTCATAGCTTTTAGTCCCCCCCCCCCCCGAAAAAAACTGATAAAAAGGTGAATGTCTTTTAATTTTGCTGGCCCCAGAGAGCCAGCCTAAAGTCCTCTGTACCTATCCCACCAACTGACTGACAGACTCCCCGACTAACTGCCCAAAATGACTGACTGACGGAACGATGGACAAACCAACAGACCCTCCGACCAACAGATCGTAATGTCAACAAACTTACAGACCGACTGACTGGTTGTCACTTGTGACTTGTTTCTGGTTGTTGGCTGGTGAAGAGGAGTCGGGCAGTGTATAGGAGCATCCCGTAAATCCAAAGAACTGTTTACATGCAGGGTTTGCCAGCCAGCCGGACAAGTGAAACAGACTCTTATCTACCCCACATACCTTTTCACTAGTCTGCAATAGAATTCACAAATGTGACCGGCTCCACAAAAAAGGGTATTAAGTCGCGCTGTGCATTATTGTGTAATGGCCTGCTCAACATTGAGAGGGTGAACATTTTTGTCAAAATGTGATTTTCATTTTCTGTCACAGAAATGTTGATTTTGATGAACAAAGTGGAAAAAACAACCATTTTGTGTACATCGTTCTGTTGTTCTACAACAAAGCCAGCTATTTCAAAGCCTGTTTTCTCAGTTGTGTAATTTGAACTCCAAGGAAGTAATTAATATGCAAATACATCATATCACCAGAACGGGAGGGGCTATGGTGCTCTATTATATACCGAATGAAAGCTTACATTGTGGGCTTTCCAACCAGGTATATAACTTAATTTCAACTTTTTAACTTTTTTGCGACATAATACACCTTTTTTTGTGGAGCTGGTCACAAATTTTTGCAACAGAATGTCACCAACAACAGTGTCATTGACAAGGATTTTGACTCGCCAGGCTGACTACTTTATTAGGGAATGATTTTTACTAGTTTGCCGCTTTTTCTACTCGCTTTTGGCCAGCAGACGACCACTAAGGTCGAACCCTGACAAATCCGGCCCATTGTGGAGACCAGATGCACAAATGACTTCCAGTTAATCGTCATTCTGAATCAATTGATTAGAATCCTGTACACTTTGACTGGTCAAGGACCATCTTCGCCAGGCTTGTTGCCTGGTTTTATTTATTCAACTGTTTCCCTTCGCTAGCATAAAATGGTTTTGGTGGATTTGTTTTCCCACTGACAAAATCAAATACAAAATCGTACACGTCTCTGTCATAAAATGTTAAGTTTTTACTTTTTTCTGTATTCTGTAAAGTACAGTACGTCAATGTGTATGACAGAATTTAACATGAGGTCGACAACTAGAACTTTGTATTGAATGATGTGATTGTAGTTTGAACTGGCTAAATGAAGGTTATGGGTTAGAATCCCACTTGTTGATTCTGTTTTTTTTTTCTTTTTTCTTTTTTTGGTGGAAGGAACTCAGTCCAGACACACAAGCCCGCAGTTTGTTACGGGTAGATGGATGGAAGAAAGTCAAAAGTTGCCATCAAACTATTTTTCCTGCTTTGATGCTTTTCATTTATTCACGATTACTTTTCATGACTTTATGGCTGTTCATACCAAACTAACAATTTGTTCCATTATTGAAGTCTTGATCTCATCCACAAAATCTGCTGGAACCAGACTAAAATTACCAAATAAACTAACGTGTGAATCAATGAGGTGTTTCACGGTAATTTGCGCCATCTTTGTTCACGGGGCAAAAAGAGCACGTGTTGCTAGACGCCGGCGCATTTTGGAATGACCGCATGATGACTTGGAAGCGCCAAAGTTTTCCATTGATGATGCGTACACAGCAATGCGTGTTAAATTGCCCTGCGAGCAAGATGGCGCATATTACCGTGAAACACCTTAATGTGTTTCAATGGTGTTTGGTCTTGCACCTTGACTTCTCCAAACTGACTTAACCAATCTGACACATCTATTTTTCTGAACTGGTTGATATTCTCTTTTCCCATGGTGTGTCCTTCCGTGACCCAGTTTCTAGTCCAAAAGGGCCCCCCCCCCCTTTCATCGATCGGTGTTTTTTTTTCGTGGAGTGAATTCCCAGCATTCAATGGCGCGTGCACGTCACAGTTATCGGTAGCAAACGAAGCGTGTGATGGCAAACACCCCACCAACCCACCCAAACATGCTGGTGTGATGGCCTTTTTTTTATCCCCAACCCATTAAAGGGACTTTCATCATCAAACCAGGTCTTTTTCTAACCATTATTAAAGGGATGTGCATGAAAATCATCAGCTGTAACTTTGCCTATAAAACATTTTTTTTGTCTAATGCCAAAAAACAATTGTGTGTTAACAGTAATGCTCAAAAATAATTTTGGTTGGAAAATATTTTTAATCTGTAACTTTTTTTATGTTTGTCTTTTGTTCATTTTGATTTCTTGAAGAAAAATAATAATAATAAAAACCCACATGAATTTACAGATTCGTTTTAAAGCATACATTTTTGCTAAGCAGTAAGCTTTGTAACGCCTAGTTTCCATATCGAGGCAAAAAACGCGGAGAGCAACGCAAGCAAGACCAATGCAAGCAAGACCCAAACTACAACACAGACACTTCATCTGCAAATGTCAACGACAACCCAGACAGACGCAAACTGTCTCGCCGACAGTCGGCAAAGTTCAACCCAGTTCAACTTTGCCGACGGTTCCACACACTGTCTGCGCAGTCTGCATAAGCTTAACATGGATATGGAAGCTAGGCTTAAAATGTGTCCAGCCAAGTACCGGTACATGAAAATAGTTGTTGTACATGACCTTTTTTTGTCTGGGTCAAGTTGCTTATTCTTTAATTTCTGAATGTCTATCTAAGTTGCACTTGGATGACCCATCAGATTGAAAAGCTGTTCTGTCTTTTTAAAATTCTTTCAAAGATAATTAAGCAGGCTTTTCACTCAAATAATTTCATATGTGAAAACGTTGCTAGGACATATGGAAAAAGGGGTGTAAATACAAAAAAAATTGTTTTAAGCAGGTAATGTACACAATTGTTGGTTTCTGTACACAGCCATCACCCCTTCACCAGTCCCCGAAACGACAACCACGGAGCAGCCTCCGCGGTGCTCACCGTCCGAAGCCACGTGCAGGAACGGCCAGTGCATCCCCCTCCAGTACCGTTGCGATGGGTCTCTGGATTGCTCGGACGGCTCGGATGAAAGCAATTGCCGTAAGTCGTCCTCTCCCTATCTCCCAGTGTTGTACATGAATACAGGGCGAGTCAAAAAAAAATAAAAAAAAAAAAATGTCGGGACCATGGTTTTAGTACAGCTCTGCATGTAGTACTTTAGAAATCTACGATAGGATATGAAAGCCCAATTAATAAGCTTTCTTTTAGTACAAGAAACATTCGAATCACTCATGTAATTTTTAAGTTGCGGAATTTTAAACACAACCACCGTTTTAAAGTTCTTTCCACGGATCACAAAAAGGTAAGTGTTCTTTCAGCAAAATGAAAACGAATCACATAGGGATGTATGTGAATTGTTTTCCTTTTGCTGAAAGAACGCACACCTTTTTCGTTATCTGTGGACGGAACTTTAAAACGGCGGTTGTGTTTAAAACTCGGTAACTTGAAAAGTACATTAGTGATTTGAATGATTCGTGTACTAAAAGAAAGCTTATGAATTGGGCTCTCATGTCCTAGATTTTGAAAGTGCTACATATATGCAGAACTTCACTAAAACAATGGTCCCGACATTTGGGTTTTCGGGTTTTATGACTCGCCCTGTATTTTTCAAAATTTGAGGGGAAAAAAAACCCACAGGATTCAAACTTGTTTTCTGGTTCATCTCATAGCTGAGGAGGTTGATCGCAGGGATTTATGTTGGGAGCTACAAGCTGTCCTGTTAATAATTTGTTTTTGAAAATCTTCTTCTTTTTTTTTTTCTTCCAGCGTCCGCGGGTTGCGAGCCCAATGAGTACCGGTGTGCCAGCGGCTTCTGCATCCAGAAGATCTGGGTGTGTGACGGGGATGATGATTGTGAGGACGGAAGTGAGGAACTTAACTGTCGTAAGTTCTCTATTTTTATCGATTTATTTTATAATATTTTTTTTGAATTTGCTTTGTTTTTATTGGGCAAACAGGTTGGTGAAATAAGAGGCATTTCTCTATTGGTCACTGTTTTTAATTATCTTATATTATAGTTATATTTGGCATTAAATCGTCGTGTGAAGCATACAGGCATATTTCCTCCAACTAGTGAACACTAAAAACGCGTGCTTATATTTTCAGGAAAAAAAATGCTTACTGTAGCATATGCACGGCTCTTTTTATTGTTGCATCATTTTTTGTATGGAAATTCTGCATCTAAAGATAGTGTGCTATTGGCTTTACTTACTTCGTACAATCTTATAACAAAGTAGCATGAGGCTCCATCGACCGGACATAATTTGCGTGGAAGTTCCGTTTGGTCGAGTCCAGATTAAAAAACGCACAACATTTACTGCCGTTTACTGCACCTTGCCAACAACTGCCAAATTCTGTGATTGAAAATAGTTTTACCATATGTCTCCCTCTGGTTTGTCAACAGCCGTGGCTGCTCCTGGTGCCCCGTGTGCCTCTACCGAGTTCCAGTGCTTGAACACGGTCACCACGCAGTGTATCCCCAAGGCCTACCAGTGCGACAACGACTTTGACTGCGAAGATCGGTCCGATGAGATTGCTTGCAGTAAGTGGGGAACAGTCAGCTTGGGATGGTGGTGTTTTCTTCCAGAGAAGCCAATTTTCTGGCTACAGACCAATTTTGGGGGACAATTAGAAGCCGGTTTTAAAGCCAGAGTCCATCATTTGCAGTAATTCAAAAAGTAACTGGCGTAATTATTGTTGAAAAACATACTTGGTTGAAAGATAGTAAGGGGACTAAACTCCCTGTGAAATTATTCTTTCTGGCAAGCTGTCATTTTGAAGAAATCAACGAAAGAAGGCCTTTCCACCGTAGGAAATTTCCGTAAGTAGTTTTTTTTTTTTATTCGGCGAAGCACGTGCAAGCGTTGGCACTACGCACACGCGAGCGCGGTTGCTATAATTCGTTGGATCGGTGCGCGACATCACGTAGCTGCATTCGGCTCAGTGAGAACGTGTCTCGGACGCTGAATTCAGGCCTAATTCAAAACATGATTCAGCAACTTTTGTTATGAAATCGGATCCTAGAATGCTGTTTTACTCAGAATATACAGCTGAGGCTGGGCTGAAACTTCATCAGGTTAGTTGTTCAACACACTTCTTCAGATTTTTAGTACGTTTGTTGCTTCAAACGAACAAAATGCACAAGTTACAAATGATGGACTATACCTTTAAAGACAAGGCTCTTACGCATTTTGGTAACACTATTGGACCAAGGAGCCCGGAGTGCGTACTACCTGAGTGCGACTCGCGCAAGCCTGGTTCCGCCTCAGAAAATGACTTTTAGTTTTGGTCGCCAAATTGCAGGATTCCAGCTTTTTCATGTTCTGTTGTTCAGCCAAAGGGAAAATCCGTTGCCCGTTGGTTTGATCTTTAATACTAATAATCGTAGTGCTTAGTGCTCTCCATCGTATCAACAATCTCTTTACAATTATTAACCTGTTCTTCAGGCCATGAGACCACGCCGATATCAGTGCTCAATCGGTCTTCGACCCTCACGGGTACCCATTTATACTCCTGGGTGGAGAGAGGCAATTGTAGTTAAGTGTCTTACCCAAGGGCACAAACACCATGTTCCTGACAGGATTCGAACCCACGCACCATCGTGCGTGAGTCACCGTAACCACTGGACCATGGCGCTCAAGAGCCACTAATATGCAAATTAATTACGTGTTAGATTTTGTCAGCATGCTAGACTCATGGGGGGGGGATGTTAACCAAAACTGACTTCTTGTCATTCGTTGTTACAGCCTCGCCCCAGGTGGTACAATCGCCCATCTCACCGGTAACCGTTACCGTAGGTGCAACGGTGGTCGTCACCTGCATCGCCCTGGGCAACCCAGTTCCCATCATCTCATGGCGTTTCAACTGGGGTCCGTTACCAGACGCATCAAAGGTACTAAGACTAATATTTATTCATACATTTTTTTTTATTGATTAGAAGTTTTCAGAATAACTGTCATTGTTCAAACTTTTAACCTGGAGGTTTTCAAGCAATTTTTGATCTCAAAATGTTGACAATTTGGAGTAATTTCAAGCACTTTTTGATCCAAAAATTTTGACAATTTTGGGTGCGGGCTGTTTTTATTAGAGGTTTAAAGCTTGATGCGTGAGTTTGCATTATTATAACAACCCAAAAGTCAAGCTGACACCAGAGTCCACAGTGTGTTCAGGCATCTGTCTACACATTGGACTGCACTAAGCCTAGTCATTGGCGTAATTGGGTAATCCTATATGATAGCACTGCCCAGCTCACAAGTGGCAGTGAATCAGTGTGTCTGACCCCCTCTAGGACCAGCAGAATCTATCTCACATATCTGGCTGCCTTCATCGTGTTCATGTCAACCGTTGTTTTCAATCTTGTAGGCCGTGGCAACCAGTGAGAACGGCCGCGGCACGCTGACCATTTACAACGTCCAGGAGAGTGACCAAGGGGCGTACACCTGTGAGGCCATGAACAGCATCGGCTACCTCTTTGCCATCCCGGACGCCATCGTGATTATCATTCGTAAGTTTCCTTCAAAGAGTGTTGTTCGTTTTTGAATTTTCGTAACAGGAAAAATTGTTATTCCACAACCTTCTTGTGGATCCACAGACATTGTGGATCATCCACAATTTTCCATGCTCGCTAAAATTTGAAATTGAAGCCATATTTGGGAATTTTAATTATGTCATTCAATCTTGTTGATCCACAACAATATTTGAACCCTCAACAGTGCTGTGGACTAGCAGTCGTCTATGGATGCACAGGCCATTTTGTGGATCCACAGGCCATTTTGTGGATCCACAAGCCATTTTGTGAATCCACAGACAATTTTGGTGAATCCACAGACCATTTTATGGATCCACTGGCCATTTTGAGAATCCACAGACCATTTTGTGTGTCCACAGCCAATTTTGTGGATACACGGGCCGTTGTGTTGATTCACAGGTCACTTCGTGAATTCACTTGCCATTTTGTGGATCCACAACCATAAGATTCTTAGTGCATCCCTTAGATTGTAAGTTCCACATTAAATCCGTGTATGGTAACTTATAAATATTCATTTCATGTAATGAATATTCATGATATTTTTGTACATACAGCTCCCGAGGGCATCTGCACAGGGTCAGTCTTCAACAAGGCCGCTCAGGTCCCCGATGACTGCATCGAGTGTTTCTGCTTTGACGTCACCAACAGATGCACAGGAAGTAATTACTACAGCACCCAGGTAAGCCATCAAAATGCATAATTCATGAGCACTAGGGTGGGTGTCATGAATTATTCATAAATTGGGGCTAGTCACAATTTTTTTTAGCAAACTTTGAAATCTGCGCATCAAAAACTTGTTACCTACCAAATTGACTAACAGAAAATGGATTAACAGATCTTGAACCCTCGACCTATTATATTACCATTCCAGTGCTCTACCGACTGAGCTATCAGCCCAATTTTGGTGGTTCCCCATTTCTTCAGTGTCTTTGTTCATGGGCGCTATTCAGAAGCCATAAAATTGTTAATGCCATGTGGTGCTGATACTATGTAAAATAGCTTTTCATCTTGTTGATCCACAGCAATATTGGAGCCCTCAACAAACCTGTGGACTGATGGTATTCTGTGGATCTGCCTGCCATTTTGTGGATCCACAGGCTTTTTTGTGGATCCACAGACTATTTTGTGGATCCACCTGCCTTTTTGTGGATCCACAGACTATTTTGTGGATCCACAAGCCTTTTTGTGGATCCACAGACTATTTTGTGGATCCACAAGCCTTTTTGTGGATCCTCATGCCATTTTGTGAATCCACAGACTATTTTGTGGATCCACAGGCCTTTTTGTGGATCCACAGACTATTTTGTGGATCCACAGGCCTTTTTGTGGATCCACATGTCATTTTGTGAATCTACCAGCCATTTTGTGAATCCACAGACTATTTCGTGGATCCACAGGCAAATTTGTGAATCCACAGACCATATTATTGATCCACTTGCCATTTTGAGGATCCACTGGCCATTTTGTGTATCCACAGCCAATTTTGTGGAACTTCAGGCTGTTGTGTAAAATAGCTTTCTAACCTTTTTTTTTGTCTGCCTAGACGAGCTTGGTCTTCAACAACAATGACGCCCGAGGCACACTGATCGGTTCTCGCTCGCGGGTGGACGGTTCGATTACCACCGTGGCCGAGACCTTCATCCAGGTCAATCCCAACACGGAGGAGGTGACGGTGCTGGACCTGAACCGCAGACTCCCGGCTGGGGACTACTACTGGGTCCTACCGGCCCAACTTCTCGGCAACAAGGTTGGGAAGTTTAGGTGTTTTTTTTTTTGCTTGTGGCATGAAGGAGACTTATAATTGTATCACAAGTATGGACTGACTTCTTGAGTTTCATGTGAACAGTAATCCTTTGGCCTTTCTATTTCACACTTTCCAAAAACACACATAGTTTTGCTTTAAAGTTTGAAATTTAAGCATCCTCAGTAGCAGCTTTACTTTCAGTGCAATTTGCTCCACAGTTTGATGACTGAAATGTTTGGGGAAATATAGACCCTTTCCATTCAGCAGCCATGATGGAGGTGCTTTTTGTTATTTCAATGCAGTAGCAATGAATACACAAGCGGTGTCCTCATGCGTATCCCTGTGGAGCAAAAGTGCACACCTCAAACATGACAGCGATGCAAAGGATCTTGAAAATCACTGGAACCAAAAATCGCCAAAAGCTTAACTTTTTTGGGCTGATTTCCCCTCCCCCCCCCTTTCCAGCTGACCAGCTATGGTGGCAACTTCCAGTACCAAGTTCGCTTTAACGCCGGCGCCGGTGGTCAGCCGATAGCTGCGGACCTCACGCCGGACATCGTCCTGGAAGGGAACGGCATCCGACTGACCTATGCCGTAGGCCGAAGTATGGAGGAATCGCGCTTCAATGAAGTCAGCGTGCAACTTGTTGAGGTGAGAAACAGGCGCCAGTATTAAGTAAGCTTCCCCACCCCTCAACCCCACCCCCACCCCAACACCCCAACACCCCCCTCCAAAAAAAGAGAAGAAATTTTAAGTATCCTTGAAATTTGCCGTTGATCAAGTTTTTGGGTGAATGATCTTTTTACGAGAATGGAAAAAAATTTAGAGAAAACTTCCAAGTTTTATTTATTTTAGAATCAGGTCCTCATAAAATAGTTCACAAAATACTGGTAGCCCTCGATATTTCAGTTGGGAACCATGCCTTGTAAGATTCTGGTGTCAAACGGTGTGAAGTTCCCCAAATACTTTCAACTTTGAATATTTCAGTTGAGTCGTGCCTAGTAGCATTCTGGTACCAAACTGTGTGAAGTATCTTTTGGGGTTTGAATCTTGGCAAGAGAAAATTTTATGATAATTGTGTCCATGGGCAAGAGTCTTTGCTGCAATGTGCTGCACTTTCTCTGGTGGAGTTCCTAAGCTCGATTTGGTGTTAAATGTATGTGCTTGCAGACAGGTCTTCAGTTTGTGGATTCGAACTTGTGTCGTATATTGGTTTGTTGGTTCTCGTTGTGTTCTCATTCAGGGGTAAATAATGACTAATATTATGACCCTTCACAGGACGGCTGGATGAGGGTGGAGGGTGACCAACAGACGCCGGCTACCAGGGAAGAGATCATGATGGTACTCCAGAACGTGGAGACCGTCCTCATTCGGGCTTCCTACAACACCAACATCAGAGACACCAGGTGAAACATTGCCGCCAAGTTCACATCAGTTACCTTGACGTTGCACTACCTATGCTCTTCAACATGATAGATTGTTTTTTCTCTGAACAAATTTTCAATTTGCATGTTATATTTAAACCCAATAAGCAACTTTGTTTCTATTTTGGCATTTTTAACAATGAGAACATTTTATTTGGGGTAACCTTTTCACCCATTACTCACAAAAAGATACCCGGTGCACCTGCATTGTTGTCAGGCAAATTTTTTTTTTAAAATGTGAAGTAAATATTCCATAACTAATCGAAGGCAGATTTTTCTTTTGTTCGATGTCTCACTCAAAAGTGAATAATTTTTTTTAATTTATTTATTATTCATTTCTGGTAATGAAACCAAGGATTCCTCAAAAGTGCCCTAGGCACTGTAGCTCGCAAGCCTGAAGAAACCCGTAGAGAAAAGACAATGAGGAGAAATTACAGTTTTAGAGGTGGGAGGAAAAGCCCAGAAGAATGTTTTGGGGAAAACCCACGGAATCAGGCAGGGACTGAAAACCCAATCCACATGTTGGCCCAGGCGGGATTCGAACCCGGGTCACAGCGGTGGAAGGCGAGGAAAGTACCGCTACGCCAACCTGACTCCCCTCACTTTTGTATGGCTAGAGAAAAACAAATTTGAAAAACAACATTCGTTTTTCGATGTGAAACTCAGATATAATATGGGGATAGCAACTTTACAGAGACTGTCGTAACTTGAGTCGGCAACTAGAAAAAATTTGAAATTTGGAAAAATTTGAATGTGCTGATTGTGATTTTGTTTCTACCGGCCCAGTCTCTCCAACGTTTACTTGGATGAAGCCCAGCCAGAGAACAACGGTAGAGAAGAGGTGACGATGGTGGAGAAATGCGAGTGCCCTCCGGGCTACACTGGCCAGTCATGTGAGGTAGGTTAAGCATTTTCATAAACAAAATTGTATTAACTCAAATCAAGTTCAAATGTGATCCTCCTGATGTGCAAATGCTGAGTCTATCACATGGTGGCTAGTAGGTAAAGCGCTCGCCATCTCACCACTGTGGCCCTGATTTCCGACTGCCGACCGTATGTGAGTAGAGTTGTGCGATGGTTCTCTCCTATGCCATGAGGGTTTTTCCCCCCTCCAGAAAAATCAAACCCTTTCGATCTCAGGCTATGCTCCGTGGTCGTATATATGGATCGATATTGGTTAAAGAATGCATATAAGGTGCAAGCTTGGCAATAGATTTTCTTCAATGTCCACATTTCAGCATTAACAGATTGGCTTCTCAGCAATTGTCAGCATTTTGCACTCTTTATTTTTGGCCGTGGTTCAATTCCTGATGGAGACTATGTGTAGACTGTCATTTCAGTCCTACCGTTTGTTAGGTCCCGGTATATTTCCGGTAGTTCTTTTCATGACTACAGTACTCATCAACCATTGCCATTTTCTTTCTCTCTTAGAACTGTGCGTCTGGATACTACCGTGTGCGCAACAACCGTTACTTGGGCACCTGCGAGGCCTGCGACTGCAACCGGTACTCCTACGAGTGCGACGCCGACACCGGCGTCTGCATCAACTGCCGCGCCAACACGGCCGGCAACAAGTGCGACCAGTGCGCCGAGGGTTACTATGGCGACCCGCTGTCGGCCATTCCTTGCCTGCCCTGCCCGTGCCCCCTTACCGTGGACCCCAACCAGTAAGTACACGGATTGGCTGATGAATTTGTGAGTGTAATTTCTTAATTTTCTTTGGCTGGTCTCAGAGGGTCAGCCAGGTGTCCGCTTTGTCTGGCCTGTCGCCAGGGGGGGGGGGGGGTGCGAAGAGGGGTCGGGCCTCCCTGACTAGCAACTGGCCCCCATCGGCAAAAAACGTAAAAATTATATACAAGTGTGTATTTTTCTTGTGGTGTGCCCCTACTTTGTACTGTGGCCCCCCCTAATGGCGACTCTGTAGCTACTGGCTCTTGGGAACAATACGCACTACGTGCAATGCTCAATGGGCACACCAGCATGCATTTCCACACATACAGTGCCATGTAACGAGGATGATCCTAAACTGTCGAATCCCATTCACCATGGGCGACTGTGACTTTTTGAGCCCCGGCGTGAATGGGAGCTATAATGAATGTCACATGATGTGAGTTCCACCAATCAAATGACAAGGATCTGTGTGTCAGCTATATAAAATGATGTATTGAATGTGAACACACCCACTTTGCGTAATAGAAGTGCATGTTAGAGGTCAGAGTTCATAGGTCACATTTTTTTGATGTTGGCTGCAGGTTCTCGCCCACCTGTTACCTTGACAACGATGGCTTGGTGACTTGCAACGCCTGCCCGCAGGGCTACGACGGGCGCCGGTGCGAGACGTGCTCGCCGCAGTACTCGGGCGAGCCTCTCAACCTGGGCAGCTCTTGCGTCCCAGAGGGGAAGAATTGCAACTCGCAGGGCACGTCGGAGCTGATCGGGGCCGAGTGTGATTGCAAAGTGAGTATAGAGGGCTGCCTCACGACCCGGCCTACATCCGGGATACCGGAAAGTCAGCGACGCCATTGTAGTAGGCATATATCATATAGCACAGCACGCAGTAGGCAAGCCTTCAAAACTCTGATGGACGGCAAAACCTTTACGGAAAAATCTCAATAATATCCAAAAATGAACTGTAAAGATAGTTTGATGGTAAATGCTCAAAGGAAGTTTGAAGGGAATATACATCATTTGCTTTTACTGTAATTTTCAGAAATAGATGGAATTGGGGGGGTTGGAAATATATATATAGCAAATATAGTTACACTGACTTTTTTGAGGTTTTGGGTTCGAAAATGCTATAAAGACCAAGAAAAACAACCATTTTCCTGTAGTCTGGTTCCCTGACTCCATATAAAAAGAAACAGAGCAGTTTACATACATTGGGGAATTGTAAGGTCGGGGAACCAGTCTAGCTGGCTCGTACCCGTTCATAGTTTTGTTATCGATTGCACACAAGTGCGATGGTCAATTGGGGCCAGTATTTTTTAAAAAAGCCAGTTTTTTCCAACGCTGATCGGCCGATCAGCGTTGGAAATTGATACAAAAATACCACTTTTCTTGAAAATGACAGTATACCAGGTGCCATGATTTTACAGGATGCTTTACACTGTCATTCACTAACAGTCCAGCAAGGTATTTCAAAATGATTTGGTAGTTTTATTTTTTGATGATTGCAAATGTTGTATTTTCCCTTTAAAGGTAATGTTCAACATTTGCAAACATCGAAACACAAACCTAACAAATTATTATGAAATGCCTGACTTGACTGTAAGTGAATGATAGTCTCAAGCATCCTGTGAAATTGTGGCACCTGATGTGCTGTCAATTTCAAGAAAAGTGAAATTTGTGTATTGCAATTTTTGCAATGATGGTTGGCAGACCATTGTTGGAAAAAACTTTATTTAAAAAAAAGCTAAAAAGTTATTTTGTTTGCAATCGGTTACACATCCATGAATGGTACAAGTCAGCTTGTCTGGTTTCCTAACTAGGGTCAGGGAACCAGACTACAAGTAGAGCCTTTTGTCATTGGTTTTTGCAGCATTTATGAACACAAAACTTAAAGTGGCCAGCGTAACAATATTTGATAAATCCATCCATTTCTGAATATTAAAGCAAAAGCAAATGTTGTATTGTACCTTTAAATCTGTGTCATTAATACAGCTTTCAATTTAAAATTCTCAGAATGACAAACACATACAAAGTTGACTTAATCAATTTTTGTGACATCCACCTTTTCAGGACAATGTCCGCGGCGAGGAATGCGATCGCTGCCAGCCGTTCACGTTTCATCTCAACAGCGACACACCGGACGGCTGCATTGCGTGCTTCTGTATGGGAGTCACGAGGGACTGCTCTAGTACTAATCAGTACAGATCCCAGGTAGGGATATCCGTCCGAATTTGAAAGCTCAGTATTGTGTGCTTGGCCGGTTTTAAACACTCTATTTAAGACCGGTTGGAGTTTGGATCCTGATAATTACCAGTCCAAAAGGCAAAACAAGTAAAAAAAATTATGAATTTCCAACAATTTTACTTCATGTTTATCGTAACACCCCTGCAGCTATATTATTGCAGTTTCCATGTTGTAAACAATTCCTTATATGGAGATTGGCACGTGCAGCTAGTGTAATGCGCGATGTTGTGCAGAATGCAGCTGTGCCGGTGTAGTGTGAATTTAGGACTATGAATATGAAATACTGTTTCACTGGTAGTATTGTGCATGCCTACGTGAGGATTGTGAATGTTCAACCAATAAAACGGTAAAAGGCACCAGATTTCATAGGAGTCCAAATTTCATGTGACACTGGAAAAGTGTTTAAGACCAGCCAGTCAGTCTTTATCCACCGTTTTAAACCAGCCACGGGACAAGCTCTTGACCAATAGGAATGGATAAACTGTCTTAGGTATTTATGAATATGATTTTAAGTTGCTGTATGTACGTAATTTTATTTCTTTTAATTTGTTTGTGGTTGTAATTTTTAAAACTATTTCTCATTCTATGCCATTTTAAAGTTTGTGTTATTGTTTTTAAAACATAAGATGCAGAATTTCTTGTTTCTTTAATCATGTTGGATAATAAATGAATTGAAACGAAAATGAAATGAGTTTTGTAAAGATGTTTGGGACCGACATCTTCTCTGTTTTCAATCATCGGTGATGCTGTTTTGCTAATGGGTTCAATTTTATGGAGCCGCAAAGCAAAGATGAATTTTTCTTGGAAAATTATTTGTTTGTGCTGCGCTCATTCTTTCATTTTTTGTGTGTGTGTTTTATTTGAATCAAATTAGGTTTTGTCCTTCACCGACGTATAAACACTGTTTACTCAGTGTGTTACCTTCTGAGTGAAAGTTGGAAAATTCACTCGGGTGGGACTCGAACCCACGACCTCCTGCTTTCTAGTGCAGATGTCTTACCACTCGTTCACCGAGCTAATGGGATCGGTTGGCTGGTTCGAATCTGATGTACATAGCAGCGGGTACTGCATAAACTATTATAAGATGGATTTTTTTTTTTTTTTTTTTTTTTTTTATAAATTTTTTTTTATTTGGTTAATTTTTTTCTGTAGATTTCAGCCGTTTTCACCCAGAACACCCAAGGCTTTGTCCTGTCAGACAGCCAGGGCACGATGGTCATTGAGCAGGGTCTGTCTGCCAACCCGGCCTCCAGGGAACTCGCCTTCAGCAACTTCAGGCCGTTTGGATCCCAGACGTTCTACTGGAGTCTACCCAACTCTTTCACTGGTGACAAAGTGAGCGCACAGAAAGAATGAAGTCTATCCTTTGAATTTTTTTATTGTTTCCTTTTCGAATTACAGTTTTCAAAATAATCCAATCGACTGGGTTTATTTTGTGTGTCAATTGGGAATTGTCTTGGACAGTGTCAATAGGGATGTGCATTTATGGGTAGTGTGGGAATCCGGTACCCAATTGAAAAAAAACACGGGTACCCGTTTTAGAAGCCCACCCCCAAAATTGAAATCCCCAAGATAATGCTACTACGTCGGTGCTTAATACAGCAAAATACGAGAGTGTACAGTGAGCTCCTTAGCTCTTTGGTGATAATGCCAGCGTCATAAAAATTAATCTGTTTTGTTTTGCTACCGGTATGTAGCCTGGTTATATCTTGAAACTTCCCCATCATTGGCAGTCAAAACCTTTCTTTCTTGTTGTCTGAGAAGTTAATAAGTAATATGTAAAGTTATTTACGGTTATTCGATTCCTTAATTTGGAACCGGTTCCTGACATACGGTACTGGTACCCGGTTCCAATATGATGTATAAAATCTACTTTTTGAAAAGACGAGCCTTCAAAAGGACTTTGTTGCATATTGTTAACGTTTAAACTAAGATTTCATTGCTGGTGATGTTTGAAGACAATTGTGACGACGATTGTTGAAATCGCATTTTTTGGACGAGACAGGTTTTGGGGTCATTGGGTTTAATTGGTGATATTCTTTGAACGGATTGACCAATTTCAGTAATTTTTCCATCTAAAAGTAGCTTATGAAATTGGCTTTCCAGTCATTATTATTTTTGGTGCTACATATTTTTTTAAATATGAAATATATTGTTTGGGGTTTGGGTTCCGCTTTTTTGACTCACCCTGTAGTTTAGAGATGGAACTTTTTTGAGCTTTTTGGCTTCTCTGTATGTGTGGTCATTTACATGTTTATTTGAAGCCTTCACTTTTATGAAGTGGTTTTGATTAACTCTAACAGAACTCAACCTATCAAACCTCAATGGCATGTATTGTTGGAATCTGCCAGGATGGGTACAGTACCCCTAAACTGACAGTCTTTTACATTGGGTTGGCACACCTCCAGAATCAAAGTCAGAAATATGTGTGTGCAGTTTCCCATATGGTGTTGGAATTTGCGAGGGTGGGTATGGTTCCTACTAAACCACGCTAGGGAGTTAAGGTTATACAAACCAAACCCCCCCCCCCCCCAAAAAAGGAGTACTTCCTTTGTCTTAAATCCTCAAGTATGTGCATCGATTTCACCCCAGAAAATGTTCTTTTCTTTCATTTTTGAATCTTGGAACTTCCAGGAACCATGCTTCATATCATGAAATGTCTCTCTATTTTATTCGTAGGTGTCTTCGTACGGAGGCAATCTACGCTACACCATCCTCTTCCAACACGGCGCCGGTGCAAGTTTCTCCAACAACGAGCCGGACATCCTCCTTATTGTAAGAGCACAACAAACTGTAGGAAAATATACCCCCTGGGGTTAGGACAATGTTTGTAGTCGAGATACATGGCTCATTTTGACATTTGAATATACATGTATGCAAATATGACATTTGAATATACATGTATGCAAATATGACATTTGAATATACATGTATACAAATATGACATTTTGAATATACATGTATGCAGATATTGTTTTTTGTAAATAATAGAATGCTCCTTTCCTTTCCATTTTGCAATGTTTGCCCCCCCCCCCAAACAAAAAGTCTGGCAATTTTGGTCTCGGTTTGTCAGGTTGGTCCTTCACCAACGGCATGACTTTGTTGAATTCTTTAACACATGTATAAGATCTCATGTTTATTTTGGCATAATCGCAGGCGCGGTTCTAGAGCCAATATTTTTGGGGGCTAGCAGGGTGGATCCAGAATTTTTTTCAAGGAGGCGTGCTGAAATGTAGACCGGTTATTTTCTCCAGACACTTACATGTAGGCCTCCGAAAATCAGTAAAGGGGGGGGGGTGTGCCATATTTTCAATGGGGAGCACTGATAAAATCCTACAATCAGGCACACTATATTAACTCAAAGTGTACAAATGCACCCTTCTCACTACTATTTATTAAGGGGGAGACTGTTCGCATGCACGTCACATTCTTACATTTTGCTTGTGCAATTTTTTTTTTTATTGAAATTTTTTTTGGGGGGGGGGCGCTAGACCAAATTTTTTTGGGGGGGCTAAAGCCCCCAAGCCCCCCCCCCCCGAACCGCCATTGCATAATAGTACTGCACAGAGTACTTGTCATATTTTAAATTCCAATTCTTTTTTATAATTTTCCATTTAACAGGGAAACGGAATCACGGCTAAGAGAGTACACCCAGACAGGCCCACAGCCAACAGCTACAAGACCTACTCTGTCCCTCTGATTGAGGTCAGTAGTCAGGGAGACGTATGTCGTAACTGTTTATGTTTTCTGAATAATACATATTTTTCTTTGAAGCTTTGAGCAAGTTCGGGGGCGAGGAGCAAATAGCAACGTACGAACGATACCTGTCAAGTGCTGGTCAAAACATCACAAAACTGCTTGATCCGTAGGCTTGTTCTAGACGTCGTGCTGCTGCCGTGCAGAACTCAATTAATTTGACTTTTTTTTTAGTTCTCCATGGCGATAGCACGGCGCTTAGAACCATTTGGCTCGGCGAATTGAGTTTGGCACGGCACCACCATGGGCATCGCCAGGATTTTTTCTAGAGGGGGGCAAAAAAAAAATTTTGCCAAAAAATGCTTGTATTTCTCAACACATTCTCGATTTATCAGTTTTAGAGGGGGGCAGGGACATTTGGCCCCCCCCCCCCAACTTATTAAATTTACACCACTTTGTCTTCGCGCCTTTTTTTTTTTTTTTTTTTTTTTTCCTTTTTCCTTTTTTTTTTTTTTTTTTTTTGCTTTTCCGGGGGGGGGGGGGGGGGCAAGTGCCCCCCCTTGCCCCCCCTCGCGACGCCCATGGGCACCACCCTTTGGCTCAACAGGTCTGCCGCGCTATCGTCGTTTCGAATGACTGTGGCACGGCGGTGCCGAAATCAAGTCAATTCAAAGTTGGGCAAACATTTTAGGAATGCGCATGCTCACAATAGCCTCTCTCACGTCCGCATCACGGGAAGTGAAAGTGATCGCGCTGAAATTTCATTGAATTGCTTCAACTGCTTTAACCTGGCCCATTACTCCAGATACATTAAGCAAGGTTCGACCTTAACTTGTTTGTTCACTAGCCAGCCGGGCTACTGAAACAGACTCTTAACTAGCCCGCGGGCATTTTCACTAGCCCGCATTTTTTTTTTAGCTCAAATACACAATGGCGCATTTTCAGGCTCAATTCTGAGGGCATTTTGTCAGTGTTTTTAATAAACAGATCTAATAATTTAACCTTTTAAAACAGTTGAAAAAACTAGACAAAAATTGATGAGGTTTACTTCCTGAATTAAATGATTTATTTCTATAATTAAAAATATTTTGACTCGCCGTCCGGGCTACTTAAAGAATAGTTTGACTAGCCCGCCGCTGTTTTGACCAGCATTTGGCTAGCGGGCAACCGCTAATTTTGAACCCTGTTAAGGTTTGACCATCACATTTGGCATTTAGAGTAACTGCAGTGCTGTAGACGCAATAGTGAAGCTACATGTATAAAATCGGCGTTGCGATTAAACATAGAAATCTCAGGGCCAACTTCTTATCAAACTTCTCAGCTTGGGTTGAGCCTCGTCTAACACACTTTGTGATTGGTCAATTTTTGTGCAGACGTACTGGAGTAGACTGGACGAGCAGCCAATCCAGCGAGAGTTTCTGATGATGCTGCTGGCCGACGTGGACCTGATTCTGATCAGGGCAACCTATGGCACGCCCACAACCTATGCTGTGTAAGGACAAAAGCTTGTTTGCTCAATTGAGAAATCTTATACATGTACATACATGTAATTTCTATATTTTAAATGCTTTCTTTAATTGTTTTTGATTGTCTTTGTACTTGGTACTTGGTACTTGGTTGGTTCTTCTCCTAAGGACTTCCACAAGGGAGTATAACTTGGAGGCCAGAAACACCGGGGCAAACCCCTTCTCTAATAGCGATAAGTGTTACTGGGTTCTTTTACGTGCGTTAGGCCTTACACAACACACGGGACCTCCGGCTTAATGGTTAAGTGCCTTGTTTAAGGGCACAAGTGTCCGGGCCCGGGCTCGAACCCATGCCACTGTTGCCTCTGAAACACCAGAGCATGAGTCCGGTGCTCTTAACCGCTAGGCCATGACACTCCGTATATATAAATTATTGAAATTCATGGGTTTTTTTTAGAAGAAATGCCTAGGTAGATAATATATTTATGTGCGGACGGTAAAATATAAGGATTAAGCATGAAAAAAAGAATGATATCCTCTAACTTAATGTTTCCAGCAGCCAAAAAATAAAAAATTTATACCGGAGTATAGTCCAAAATTAATCTATCGACAAGTTGCCATTTTGCAGGCTTTAGGTATTTGCAGACTCAAATATGTCAAATTGGCATTATAAAAAAAAGAAAAATAAAGGTTGTTTTGGCATTTGTTATTTGTTTCCTGAAAATTGTTTTTTGTTTACTGCTCAGCATCAAGGATGTTACCCTGGATATTGCGGAGCCCAGAAACACTGGCCGGGAGAGGGCCTTAGCCGTAGAGCAGTGCATCTGCCCCATCGGCTACACTGGGCTGTCTTGTGAGGTGAGTTTGTAGTATTTGGCTCCTAGACAATCTGTACAGCTTACTCTTGGAAGGATTTGTTTTTACAGTTTTATATATGTACAGGTATTGTGTGCGATTTTCAACAACTTTTATTATTAAAATGTCGCCCTTCTTCCTGTAGGATTGCGACGTTGGCTACACGCGTACCGGGGGAGGGCTGTACCTAGGTGTCTGTGGCCCTTGTCAATGCAATGGCCATGCCACTGACTGTGATCCAGAGACTGGCGTCTGCAGGGTGAGTACCAATTTAAACCACGGTGTGTACCAATTTAAACCAGGGTGTGGTCATAGCCAATTGGGAGTTACTGTGGTGGACATAGCAAAATCAATTTATGTTTCTGTGGTACCATTGCCTGCAGAGTGAGTACCAATTCAAACCATGTGCAAGTAACCAAGTTGGCCATGACAAAATTAATTAATTTTTCTGGGGTACCGTTGCCTGCAGGGTGAGTACCAATTCAAACCACGGTGTGGCTATAGCCACTTGTGAGTTACCATGGTGGCCATAGCGAAATCAATTTATGTTTCTGTGGTACCATTGCCTGCAGAGTGAGTACCAATTCAAACCATGTGCAAGGTAGCCAAGTTGGCCATGACAATATAAATTTATGTTGCTGGCGAAACTGTTGCCTGCAGGGAGAGTACCAATTCAAACCATGGTGTGGCTATAGCCGCTTGCGAGTTACCATGGTAAAATTAATTAATTTTTCTGGGGTACCGTTGCCTGCAGGGTGAGTACCAATTCAAACCACGGTGTGGCTATAGCCACTTGCAAATTACCATGGTTCCATAGCAAAATCAATTCATGTTTCTGTGGTACCGTTGCCTGCAGAGTGAGTACCAATTCAAACCATGTGCAAGTAACCACGTTGGCCACGACAAAATTAATTCATGTTTCTGGGAAACAGTTGCCTGCAGGGTGAGTACCAATTCACACCACTTGCAAGTAACCACGGTGGCCACGACAAAATTAATTTATGTTTCTGGGGTACCGTTGCCTGCAGGGCGAGCACCAATTCAAACCATGGTGTGGTCTTAGCCACTTACAATTAACCACGGTGGCCACGACAAAATGAATTTATGTTTCTGGGTTACCGTTGCCTGTTAATTTAGGTTTGACAGTCAGGAACCAAACCTTCAGCAGTTAAATACTCACACTTAAATTTTCTGTGTTCTTGACTTTGTGACTATGGTGTCATAACAGTACATTGGCCACCACTGTGGCAACGACAAAAAATAACTTTGTTTTTGGGGCAGTATTGTCTGTCATTTTGGGTCTTACTGTAGGGACTATATTTTTAGTACTTATACACTTGAGCTAAAAAAATTACTTTGTTAAAAAACTGTGTTTCCAGTTTTTAAAAATGATTTCTCTTTGTTCCAGATCACTGAAAATGTTTGTACAGTTTGCTTTTGGCAGACTTTTATTTGTTGAAATTGAGACATGGTCAATTTCTACAATGAAAGAAATACACAAAAATTGAAAAGCATTTCCGTGTTTGTTGCATTCAGACTTTGGAACAGCCTTAGAGCAATTGGTATTAAATTAAAAATTCTGTTTCTGATGAACAATTTAATTGTGTTTTCCTTTTCTGACCTGAATTTCCATTTTGACCTTTTTTTATTGACATGCTGTCATGCAACAGGATATCAGGTAACACATGAGAGTTGGAGTCAAATTGTTTGTGCATTCTTTCTTTTTTTCCATTTTCTGTTGACAATTGAAGTCGTCATTCTAGACGTAGTTCCCATTGTATACTGAATAAATACCACTGCAGTAAACATAAGGCACATTATTTGAAACTTACACAAGTTGAGAAGTCAGTCTCCGTGGAAGTACAGTTGTGACTTGGCCAAACCGATCATGTTTCCATCATAATTTACAACACATTATTTTGGTGGAATTAGAATGGCCTTTTCACACTAGACAAATCTTGGGGGTGACGCGGGGTTGACAACGTGTGGCATTTCACACTTGAAAATGTTCAACCTTGCGTAAACCTGCATCAACCCTGAGGTTGGTTTCACCCCGGGTCAAACTCAACCCTGCTCCAGACCAGGGTTGAGATTTTTAACCCGGGTTGAAATTCTCGCCAGGGTTCAAACTGTAGCGACGGAGAGACAGAAGCTCGGTATGCACAAAACAAGTGTGAAACGATGCTGGGTTGAACGTGGGGTTGAATAATCCAAAACTCAACCTGGTGGGGGGGGGGGGGGGGGAACTGGATTCACCCAGGGTTAAGTTCAACCTGGGTTGAGAGGCTCTAGTGTGAAAAGGCCTATAGTGAGGATTAGTGGTATTTCAATATTTCAACAAATATAAATATTTGTGGTGATATTTTTTTGGGAAATAAAATGTGTTGCATGAACTGAACAATGTGTAAATGTACATTTTTTTTTGTCAGTTGACTCATTTTAGCACGTCGCCCTTTCCATATTTTTACCCTTCAGAAGTTAAAAAAAAAAATTGGAATTAATTTTATCATAAATGTATTGAATTAAAAGCTTCCCAAAATCAAATTTTATTTATTCCTCCATTTTGTTCCCCTCCAGGCATGTCAAGATAACACCGGCGGTGACCGCTGCGACCAGTGCCTGCCTGGTTACTATGGCAACCCGGTGCTGGGTACCCGGGACGATTGCCAGCCGTGCCCGTGCCCCCTCACAGCCTTGCCAAACCAGTGAGTTGACTTTTAATAGATTTAGATGATATTGTACAAGAAAATGCGTCCCAACATCGTGACATTGTTTTACTTGGAGTATGGGCTCCGTGCGCCGACGAAAGAGGGCGCCCTTTTACCTAGCAACGACGTCCCATGGGCGAGACATTTCACTGGTTGACGCGCACCGTTCCTTGTGTGTGACTCATGTACACCAGGGGATTTGTACTATGTACACGCAGTGGCAGCACTTCGCAGCAATGAATTGCAGTCAGGCAAGATGGCGTCGGTCGGTCACCCCCAACTGTACTTGCTTTGCCGGTGATGGGGTACTTGTGAACGGAGCGGATACTCCAGAAACTGTAGTTGGCTGCTTTGGTGCTTAGTTACGCAAGCTCCAGTATGCTACAGACAAGAAACACAATAAAGGGGGCCACTTTGCTACCGTCACGCTAGCAGTTTTTCCAACGGTTGTGATTTTTTGTTAAATACCTGAAACCACCAAAGAAGAATTTCAACACATGAATGGACATGCAGCCTTTTGCTAAAGATAATTTGAGTTGATTATTTGTATTGCTTTCTGACATTACCCTCAAATTTCCATCAAATAGTGGACGGAAAACTTAGGTAACTTTTTCCGTCCATTTTTGATGGAAATTTGAGGGTGATCTTAAAAATTATAACAGAAAGAAAGAAATGATTCAACACATTACATGTATTATAAGCCTACATGCTCATTCACATTTCAAAAACCTTTTGGGTGGTTTCAGGTACTGTAAAAAATTGTTTTTACAACCATTGGAAAAATTGCTAACGTGAGGGATGCAAAGTGGCCCCCATATATTGTGTTTCTTGTCTACAGCCGATTTGGGGGAATTGGTCTTACATGTAAACTTAGGCCTGGCATCCGCTCCGTTCACAAGTACCCCCTCACTGGCAAAGACCGTACAGTTGGGGTGACCGACCGACGCCATCTTGCCCGACTGCAATTTTGCCACGACGCGCGGCCGTACCACTGCGTGTACATAGTACAAATCCCCTGGTGTATGTGCGTCACACACAAGGAACGGTGCGCGTCAACCAGCGAAATGTCCCGCCCATGGGACGTCGTTGCTAGGTAAAAGGGCGCCCTCTTTCATTGGCGCACAGAGCCCATAGGATTTCCGCAAACAACTTTGTTGCTGGCTGCGCAGTATGCTTACAATGAACTTCACAAAACTTCTTTTGAGAGTTGCACAACTTTTGTTAACAGTTTTAATCTTTGTAGACTAGTATAATCACAGATTCCACATGAACAAATGGCTGTTTGTGTGCAACTCGTATCAGTCTCCAGACAGCAGTTGAATTAGGAATGCCTGCCATTTTGTAAACAGTTTTTGTCTTAACAGGCTTAATTCCTATCAACCCTCGAGATATTTTGGGGGGTTTCGGGAAATAGACTTGATTGCAATGCTGCCACATGGAGGTACACATAAAAGTCAACATTTCAGAGAATGCTTGCTTCGCTTTACAATTGTCTGTGATTGTGGGGTTTTTTTTTTTGCTTTTAGGTTCTCGCCCACCTGTTACCTTGACACCGACGGACGCGTCACATGCAACCAGTGCCCCGAAGGCTATGCGGGACGAAACTGTGAAAGGTAAACAATGAACCAGAAATTGTTTCAAAACCAAAATAGTTAAATTAAATTTGATCTAAATGAGTCTGATCAGAATAGTACAACAAAATTAGTTTGACCGAAACTAGTTATAGCAAAATAACTTTGCTCAAATTACATGTCTACAGTAAATGCATTCACAGAATGAGGTTCAACGAAATTGGTTTGAAAAAAATGAGTTTGAACAGCATTAATTTGAGTGAATTAAATTTGGTCAGAATGCTTCAAACTTTCTTTGAACTAAACAATTTTGTATAGAAATAAATTATTAACAGAATTAATATTTTTTTATGAATAAAGTAAATTAATATTTCAGAACTAATTCCAAGTGTTTAAATATGCGTCATTTCATCACCTTTGGCTTTCCTTTTTGTAAACATTGTTTTCATATTCTTGCTAGTACCGACTGAAGGTATGATTAAATATTGAAAATAACTTGATATTTTTTTAAGCCAACACTAAACATTTTCTTGTTCTGCAGGTGTGAGCCGCCCTTCTATGGTGAGCCAACTCGTCCCGGTGGTAGCTGTCTAAAACAAGGTCTGTAGTCATTTATATGTTCTCATTTCAGCTCAAGTTCCTAGGCATTTTTGTTAAGAAATCTTGCTGAATCCTTCAAAATCCGTCACCGTGCAGGAACCCAATGACACACTCTTTGTACCTACCAAGTTTCAAGGAGCATCAAGCCCCATGTGAAGTAATAGTGGCTGGGCTATACCTCCTCAATTCTACAAAATCCTCCACTGTACAGGCAACCAATGGCACACTCTTTGTACCTACCAAGTTTCAAGGAGCATCAAGCCCCATGTGAAGTAATAGGAACCCAATGGCACACTCTTTGTACCTACCAAGTTTCAAGGAGCATTAAGCCCCAAGTGAAGTAATACTGGCTGGGCTCTACCGTACCTTCCTCATTCCTCCAAAATCCTCCGCTTTTTTCACTCTCACATGAAATTTCACATGAAGGAAATTCAGAACTTGTTTGGTTTGATCACCACAACATTTTCATTCAATTTATTGATAGAATACATGAAGGTCTTCCCAATTTCCATTGATTTCATATTTTGAACAAGCTAGTAGCAGTGTTTTACTGTGTTCGGTTAATTAATATCTCCTTACAAGGAAGGTGGGCCCATGTTATCTTCTGAAGAACGGTAGACTACAGTGTTGGTTAATGAATACACTGAGATGTTAAGCCCGGTTCATACTCGGCGCGAAAGCGAACGCGAATTTGTGACGTCGTGTCAAGTATTCGCGCTGCGAATTCGTAAAAGTTGAGCACATTTCAACTCTGGCGAATTTCGCAGCGAACGTTTCATGATGTCAAATTCGCTTCGCTTTTGCATTCGCGTGGAGTATGAACCGGGCTTTAGTCTCTGTTCAAGTTGTTACTTACACAACTGAGACCATAAGAGCATAATTGTCGGCTTGCACTCTACAGGATGTACTTCAAACTGAGAAACAATGACCTGGTCAGAGACTAATAAAGTGACCTCCTTTTTTTTTTTTTGGTCTTTGTTGGCAGATTCTTGTCAGTGTGATCCCCGCGGCAGTACCGTACCGGGCTGTGACGACGGTGGCCAGTGTACCTGCAAGGTAAAGGCAGTTTAAAGCCACGTTGAATTTTTTTTCCCAACAGTACCTACCGATTTAAAGCTACAGTCCATCATTTGTAATTTGTGCATTTTGTTCGTTTGAAGCAACAAAAGAGTTCAAAATCTAATGAAGGATACTGAGCAACTAACCTGATGAAGTTTCAGCTAAGCTTCAGCTGTACATTCCGAGAAAAACAGCATTCTAAGATCTCAATTTCAAATCAAAAGTTACTGAATCATGTTTTGAATTGTTTTGAATTGCAGCTATACGCGACGTCGCGCACTGATCCGACGAATTATAACAACCGCGCGCGTGTGTGCGTCGTTCCAATACTTGTGCGCGCTGCGCTGAATAACAAAACGAACTACTAATTTAAATTTTCCTACGGTGCTTCTTAAGAATCACCGTTGGAAATGCCTTCTTTCGTTGATTACTTCAAAATGACAGCTTCTCGGAAAGAAAAAATTCACAGGGAGTTTAGTTCCCTTACTATCTTTCATCCAAGTTTGTTTTTCAACAATAATTACGACAGTTACTTTTCGGATGGCTGCAAATGATGGACTATAGCTTTAATGACAGAAACCGTCAAAACCTTGCTCAAAGTGAAGATAGGACTGGTATCACACACCCTGTGAAATTATTCCATCTAAAGAAGAAAATAAGCTATTATAAGATGGAATTTTGCGTTGGGATGATATAAATCAAATTAGGTTTTGCCCTTCACCAACGTTTAAACACTGTATACTCAGTGTGTTACCTCCCGAGAGAAAGTTGAAAAAAATCACTCGGGTGGGACTCGAACCCACGACCGGGTCCCAACCCATGGTTTTTGTCCCACCCGAGTGATTTTTTCCAACTTGCACTCGGGAGGTAACACACTGAGTATACAGTGTTTAAATCGGTGAAGAGCAAAACCTAATTTGAAGAAAATAAGCATTGAACAAAGTTGCAAACTTTTTCACAAAAAGCAATTTTGTTGCTTCACACAACAAAATGCACAGAGAATAAATGATCCTACATGTACGTATCTTTAACAAGCATTGCAAAGCATTTCTATGTAAAAAAAATATTCTAGTAGACTGTGTGCTATAGGATGAGGAATTGAAACTGATATTATTGAAACTATTATTCGTTGAAGGAATTCTTCATTGATTCGTGAATAGAGTTTTGTTGTGTACACTTGTTCTTTTTAGTCGTTTTACATGTTTTGGGTATTTTTTGGTCTTCGACTCTGTCCTCTTGTATTCTATCTTGTCCTGTTGTCTAATCTATACAGCATCTGCTACTAAAGCTTTGTGTTTATTGGGACATGCCTCCAATTCACTATTTACTTTTGTGTTATTTTTTTAATAAGTGATGTGTGTTTTTTTGTATATAATCAGGCAATCTGTATGTGTGTTGGTCTGTAATGCTTGTATTTCCAGTCTGTCAATTGTGAATTGCAAATAAATGTCATTTGTGGAAAAATAATTTGGTTTACAATTTTTTCCTCCCTTCAAAGGCTTACGCTGAAGGCTCTCTTTGCAACGTCTGCACCTACGGTTACTTTAATCTAGCCACTGGCAATGCAGAAGGCTGCAGCAAATGCTTCTGTATGGGAGTCACCGACGGATGCACCAGCTCCCGTTACTACCGGCAACAGGTCAGTGCTGATTGGTCGATTAATTGGCCATTACTCCCCGAGCATAGTCTGCTAGAAAGTGAACTGAATCCGCCAACATCCATTTTTAGTGTTAAAGTTTAGCAAAGAAATTGACTGGAGCGGGGTTTGAACCTGCGACCTCCGGATTACCATGCTGGTGCTCTACCAACTGAGCTGTCCAGCCCTATGTGACTCGAGAGTGACAACTCATTAGAATCAAGTCCGAGTCATGATGGTGAAGTCCAAGTTCGAGTCTCTTTCCAATGTGACTCAAGTCGAGTTTGAGTCACTGAAATTGCGACTCGAGACGGATTCGAGTGCGAGTCCTGGACTCAAATCTTACAACACTGGCATAATACAAAATATATTTTAACTACAGTGAAATCTTGATAAGTCAAACCTCAAGGGAACAGGTTCAAAATTTGACTTCAGCAGAGTTTTGAGTTAAGCAGGGTTGTATATCATTGTTATACTACTGAAGGGAATGGATTCTTTGTTTGACTTAACAGTTGTTTGGAGTTAAAGCTATAGTCCATCATTTGTAATTAGTGCATTTTGTTTGTTTGAAGCAACAAAAGTGTTCAAAATCTAATGAAGGATACTGAACAACTTACTTGATGAAGTTTCAGCTCAGCTTCAGCTTTATATTCCGAGAAAAACAGCATTCTAGGATCTCAATTTCAAATCAAAAGTTGCTAAATCATGTTTTTTAATTGTTTTGAATTGCAGCTTTACGCGATGTCGCGCACTGATCCGACGAATTATAGCAACCGCACGCGCCTGTGCGTCGTTCCAATGCTTGCGGGCGCTGCGCCGAATAACAAAACGAACTACTAATTTAAATTTTCCTACGGTACTTCTTAAGAATCACCGTTGGAAATGCCTTCTTTCGTTGATTACTTCAAAATGACAGCTTCCCAGAAAGAATAACTTCACAGGAAGTTTAGTTCCCTTACTATCTTTCAACCAAGTATGTTTTTCAACAATAATTACGCCAGTTACTTTTTTGGATGGCTGCAAATGATGGACTATAGCTTTAACAGTTGTTTGGAGTTAATCAGAGTTTGACTTATTGAGGTTTTGCTGTAATTCATATTCCATGTGTTCTTCTTCACAGCTGCGGGTCACGTTCCAGTCTCCCAACGATCCGCGCAGCATGGTCATCCGGAACCGTGCCGGGGGCTCGCTGTACTCCAGCGGTTTCACCATCAACGTACCGACCAATGAGATCATCTTCGCTGAGTTTGACCAGTTGCCCCCGCAGGCCTACTTCTGGAGCCTCCCGCCAAAGTTCCGAGGAGATCAGGTAAAAATGATTTTTTTTTATTTATCCAGTTTTCCTCTTAAAGATGCGTTCACTGTGCTATTTTCCAGTTTCACTTCGAAATTTTTTTTTTTTTTTTTTTTTCAATTGCTATTTTTCCTAGCAGTATAAAAGTTATTCACTTTTGAATGAGACGTCGAATGACAAAATCAACCAACATTTAGTTCTTGAATTATTTCTTTCCAAAGTTCGAATGATTGGCTGCCCGATAATAATTCGGCTCTTGCAGGGTGGGCTTATTTCTTTGCAAAACATCAGTCACTTTGACTGATATTTCGAAATCACCTACCTTTAATTGCATATATAATCCCATATGGGTTTAAAGCTATAGTCCATCATTTGCAGCTGTCCAAAAAGTAACTGACGTAATTATTGTTGAAAAACGTGCTTGGTTGAAAGATAGTAAGGGAACTAAACTCCCTGTGAAATTATTCTTTCTGGCAAGCTGTCATTTTGAAGGAAACAACGAAAGAAGGCCTTTCCAATGGTGCGTCTTAGCACCATAGGAAATTTCCGTTAGTAGTTTGTTTTTTTTATTCGGCTAAGCGCGTGCAAGCGTTGGCACACGCGCGCACGGTTGCTATAATTCGTCGGATCGGTGCGCGACATCGCGTAGCTGCATTCGGCTCAGTGAGAACGTGTCTCGGACGCTGAATTCAGGCCCAATTCAAAACATGATTCAACAACTTTTGATATGAGCTGAAACTTCATCAGGTTAATTGTTCAGCACCCTTCTTCAGATTTTTAGTACGTATGTTGCTTCAAATGAACAAAATGCACAAATTACAAATGATGGACTATACCTTTAAGACCAGACATGAGGCATTTTATAAACTGGTTGTATCTTAGAAGCAGTGTGTGTATTCAGGCGTGCAACTTTTCCTCGGATCCGCTGATTTCCTTGTTTTTTTACTTCTCGTGAATGCAATTACAATTTGAAAAATTACAAATTGAAAAATACTGTACAAAGACTTGTGTGGTTGGAGTTTCCTCAATTTTTCTAAATTCCCAGTTGCATGCCGGTGTATTGACTGATGACTTTCGACCTTTAACCTTTTGACCAGGTCACAGCCTACGGTGGCTTCCTGCGCTACACCATCAGCTACGACGCGGCAGTAGAGGGCCAGCAGTACGGGGAGAGCGACGTGGAAATCTATGTAAGTGACTTGTTTAGAAATACGCAAGAACCATTGAATTGATAAAAATGAAACGTGTAGATCGTACAATTAATCAACCTTGCTCAAAGATGCACTTGGTCAATAGTAGCTAGTCCTGAAGTCTCCTTACAGTTAGGCACTGATCTTTTTACCAACAATGGAGAGTCAACTTTTCAAGGTTACGGTCGACAAAACATTGTCCATTTGAATGAGTGTCAGTAGACAATTTGAGTTAATTTGTTATAGATTTGGGCATAGCGTTCTGCCGCCTTATCAAAAATCACCATATTAATACAAAGAAAAGAAAAGGGCAAACATATACTCGAATCATATGCTCATGAAACTACTGACCGGGAAAAACAAACAATTTCAAATGTCCCGCACTGCGAATTTGTCAACCATCTCCCACAATGCACTGGGAAAAATGAACTCTCTGTGGCAAACTCTTGGTGGCGCACTGCATTGTGAATCACCCGAATTGCAGGATTGTAGTCGAATCTGCGCACAAGTCATCACAAATTAATCGCAAGTGTTCCAGTCTCTAATCCCTTGCCCAGCTACACACATTGTTAACCCTCTGCTAATGGTGACCCGAGTTGTTATTGACTTGCGATTGACATGACTGCAACTCTGATTATTTTGAAGCCATTTGTATCAAAGGCTTCAGCTGCTTGTTCCTGGAAATTTCACATGTACGGTGGTAAATGTCATGGCTTTTCTTTTTCTGTGATTTTAGGGCAACAACATCAGGCTGATCTACTACGACCGTGCTCTGCAACCCAGGGAGACTCGAACCAACACCATCCAGTTGATTGAGGTACCAACTCGAAATATTTTTTGGAAAGATTCCTGCAAGTAAAAGGCAAATGCGGTAGTTTAGTTCAAATTCATTCAGTAGAAAGGGGTTTGCAGTAGCACCATGTTCTCAAATTGTTCTTGTGTGACTTGATGTGATTCTGACAAGAAACAGTTCTGTTCAGAACTTCACCAACCTCGTCCCCAGTGCTTACTTTATTTCCAACATCGTTTCCAATAGTAAGCCCTGGATAGGAAACTTTCTTCCTGTATCCTGATTCCATACCGCAATTGGCCAGAAATGGATATATATCGTGTACTTGGTGTTGTTATTCACAACGTGCAGTAGGTGTTTTCGCGATCATTCGTCCATGCCTTTCGAAAATATTCATTTTCTTGCCAATTTGTTCATAATAACATGAAACGTGATACTGCATGTTGTCTCAATAAGATCGTAACAGTTTAATTAAATTAAAATCGTGTTTTCGTAACTCATGCCATGCTCGCGCTGCGACGAATTGATTCTGTTTTTACCCCAGACACCGCATACAAAAACAAACGCAAATGTAACAAACAGGCATGCACCAGACTATTCCTCATTTGCATACGTGCTCAAAAATCTTGCACATGCAAATGATCCAATACCAGGTCGAGAGAGCAGATAGTGGTGGGCGCGTACTGCTTGACACCCTGGGGACGAGGTTGGAACTTCACTAAGTCACAAAAGAGAACCGACTTAATGGTGGTACCACACACCCCCGTTTCTATTGACTTTCCCGGTGGCCAATAGAGTCGCTACCACTCGCAGGTCCTCACTCGCAGTGTCCTACAGACCAAGTAAAAGAGTTTGATTGTAGTCAAAAATGTAAGCTTTTATTTATTTAAGAATTCCTAAAACAAAATAAACAAGTTTTAAAGGGACCCAAAGCAAAAATATCAATGCTTAATGCTTCAGTAACTCTTTATAGATGCCAAGTACAAAATACTTAGATGAAGTTGTAGTTCTGTCGGTTGTTTTTTTTGTGTGTTTGAGGCCTCAAAATTGATTGGACTTGATTTAAACTCTTTGAGTAGCGAGTCACAATTTTTAAATTTTTTTGGGGCCATCTCAGGATAACTTCCGAAGACCGGACCAGGCCCCAGCAACAAGGAAGTTTTTCCTGATGGCCCTGGCCGACGTGGAGTACATTCTCATCCGGGCCACCTTCCACTCAGAGATGCTGAGCACAAGGATTCGCGATATCTCCATGGATATCGCTGGTGAGTTTCATAGTTTAGAGTATCGTTGGTCAGTTTGTAGTTTTAGAAAACTTCGCGGTATCTCCATGGATATCGCTGGTGATTTTCATAGTTTAGAGTATCGTTGGTCAGTTTTATAGTTTTAAAAACTAGGGGTCTGCTATTTTTGCTGTCCCTGTTACATCTGACATCTATGATTTATTTCTGATGCACTCGTCCACCAAGAGTGATTACAAATAGCAAACTACCTACCCAACAAATCAAAAATTGTTTGAAGTCATTCTTAATGATACTTGAATGGCAAGTGGAGTGCCGAGGCCTCGTGGTCTGGAGCATTGAATTCGTGAGGTGCTGTGGTCCAATGGTTACGGTGTTCGACTCGTGTGCACTTTACCATTATTGCTTCGTCCTTCGGATGGGACGTAAAGCCGTAGGTCCCGTGTGTTGTGTAATGCACGTTAAAGAACCCAATAACACTTATCGCTAAGAGAAGGGGTTTGCCCCGGTGTTTCTGGCAGTGGCTGCAATATGCGCCGCAGCACCTTGTATTGGGTGCTACATAATGGTTCTCATATTCCTCATAAACTTCATTTACCTGTCTTTAGTAATAGACATTTTCCAGCGCCTTGAGTACCTAATTGTTGGTCGATACGTGCGCTATTTAAGACTCCGGTATTATTATTATTATTCGCAGTCTGCGGGTAATTCTGCAGGTTGTGGGTTCGAGTCCAGCCCGGGGTTATGGTACATGTGCCCTTGGGCAAGGCACTTTGTCACTCATTGCTTCTCCCCACCCAGGAGTAGATGGGTACCCGTGAGGGCAGAGCTGGTTGATTTAAGCTGCTTTGCGCTAAAATAGCAGCATCGAACTGTATACTCCCCAGGGAGCTAAAAGATTGTCTTTGGTATGTTTCATTGGCCCAGTGAGCAGGGTGATAATGATGTAGCGCCTTGAGCACCAATACTGGTGGATACTTGCTTTATAAAGACAAGTTATTATTAAATTACAAAGTACCAAGGTAACAGGGACAGGAAAAATGTCGCACTAAATTTTATATCTAGAATGGCTTTGATGCACACGTCTTTTAATTTTTTGTTGTTCTAGTTCCTGAGAATACAGGCCAGCCCCAAGCCATGTCTGTTGAGGATTGCCAGTGCCCTGATGGCTACACAGGCCTCTCGTGTGAGGTAAGATACTCGGTTTACTAACGGAAGTCACTGATGTTGCTCGCTTTGTGATTTCTCAAGAACTCGCATAAGGTCCAAAAAAAAAGTCTCTGGTTTCTGGTATGGAGCTTGTCCAAAAAGTAGTGCGGCGACACGGCTTTTTTTTTTTTTACCTGATTTTTTTGTTTCAAAGTCAGCTGATGACTGCAAATGGTGCCCGACTAAACTTAGTGCAAATATATGGGAGTCCAGAGAGGCCACATAAAGCTTATTCTCGACCATAACCCAATCTAAAAACAGGTTAAAATTGTGCAGCTGCAGGATTCCAGTCAAACCAGTGAGTTTGGCGGTTTTGAGACATCATTTTTCATTGAAAAAAAAACTTTTTCATTTTGCCGAAGCGCATGGCTACTGCTGCGCATGGCTACTGCGCGCGCATACCAGAAACCGGAGCCTTTTTTGGGGGCCTAAGTAAGAAGAGTCACAAATGACCACTGAATGTTGTAAAAGAATGTAAAAAAAAAAGAAGATTTAAAGTATGATTTTTCAGAAGAAAGAAAATTTGCAAAGATGACCTAAGGTGTGGTTTTTTAGAAGTCGCAGCGAAACATGTAAAAGAAATAATGAAAGTGAAGTCACTAAGTTGGTGACGAGTATGATTTTCCAGATGTCACAAAAGTGAGAGGAGCTGTGAAGCTCCCTTGCAGAGTATTTGAAAGGATATTTAGTAAGAACCAAGTGAAAATGAATTGATGAAACAAAGTCACACACAACCCCCCTCAAAAATATATATATAAATTTTAAAATTATGACCTTCAAAAATCAACAGAAGTCACAAAAGTAACAAAAATCATAAAGATAACTCCAAGTTTTCCCTAAAGTCACACAAGTTATAGATGTAACATGATGTTTGATTTCACAGAAATCTGGGAATAACCAAAAGTCCCAAAGATTTGTTTCCGCAATGCACAGATGAATGAGACACAGAGTATGATTTCTCAAAACACTGAACAGCGGTCTTGTCAAATCTTGCAGTGAGGAGTTAATAGTTCTGGGTTGTTTGTTGTTGTTGCAGGACTGTGCCGTCGGTTTCTCCCGTGTAGACCAGGGCTTGTACCTCGGCATCTGCGCTCCCTGCCAGTGTAACGGACATGCCAGTACCTGCAATCGAGAAACCGGTGTCTGCATAGTGAGTACCAGGCACCTTCGTAACCCTCATGTATATCATTTGTACCTCAACTGACCCTCACTCTTACCTCTAATGTGCACCTTTGTGTACCTCACGTCACTTACATTTACCTCAATGCATGTGCCTTCTTTGTATGTCACTTAATACTTGCATGTACCTCACCCATAGCTCACACGTGCCTCCCATGTACCTCATGTGAAACAGGCATGTACCTCACATGTACCTCACATATACCTCATATGTACCTCACATGTACCTCACATGTACCTCACATGTACCTCACATGTACCTCACATGTACCTCACATGTACCTCACATGTACCTCACATGTACCTCACATGTACCTCACATGTACCTATCATGTACCTCACATGTACCTCATATGTACCTCATATGTACCAGTGCCTCCCATGTACCTCCCCATGTACCTGTATGTAACTCCTACGTGCTTTGCATGTACCTCATGTACACCCTCGCGTGTCCATCATTTACCTGGCGTGTACTTCACATGTACCTTCCATGTTCCTCTTTTTATACCCGATACCTATGCGTCACTGGTGCCATATATGTACCTCTTGTGTTTTCCTCACAACGCAAGTACTACACCTGAACCTCACATGTACATTGCATATTCCTTGCATTGTCCTGCCAAATTCCCAGAATTTAAGAAAATTTAGAAAAGTAAGTCGATTTATTCCCCACGTCTTTTTTTATGTCAACAGGACTGCCTGCATAACACTGTTGGCACCAACTGCGAAGTTTGTGCGGCCGGTTACTATGGAGACGCGACATCCGGCACGCCCGGCGACTGTCGTCCATGCGCTTGTCCGCTGAGCGTTCCGTCCAATCAGTAAGAAGATCTTTGTTCAAATTTTATGATATGTTTTGTTGATTTTAAGATAAATTTGCTGTTGTAAACAATTTGCCTCAGAATAGTAAAGGAAAGCTCGGCTTAAACATTTCTCAATTTTTAAAAATGTATCTACTTAAAACTCCAACTTTTTTTTTTTTGGAGCAGTTTCCTGTTTCGTATATCTGGAATGATTTCTTTAAAGAAAAATTGAAAAGATTTGTAAATCTGAAATTATAGAAAGGTGTTGATGAGTAAGGTATTAAACCAATGTGATTACATTTGAAAGTCAGTTTTGTTAGGCAGCAGAATTTAGAATAAATGATGATTTTTCTCCCGAATAGGTTCTCACCGACTTGTATTCTAGACACTGACGGCCGACCGACTTGCAACGCCTGTAGCGCGGCATACATTGGGAGAGATTGCGGACAGTAAGTCAAGACTTCATTTTTTCCTCACTCTCGCAAGGTGGTATTCGACTACAATATAGCACCTTATCTGTGGCAAAATGTGGAGGCTTCAGAGTGTTTTTGTAATTAAAAAAAAATGTTAAATATTTCATCCTATGGTTGCAGGCCATAGATTTGCACGCCCATCAATTTTTTCGCCATTAGAGCATTTTATGGGCCATGAATCTGAGGGTTTGTAAAAAAGAAGGGTGGAAGCCGTGAAAAGGACTGCAAGCTCGTTTTTCTGTCAAATTCGGATGGAGAAAAGGCATCATTTTTCAAAACGGCGATGGGCTTCAGGTCTTCTTTCAGGGGTGATCATCTTTGTATGGCATTTTCCCCCAAAAGTCATTGTTAACCCACAAAAAATTGAACAGAAAATAAAAGACGATGAAATAAGCTTTAATTTGATGTATTTCTTGAATTTCGGAAGTGGGCATATTTCTATGATATATCTATGATAATTATAAGCTAACTTCAGTTTCAATTGTTCTTTTGTTCACAATAAACAGTTAACCCTGTTTTCTTTAACAGGTGCGCCCCCGGTTTCCAAGGAAACCCTGGAATCATTGGTGGAAGTTGCACCCCTCTGGGCCAGGGTAAGATTGACAATGTCACATTTGTGTTTGCTATCAATTGGCTTATTTACTAATTATTATTATTATTATTTATTTCTGGTAATGAAACCGCGGATTCCTCAAAAACACCCAAGGCACTGTAGCTCGCAAGCCTGAAGAAACCCATAGAAAGAAGAGAGTGGAAAAAACAATTACAGTAAATCATTTTGCACTGTCAAATAGACATTCAAAAACATTTTGGGAACAGCTGTGTGGTTGTTAAGTTACAACTACAATCTCTAGAGAGTGAAAAAAACGATTACAGTTACAGAGGTGGGAGGAAAACCCCGGGAGAATATTCTGGGGAAAACCCACGGAATCAGGTAGGGACTGAATACCAAATCCACATATGGACCAGGGCAGGAATGGAACCCATGCCATAACCACTGTGCCAACATGACTAGTGTCATAAGACTGAATCTCATGCTAGGTAATTTTTTTTTTTTTAAAGCTCTACAAGTCACTTGGGTGTCAGTCTGTCAGTCAGTTGGTTCCTGAAAATTGACAAAAAAAATGTTTTACCAAAATAGAGCAAATGGCATGCCGTCATCAGTAAATGCACTCTAAAATTGTTTGTAACAATTCGTAACTTAGATGTTTCTAAAAATTGTGTCAACGGAGGCAAGATATGTGCAGTATTAGTATTTTTTGTAGTGGTTGGACGATATCCAGACGGAGGAAATGAAAATTGACCAAAAGTATGGTGTTCCATATGTGCCATCGGCATCATTTTTCGCCCGAGCTTATTGTGCACTCGCAATTGTTTTTGTTCGTCTTGTCTGCAGAGGAGAGAGAACCCATCATCACAATCACCCCCACGGAGCTGTCTGGTGTCCTGTCTTCAACCATCTACATCAGGGTATCCATTCAGAACAGCTTCATCTCGGGCTACTGGAGCCGCGCCGATGGGCGCCCTCTACCGCCCAATGCCATCCAGCTTGGCGACAACTCATTACAGGTATTGGAAGATTTCAATCAAAGAACTACTTAGGTATTTTTTTGTGTGTGTCGATTATTTCTCAATACATCTAGGTTTTTAAGCCGTTCATCCCTGGTTTTGAAAAAAAAAATGGTTTGTCACAAAGCTAAACCTGAACAGGCACAAATGTTTGCTTGTTAAACAAACAGCATTCAAAAAGTCACATACAGCATACAGTGAGGCCACTCATCAAATTTGAAAATCCCAAGATGAATGCAGAAAAACTCCCAAGATTGCCCAGGATTTCCCTAGATTGCCCAAGATGGCCCAAGATTGCATAAGATTGCCCAAGATTGCCCAAGATTGCCCAAAATTGCCCAAGATTTCCCCAAGATTTCCCAAGAGTTCCCAAGATTGCCCAAGATGGCCCAAGATTTCCCAGGAATTCCCAAGATTGCCAAAGATGGCCCAGGATTGCCCACGATTGCCCCAGACTGCCCAAGATTTCCCAAGATAGCACAAGATTTCCCAGGATTTCCCAAGACTTCCCAAGACTTCCCCAAGAATTCCCAAAGAATTCCCCAAGACTTCCCAAGACTTCACCAAGATTCCCTAAGATTCCCCAATGATGTAGCAGCGCGTGTGCAATCCATACTTCTGGGGTGTATTGTATGTGCGCACTTATTCCCAAGGTTCGGTGAACCTTTTCTTAGACTTGGTCCAAATTCCCAACACAGTATCTTATGACTTGACCTTTGAGGCCACAACAGCAGTTGATCCAACTTTCTGTTTCAAAATTATGTATATTTTAATTTTGAATGTTTAAAAGTTTTTTAAAAAAAATTCTCCTTTTGAGTGTTGTTATAACACTTGGATTGAAATTTCTGGATGTAAGCTGTGCAAGTGATGTGATGCTTGTTCTCAACACTTTGTTTATATTTAAATGAAATTAATTTTGTAATTGTCTTAATTTCTTTGTCTTTCATTTTTGTGTGTGCGTGCGTGCAGATCACCAATCTTCAGGCCATTAATAGCGGTGTCTACGTCTTCGTTGCACGGAATCAGTACGGTACCAGCACAGCACAGGTTACCATCACAGTTGTTGGTAAGTTGAATCCGTGCTGTTGGAGTCAGGGTACCCTACTCAGACTTGCGCCTAAGTTTTGTAGAGTTGCTCAATAAAAATATGAAATTGTCTTCTTCTTTTTTGGTTGTTTTTGTTTTTGATTTATTTTTTTGAACTTACATTTTTTGTTTTTTATTAATGAAATTTCCGAAGAATTCTCTGCTTGGAAATTTTTTTCTGGATCTGCAAAAGACAAATCTTGCACTTGATCAAATTTTCTTCAGACCTCACAGCGAAATCTTTAAAACCTATAAAACCAATAAAAACACTTTTCAACTGGGGAGCCTATTTCATTTTTTAAAGTAACCTATATAACCTATAAAAAAAGCCACATTTGTATTTTGGTATACATTTCAAAACAATTTTTTAAAGAAGATTTTATGAATGATTTTGACCCACAGTTATAATTCCAAAATAACCTTGTTGTCAATAAAGGCATACTGCTCTAAGATTTGTTGACGAGTGTTTCAGAATTTGGCAGTTTGCATACAATTGGTAACTCTATCTAGTGTGAAGAACTCATAGAGTTTATTTATTTATTTATTTATGTATTTATTGATTTCTTCTTTATACTGGGTGGCCCATTCAGTCCTTTTATCAGAACTGATCTCCCATGGGTCCCAGTAGGAGTAATAATACAAAAAAACACGATTTGAACATTAAAATTGATAAATCAAATTTTAAGTACGTGTATGTATATTCACATTGCACAGCATGAAACAAATGTTATTTTAAAAACGGAGAGCATAAAAATTGCTTTAAATTTAGCGTTCAAAGTTCAACATAACAATTAGCCGAAAATAAACATAAACATTAAAAGTCATTTTCTCCAGCAGCTAGTGCCCAACAATATGCACATTATTCAATCCCTAAGACATCATTATTGCATATTTGATGATCAAAATTGAAGAAAATCAATTAAAACAATTCATCAATAGCCCAGCTAGTTAAGAGTCTAAATGGTTGATAATGGTCCGGACAGTTGTGGGAAATGGATCTTCTAACCTTGCTGGCAGGTTATTCCAGCCTTGGGCACCTTGAATAAAACTTACAAGAGCGCTAACTCGCTGTACAAAAAGAAGCCTGCTGGACACATCCATGTTTGTGCACAAGCCTATGGAAAACGCAACTTTAAGTGCGGCTTTATTACGGCTATTTGTGTCTGCAATTGTATTCTATACCGGTGCGGCATTGAAGCCGATACGCCCAAAACCGAAACACACAAATAGTAAAGGCGCATTTCATTTTGCTCTTATATCCCCAAAGTGATCAGTATTTCTTTCAGTTAAGGCCACAAAAAAAAAATATTCGGTGTCTGGTCAGACCAAAGTTCCAGAATTGACATGGCGACGCGGCCTTTTTTGTTTTTTTGTTTTTTTTCTTTTTTTTCCTTCAAGCTAAGATTGTACAGACAAGGTGGGGTACTATGTAGCTTTTTTGCTGTCCTCATGTACATTGGTGTCCTCCATAATTTGCTTTGGTGCTTTCGATCATTTGCCTCGGTGCAATTTCCCATTTCTTGGTGCTCTTTGTAAAAAAAAAATGAGGAGGTGCGGCAATAGAGGGCGCTGTTGGAGCTAACGCGGAACATTTTGGAAAAAAAAAAGATTGACACGCATGATCAAAATCGACGCGCGCGCTGACCAGAGACCGACTTATTTTTTTTTTTGGCCTAATGATTATAGCATATCTCGGATGCATTGCTGATGAGCGCGTGGTTTGTTTTTTCCTTCAGGTCCCAGTATGCGCGTCATCATTGAGGAGCCCGTCGACCTAGAGGTGGAGGAAGGGTCCACGTTGACGTTTACCTGCCGCGGCATCAGCCAGGTTAGTGAAGCAGAAAACATACAGACTTAACCTTCAAGTCTACTTCACTCACTTACCTGTAGGCTCGTAGACTCCCACCACACTTCTGTGGGGGAAAAATACAGTGTTTCCCCTCCTAAAATAATACCCTCTCCCTTCAATCCTAACTTTTAATCAAATAAAAGAACCGAAACAAACGTGTGTTTTTTATGATGTGTGACACAATATTTCGTCCAAAAGAAGGACAATTTTTTATTTAAGCTGCCTAATACATAAAACCAACTTTTTCAAGCACGAGAAATTGCTCACTTTTATCTGAAATCCAATGTTCTGAGTCTGAGAAATGAGTGAAAATTTTCCGAAGAAAGATGCGAGTACGGAAAATAACAGAAAAGCATTTTTAAATTTTAAGATCTTGAATGAAATCATTCCTGTTTTTGGAGTCTCTTTGACGTTTTGCATCATATTTCAGTTCCCTGTTTTGGACCCAAATTGCATAGTTCTACCGGTACTTTCAACCTTCTTGAAAAGAATTTTTGAAATTTGTATCGATAAAATTTCTCTGGACACTAACTACATAAACTACAGTATTCATGTATTCAGTTTTTAACATTTTACGAGTTGAGATTTCGTACTCAAATTTAATTTTCAGTGTTTGGCTAAATCTTAAGAATTTAAGGAAAAGGCTAGATTCTGTTTTTTGGTTTTTTTTTTCAAATAAGCCAATATGTGTATGTAGTTTGTTTATGTCCATTTGTTATTAGTAACTTGATAGATTGTGTGGTTTTGCCTAAATCATGTTGCTGTTACCCGTCTCCATAAGAGCTGCAGAAGACGGGCTATATTTAGTCCAGACGCGCTATATTTAGTCCAGACGGGCTATATTTAGTCCAGACGGGCTATATTTAGTCCAGACGGGCTATATTTAGTCCAGACGGGCTATACTTAGTACTTCATGTGTATGTAGTTTGTTTATGTCCGTCTGTGAGTAGTTAAGTTGATAGATTTTGTCGTTTCTCCTCGCAAACTTGTCGGCAGTACGGAGAGTGGATAGACTCGTGTTCCGGGGAGCCATGCTCAATCCTCGCGGCCAATGGGAATAGGACATCCAAGGTGATGTTCGCATTGCATGATGGGAACGTGGCTGCTCGACCTTTTTCGTTGCATATTTTGGTTTTGTAAAGAGAACAAAAATTACTACAGGCTGTTGGCGTTCAGCTTATAAACTGTAAAAAAAAAAATGAGTAAACTGAATGTTCTTAGTATAAAGGCCAAAAAAAAAATAGTTCTGCTTCCGGTTTCCATACCTACCCTATTCTGACAGCCCCTGCCCTAATTTTTTATTGGAAAAATGAGGAAAAAACACCCCAAACCATCAATTTCTACCTTTTACCCTTTTACGCAGACGCCTCCATATGATCGTACACAAAAAAATTTGCAAAAAAAACCCAAACCAAATTCCCTACCTACCTACCCTATTTTCAAATGCCATGTAATCAGAAGCTGAACTATTTGGGTTTTCTTGGCCTAAAGGCCGGTTGCTACTTCAATGTGAATGCAATGTGTATTTGATGTCACTAAGCATTCGCTACGGAATTTGCCGGAGTTGAAAGTGTTCAACTTTTGCAAATTTCGCAGTGCGAAAACTTGGCTGATGTCACAGATTTGCGTTGGCTTTCGCGCCGAGTATGAACCGGCCTTAATACTGCTAAAATATTGCAACCAAAAATTGCATGGAATTTCAATAAGGGATCATTGCCATTTATGATGTTCAGTTGTAACTTTTTACAAAAATACATCAGAGCATGCAGATTGAGTTCAATAAAGTAAAGTCTTTAAAGGGCACGAGATTATCCTCAGAAAAAATAATTTTGCTTTCAGTACATTTGAATTCCATATTGGAATGCATATTTTGTATTTATTGAGTGCCGAGACAGTCTGGTCCAAGAGGCAGATATCACTACAACTTTTGAATGAAATAAGATCTTGATAACTGTCTCAGGTATCTACAAATGCAGGATTAAAAACGGAAAATTTATACTTGTGCAGTTTTTTTGTTTCCATGCATTATGTACGAGCATGAACAGGCCAAAGGTCATGGAAATTCTGCTAAGTATCGAAATTTGCGGAGCACAAAACAGGTTGTGCCCCAAAGTGTCGCGCAATTTGCATTGCTTTTTATTGCTTCTCATTGTCTGCCTTTTGGTTACCGTAAATTGGCTAAACAATGTGTTTTCTTAGCAGTTCTGCAAAAAGCTGCAGGAATGATCTGAAATTAAAAAAAAATCACTAAAGGTGGAGTAGATTTTTTGCAGCTTTCCAAAAAGTAACTGACCAAATATTGTTGAAAAGCTGACTTGGTGTAAAGATAGTAATGGCACTAAACTCCCTGTGAAATAATTTCTTCCGGCATGCTGTCATTTTGAAGAAACCCCCCCCCCCCCCCCCCAAAAAGAAGGTCATTTCTTTTAGTAGTTGGTTTGTAATTGGTGAATCCGTGAATGGGTACATGCAAGCATTGACACACGCGCGCGCGGTTGCTGTTATTCGTTGGTTCAGTGCGTGGTATTGCATAGCTTCAATCAGCTGAATGAGAACGTGTTCCGAATGCTGATATGAATTGACAATTTTTTTAATCTAATCAAGATCCTGGAGTATTGTTTTCCTGGAATATACAACATTCACTGAGCTAAAATTTCTTCGGGTTGGTTGTTAAACACTTGTCTTTAGATTTTGAGCACTTTTGTTGCTTCAAACGAAAAAAATCCACACATGACAACGATCTACTCTGCCTTTAACATCTAAAAGCAGGTATGTCATTGACAATTTTGATGCTTGCTAAATCTTTCACTTGAGGAAAGATTTATGCAAAGATCAAAGAAGCATGCCCTTTATTAACTTTTCCAACTTTTGCATGATGGAATGGCTTTATAAGGAGGTGAGTTTGCAGGAAAACCATTGAATTTCTCCCTTTTGTTAATAAAAACTGTGGTTCAGAAAAGAATCGGTGGTGCGAAGTGTTCTTGACTTTTTTTTAGCAGTGCGCTCCGTCCATCCTCTGGAGAGCTTAAATATCCCAGGACGTCGTTGAATATGAAGATGTAATTCCTTTCACAGGTTTGGTGTCTTGAGAAATAGTCTCGACCCCTCCATGATAAAAGTCCTCTTGTCATATCCTGCCAGGTCGCCTACACCCTTGCATGGACCAGGCAAGGCGGTTCCCTGCCGCCAAACGCCAGGGACGTCATGGGAAAGCTCACCATTCCACTGGTGACCGAAGAAGACCAGGGAATCTACATCTGCACAGGCTCCAACATGCACGACGTGGACCAGGCCAACGCCAGACTCACGGTCATATGTAAGTTGGAATGTTGGTCTTCCGGAAGTTTCTCTGATGTATTCAAATTTGAGGGTGCAATACCCTGGAATTATCTGTAAAATTCATGGGATCGCAATGCAATCCAAAATCTTCCAGTTGCAAGTTACGTGACAAAGAGAAAGTTTGGTTGGGTGACTAGAGTCGACTAGACTTGACCATAGTCGGTCTAGATGTCACTCGAACGCTGCGTGGTTTGACTAGCTAGTCCAACTGGATCAACCTAGCACTGTTTCTCTAGTCAAATTTGTGATTTATGTTTCAAGATAGAGGAAAAGTAAACTGGGGCAAGTTTTCAAAACTTTTGTTATCACAGTTAACATTAGCAATTAATGAGTAGTTACCGATAAATTGTTGTTTTTGTTCCAGAATAATACATCTTTACAATCAATTGACAACTTAAAGATAAGTAATTATTTATTGCACAAAAGTTAAGTAGAAAAAAATATAGAAAAAAAACCAACATTTGCTTAGTTAGCAACATGAAGGGTCGTTGTTGTTTAACACTAACTAGATTTGACTAGTCGATCGACGAGACGTGTTCGAGTGAAAAACAACGCACGCGCGATTTAAAAATCGCAATTGACAGACGATCAGCACCCAAAGCTGTTCAAATGTTCCGTGGCAAAGGCCAACTTTTGCAAGTGTTCCTCCCCTGTTACTTGTGGCTTGACTTGCGATTTGACGAGCGACTGGACTCATGATGGACTTAACATCATGTTGGAAAGAGAATGTGACGTGTTGACAGAAAATTGGTTCGTTTGAAGAGTCACGACCCATTCTGAATGCTATCATTCCCCAGCCTCATACCGACCGCCCAATGTGCGCATCACGCCGCGCTTCATCGAAGCCGAGGAGGGTGACGCCATCGAATTCACCTGCATCGCCGACGGCAACCCGCCGGCGACCCTGGAGTGGCGCGGGGGTCGCGGGGGCGTCATGAACCCGGGGTCGACTTTCACTGACGGGGTGTTCCGTATTGATAGCGTTGAGCGGTCCGACGAAGCCGAGTATTTCTGCCACGCCTCCAACTCTGAGGGCTCGAGCAGCTACCGTGTTGTTCTGTACGTCAGAGGTAAGTCACATCAGGCTTGAGAAGTAACAAAACTTTGCAAGTCTAAAGGGGTGTACAAACCTAAGTAAGTAAAAGTAAAGTCTGTCATGAGCCAATGTGGCCCATCAGGCTAGCGCTTATCTCCGGTTTCAGTAGCATGAAACGACTGGAAAAACCTCTTGGTTGTCCCCTGGCTTAAAGGCTAAAGTAGGTAGCCGATGCTGTCCAGTTACTCCCAAGTTATTGCTGGTCCCTTGCTTCTGCTCCGGGTTGTTGGGGGTCACTACGACCCTCTTGTAATAGTAATAGTAATCATTTATGACCTTTTAGAGGTTAAAAAAAACCTCATAAAATCACCATTTTCATATTTCGCCTTTCTCATCGATGGTGATTGAGAGGGCATGAAGCTAATAATTCTGCAATTGATTTTTGTTCTTGGATTTCAGCCTCCAAGCTACCCAAGGTCAACATCGACCCCTTGGATCAGCGGGAGATAACGGAAGGCACTCGCGTCGTCCTCTTCTGTGGGGGTAGCGGTGACCCCCAGCCCACGATCACCTGGTCCCGCAGCGGGGGCTTGCCCTTACCCTCGCAATCCAGACTGGAGAACGGCTACCTGATCATTCCCAATATCCAGTTTCAGGACCAGGGGGTGTACATCTGCACTGCGACCAATCAGCTGGGGTCGGGTACGGGTGAAATTGACATCCGCGTCAACCAAGGTGCGGGTTAATTCTAATTTTCTTTACCTGTTAGCACTTGTATTACATTGTGTTACATTTCTTTTATTCCTTGATGAATCTGTAAACCCGTACAGTGCTGGGGCGGTTTCGGGCAGTGTAAGGTGTAACAGGCAAGGCGCTTTAGGGCAGTACAGAGAAATTATGGGTTACATAGGCACTGACGTGTCTCATATTTTGTGTTGTCAAGTGTCAAATTCCCTGTAAAACAACAGTTTAACAGGGAATTTACAACATTTGATTGTGCTGCAATTTTCAGAAATAAATGGATTTGGAGGATTAGTATGTTGTAGCAAATATTGTTAAACTGACTTGTTTCACCTTTTGGGCTTTTAGATGCTGGAAAAAAACAAGAAAACCAGTCATGTTCTTGTAATCTGGTTCCCTGACGCCACGTAAGATAAAATGGAGCAATTTATAGACTTTGAAGAATTGTAAGGTCAGAGAATCAGTCTAGCAGGCTTGTACCCCTTCACAGGCGTGTAATCAATTGCAAAGAAAATGCAGAATAACTAAAAACGAAACACAAGAAGCAGTTTTTTGGGGAAAAAAACACTTTTCTCCAACGCTGGTCGGCCGACCAGCGTTGGAAATATACCATTTTTCTTGAAAATGTCAGCACACCAGGAGCCACGATTTTACAGGATGCTTTAGACTGTCATTCCCTAACAATCCAGTAAGGTATTTCGTGATAATTTGATCATTTCGGTTTTTGATGTTTGCAAATGTTGTATCTTCCCTTTAAGGACCACTGACCTCTGTGTTTCAAAATATCTGCTTTCCACTTTGGGAAATCGTAAATTCTGATTAAGGAAACCTGTTTCCTGCTTAATATACCGGTTTATGTCATGTAGTTGATTTAAGATTGAGAAAAAATTGTCCGAAGTCGTACATACATTTGTAATGCTTGGTATTGGAAAGTTGTACTATACAGAAAATGTTTGATTTCCAAATTTTTTTATTCTATTTTTGTGCTATTTTAGGGTTTTCACCAAAATTTGAATTCCAATCCAAAACGAATACATTAACTTGTTCTGTTTTTCTTCTGAAATGTGGCCCTGTGTTTCCTGAAGGGATTAATTGACTTATTGTGACTGCCGAAGATATGATTTGGGGTTGTCGGTATCGATTTTTTATCAGTGATTTCTGCATTTTTGTTGACAGAGAATCGACTGCCACCAACTGCCCGCATTGAGCCGCGGGGAGCCATCATCAACCCGGGCACCACGCAGGTCCTGCGCTGCATCGTCACCGGTACCCCGGCCCCTACCATCACATGGTCTCGCAGCTCGGGACCGCTGAGGTCCAATCATGTCGTGAGTCTCAAACAGATTCCCTTTTCCATCTGATCGGTTTTATTTCTATTAAGACTGACTCGTTCAACCCAGACAGATTTTGTTTTCAGAAGTGTATTTATTTTATTTCATTCATTAACTTCACTCTGAAATCACTCCGAATGACCCCAACTTTTGATATTTCAAAGTAGGAACGCCTAAAGCCTGGTTCATACTTCACGCCAAAGCGAAAGCAAAGTGAAATTTGTGACGTCAACAATACGTTCGAAGCGTGTCCACCATTGTTCACGACATGAGTTTCGCTTCGCACTTGTTTTCGCGTGAAGTATGAACTGGTCTTAACTGTTTCCTTTGCACTTTACATTTGCTTAAGTCCAATCTTCAGACTAATTTTGTTAGGTGCAAATTTGCAATTCCACTAGTGCTACAAGGGCAGATAACTTCCATTATGTGACAACTTGCCTAAGCAGGATCCATCCTGCGAAAAACATTGAAACAGGACAGTGTTCATCAAAATTTGGTGATGTTCTTTGGTTGCCATCAGGTGTCCAACAACATGCTTCAGATCCGAGATGCTACACAAGAAGACGAAGACTACTACACCTGCCGTGCCGACAACAGTGCTGGATACTATGAGTTCAGCGTGGAGATCAGGATACAGAGTAAGCGCATGCACATCCCGTCCCTGCTTCAAGTTCACCAATTTTTTTGTAGTTGGCCAGCAGCCGATTTCACGAAAAAAGCACAGCTTGCACCATGCATAAGACTTACGCAACAAATTTGTTGCGCAGCTGCACAGTAAAACTACGATCGATTTCGCGACACTTGGCATTGCTGCGCAACGCCTTAAATGATTTAAACATCTTCGACAAGGATAAAACAACATTTACGACAGCTGTTTCATTTACTTCAAGCACAAAGTTGTGAGTGTCTTGTATCAACCTTGATAAGTTGTGTAATAATTTGCTAGTAAAATAATTTGCTAGTAAAATATGTCATTTTCAGTCGCTACGTCACAACTTACGCCACCTAAAATGACTGCACAAGCTACGTCATAATTTATTTCGCATGTCGCGGACTATCGCACAATCCGACTTTTGTGAAATGTGTCATAAGTGAATGTAAATTGTGGCACAAGCAAAGTTGCGCCATTCCGTAAGGTTTTGTAAAATCGGCTGCAGGTCCTTTCCTGTGTCCCAAACTGAGAAACATTTCCAATTTTGTAAGGTAATACTTAGAAAATGTTCTTGCCTCTCCATAGATTTTGTGCACAACCGTTAAAGTGGCGTCTGGATATTACATTAATTCCATACTCATTCCTATGTTTGTTTGTTTGTTTGTTTGTTTGTTTGTTTTTGACTTGCAGGGCGCCAGTCACCCAGTGTGCGTATCACTCCATCCTCCAATCCGGTTATCGGCCAAGGAGACAGCATTCAGTTCCTCTGCCAGGCTTCGGGCATCCCTCCGCCCAATGTGTTCTGGAGTCGAGTCGGCGACCTGGGTTTCACCGGACAGACTTTCGCCAATGTAAATTTTCCGTCATCTTTCCTTTTTGAAATTCCGTACAAAGCGCAGACATAGAACGCTGTTGTCCACTGGTTACGGTGTTCGACTCCAAGCCGTGGTACCTGTGTTCGAACCCTGATGGGGAACATGGTGCTTGTGTTCTTGGGCAAGGCACTTCACTACAATTGCCTCTCTCCACCCAGGTGAATACCTGTGGAAGGTAAAGACCAGAATGCGCTGATCTCGAGCTGCTGCACAAACTGGTCTCATGACCTGATGAACAGGGGTAACAATTGTAAAGCGCTTTTAGACCGTTGGTGTAAAGCGCTGTATTAGCACATTATCATTATCATCATCATAATTTTCACCAACACTTGACTCAGGAAGTGTTGTATAATCTGAGGCTGAGTTTTCTTTGACTTTTTCAAACGAAGTAATTTTCTTCCTGAGAATATTGAAAAAATCTCTTCTGCAAATTTTGAAGGTGGTATTCATTGTCCACTTTATCAAAAAGGTACGCCATTTCATCAACCATTTTTACTGATAAAATGATTTTTTTTGGGGTGGGCAAACCTAACTTTTGTTACTTCATTGGTTGAGGCATATTTTATAGTTAGCTGATGAGGAACAGAATAGCAGTCATTTTTTGTGTGTTTGTGAACAAAAGAGGGCGCTTTGCCTCCTAACAGTGACAGCATGTGAAGGACACTTAGCTGGTTCACGCGTCCTATTCATGTTTATATAAAGTACGCATACCAGCATACATTAGGCAAGATGGCGTCCAGTGGTCCTTCAGTACTGGCACTCTTAATAATTTTTTTTTTTTGTTGTTGTAAATTTCATTTTCTCCATCCAACAGCAGATAACCGCCAATTACGGGCTGAGTAAAAAGACTAAATAAAAAAAAATAATTAAAAATATTACAATAACAAGTCTTACAGTAAGAGGAAAACAATAACACAAAAATATATAAACATTACAAATACTGCAAGAACTAAAAAAATAAAATTAAAAATCCAAGAGAGAAAAAAGTCAAAACAAAACAAAAGTTGAAAAAAGCATGCACATTTTCACCATGAATTGGTGAAAATAATTGACATATTGATGTACGTGAATTGTTTTCGTTTTGCTGAAAGGACAATTAGCTTTTTTTTGTGATCCGTGGACAGAACAGTTACATGCAGAACTTCATTACAAAAATGGTCCTGCTATTTGGGTTTCCTTTGTTTTTTTACTCACCCTGTATAGTCAGTTAGTGTTCAAATTGTGAAATACGTTGTCGCAGTTTTAATTATTACACAAATTGATTTGTTTCCCCTTTTGTAGGATAATGAAGGAACGTTGTTGATCCTATCGGCCACCCCCAATGAGCAGGGAGCTTACATATGCACCGCCAACAACACAGTAGGCACGATACAGCAAACAGTCACGCTGACTGTTCATGGTAAGAGGAAAATCATAAAACCAGGCCCGTCACTCCCCCACCTCCACCCCACCCCACCCCCCTCCACCCACCCCACCCCACCCGACCCCCAGCCCAACCCATATGCCACCCCATATTACATATGCTCCGCCAACAACACAGTAGGCACCATACAGCAGACAGTCACGCTGACTGTTCATGGTAAGAAGAAAATCATAAAACCAGGCCCGTCACACCCCTCCAAGGACAAGGATCTGTATGTCAGGTTGTGAAATGATTCCGTCTGGCTTGCTGTCATTTTAAAAGAAATCAAGAAGTGTATGTGATTTCCATGATAAGTCGATTGACTAATCATTTGAAATCAAGCGTTTCATTTAGGAAATCATGTTACGCCATCAAAAGAATGTGAAGGTTTTTCACCATTTCCTCGATCAGTGTAATATCTACTGAACTGAGTCAAACAAGCTCCTACCAAACAAATTTTAAAAACAGTTTGAAGTCAATTTCAATAATACTTCCATGGCAAATTACACAGGTCAGGTGTAACAGAAACACACAAAAAGGTTCAAACTTTTGGATTCATATTTATGGAATGAACCTCATATCAAAATGTTCAGGAGCACCACGCGTTGACGTCAGCCCAGCCAGCCCAGCCTCCTACCGCGTCGGGGACACGATGGTCCTGGAGTGCGTGGCCTCAGGCCAACCCATGCCCTCCGTCCAGTGGATGAAGATGGGGGAGCAGAGCCTGTATGAAGCCGTACCGTCCAGCGAATTTGAGTTGTCCTCGGAGAACGCGGGCAGCGTGGTCTACAGCATCGACTCGGTGGACATGAGCCACGCTGGCAGCTACATGTGCCGGGCCGAGAACGCTGCCGGATTCCACGAACGGGAGATCGTCGTCGATGGTGAGTGATGGGAAGGATTGAAATCACACGTGGGTTTCTGGTAAACCATTCTCTGATATCAACCTTGTACACCATGTGTACATTTCTTCAAGTAGAGTTTCATTTTCATGTTTGCCGTGTTATGAATTGGAACAGTTTTTGGCTTCATTTTGTCGTTAGTTTTTTCCAAATATTAGCATTTTTTTTAGGGATGATGTAGTGTGAATTTGAAAGTGTTTGTGAAGTGTATATTGTTTTTAAAAATTCTTCCATATTTTGAATTTTGACAAATAAGGAACTACATACGACAGTTTACACAAATTGGACTGATCACAATCCTCCACCTCATTCACATTCAGTGGGAAGCCAACCCCTTGAAAATATGTCTTGTGAACGTGTTCAAATTCATTGTCAAAAGTCTTAGTCCAAGTCGTCTGGTGCATTCTTCCCCCCCCCCCCCCCACCCCTTTTGGGGCACAAGACCCAGAATCTAAACTTTGGCTCTTCTCATGAATACCATTACAAATTGAAAAATACTGTACAAAGTCTTGTGTTTCCTCATTTCCTCAAAGTTTCCTCATTTTTTCTAAATTCCCAGTGACATGCCTGTACCTGCCTACCCTATTTCCAAATGCCATGAAATCGGAAGCAGAACGATATTTTTTTTTGGGGGGGGGGACCTTACCAAGGTAAATGCATAACTCTCTGGTATATTCCACCAGGTTTCGTAACTTCTTTTTTTCTCCCTGGCAGTTCGTGAGAATGAGCGTCCCGGACCACCCCGTGTGGAGGTATCGGTGGAGGAGTTGGAGAGAGTGGAGGGAGAATCAGCCCAGTTCAGCTGCCGCGCATCCAGTAAGCAAAAAGTGGGGATTTTAACCACAAAACACAACCCAAAAAATGATTGAATTAAGTACTCAAAATATGGTATTACAGGCAAGTTGGGTTAGTGGTATTAACAAGTGACCAACAGACTAACAAATAGTTATAAAAAAGCAAACAGTTTTTATTATCAAGGAGAATTCTTAGACCTTATCTTAAAATAATGTGTTAGAAATTCCACTTGGAGTCGGCTTTTCAGCCCTTTAAGAATTCTTTATTTTTTGGGGGGGGGGGGATTTTATTTTTATTTCATTGTAAAGTATGGAAATTTTTCAAGCGCTTCTAATTGTTACACTGCCTTTCGGTTTGAAAGCAGAAAAAAAAAGTTCTGTGAATTATAAAAAGTTGTGTGAATTAGTCCATAGGTTTTACCCAAAATACTTTATAGGGTTTTCTTTTTATCTCTAGAACTGAACATTTTGCCCTTCATAGATGTATTTTATAAACCAGTATACTCAGTGTTGTCCTGAGTGATTGTGAGACTTGAACCCGCGACCTGGAGACGTCTTACCACTCGACCACCAAGCTTGCCGGGATCGGCTGGCTGGTTTGAATCTGATATAGTAGCGTGTACCGCAACCAAACTATTTATAAGTTTTACTTCACCCCGACGCAAATTCCATTTTATGAATTTTTTTTTTTTTTTACATTTGTCGACTTCATTTTTGGACGCTCTTGAGAAATTCTTTTTTTATGTCCAGAAATAATTACTTGAGAATGCAAGATTGAATTTGATTGGAAAAAACACCTTTTTTTTCTTGTCAGATTTGGCGGAGGGAACCTACACCATCACTTGGCGGCGTCTGGGCGGTATGATGCCCTCCATGGTAACCGTCGACAACGGCATCATGACCTTCCCCGAGACGCGGGCCGAGTACTCGGGCCAGTACTTCTGTATCATCACCACGGGATTCGGCGTCTACCAGCAGGTCGTCACGCTCATCGTGCTGGGTGAGTGCTCAGTCCGAATACCCTGTCAGTGTGGACTCGGTGTGCAGGTAGTCCCTAACTTTATCATGAACACCGTGCATGATTGGTAGATGGCGTTTTGTGGCCTTTTTCTTGGGCCCCAGTGGGAGCGATCCACGGCATGCTTGTACTGGCCCGGGTGCGAATGGCGCAAAGGTGCATGAATTATTTTTATTCTCAATCTGCACAGACCGGTAACGTCTTTGCTCACTCGCATATAGAGTCAGAGAACGACATGCGCGGTGTTGTCCTAATGCCCTCTGATTCAGGGTCAACTGACTCTAGAAAGAACACTGCTGAAAGAACTCTACTTTTTTGTGATCCGTGGACAGAACTTTAAAACAGTGTTTGTGTTCAAACTTGCATAACTTGAAAAGTACATGAGTGATTTGAATGATTCTTGTACTAAAAGAAAGTTTAATGACTGGGATTTCATATCCTAGATTTTGAAAGTGCTACAGGCAAAACTTCATTCAAAAATTGGTCATGCCATTTGGATTTCGTTTTTTTTTTTACACACCCTGTACAGCTAGAGGCAAAAGGGCCACGTCGACATAAAGTGGTGTTGCTGGATCCTCAATTGCTAAAAATGTGACTAAAGATTTTTGCTTTAAGATGCGCAAAGTGTATAAAAACAATGCTTTTGCCAACTAAGGAGAAATGTTGATTTTTTTTTCTTTCATTTCCCAGTTACACCGAGGCCAACTGTTTCTCCTGCTGGTCAGACGGTCAGAGCCGGGGACCTGATCCGCATACAGTGCATGGCTGAAGGGACCCAGCCTATGAACTACGAGTGGCAAAAGGTATGCATTTACATACATGATTATTCATGACATTTATGAATATGCAGGACCCAACCTATGAACTATGAGTGGCAAAGGTATGCATTTACATACATGATTATTCATGACTTTGATGAATATGCATGGTCCAACCTATGAACTGAGTGGCAAAAGGTATACATTTACATACATGATTATTCATGACATCGATGAGTATGCAGGGCCCAACCTATGAACTATGAGTGGCAAAAGTATGCATTTACATACGTGATTATTCATGACATCAATGAATATGCAGGGCCCAACCTATGAACTATGAGTGGCAAAAGTATGCATTTACCGACATGATTATTCATGACATCAATGAATATGCATTGTCATAAATATTCAACAGAACATTCCAAGGTGGTTATTTTGTAGGTCAAGTAATTGGAAAGAATTCTTCTTAATTTGCTCATTTGCCTTCCTCGATAAAAACTGTATTCCAATTGTAATTAAACCCTGAATTAGGCATAAGTTTAAGGAGTATTTAAAATAGATGAGTATTTATTAAGGAATGATGAGTAATTCTTTTTAAAAAAATTGATGACTTTTTTTATAGAATCTATAGATATTTATAATTCAGATATAGAAGTACTTTTGGGGTTTCCTGAAAAATAAATGGCCGTTTTATTTTTTAGAATTTACATTAAACAATTATTAATTTAAAAAAAAACATTTCGCTGTTTATGTTTCAATTTTTATGTCTCATCAGGTCGGAGGTCCACTTCCCCCCACCGCCTCAGATGCCAACGGGATGCTCCAGATCACCATGGCAACCGCCGCCGATGCAGGAGAGTACATCTGCACGGCTACCAACAGTGCTGGTTACCGCACCATGTCTGCAACCGTGTATGTACAAGGTGAGAAAAGGGTTACCGTGGATAAATACATGGATTGGTGTGAAACTCAAGTTTTGCATACATTGTTCTACAATTGTGAAATTTTACAAGCGTGAAATTGAATTGTAGTGGAAAATTCTGCGCTTACTTATTTATAAAAAAAACTTGACATGTGCGGGTACTGATATTGTAAGCCACTTTCTCATCTGCATTTTTTTAAAGGCAATATACAACATTTGCAAAACATCAAAAAACAAAACTACCAAATTATCATGAAATACCGTACTGACTGTTAGTTAATAACAGTCTAAAGCATCCTGTAAAATCATGGCACCTGGTGTGCGGACATTTTCAAGAGAGGTGCATTTTTGGTATCAATTTCCAATGATGATCGGCCGACAATTTAAACACTGCCCCTAATTTTACCAAATTTAATTAATCCACATTTTGTTTCCAATCCGTTATTCTGACAGGGCACACATAGTGTACCGTTCCAGTGAGCATGTCCCCTTGATTTGCATAGAAAGCGAGTCGCTTTGGTTTTTTTTAATTTTTGCTTGCAACATTTTACCGTTAACTATACAAAAATGTGTTTTTTGCTGACAAATAAATGCGTAGCAATTTACGATACAAACTTTCTAACGCAATTGCCCACTGCCAGCCTCGTTTGTTGCCTGCTAAATCAAACAAACAACAGCTTCTGACCTCTGTTGCATTCTGTTGCTTTAAGTAGGGTTGGCGTAAACAAAACATGAATAAGTACTGACTTGTTTTTTTGGGGGTTGGTTTATTTCCAAAGTTCCACCGACGGTGATCGTCAACCCGGCCAGAGAGACCAGGGCCATCGGCGGATTCGTGGAGTTCATGTGTCAGGCGACCGGTAGCCCGCCACCAGTAATCATCTGGGAGAAAGAGGACGGATTCCTGCCTGTTCAGCACAGCATTCAGAGCGGACTCCTGAGGTAACGCAAGGCCATTTGCCAAACTTCGGCTTCGTCTGTTGCTCTGGCTTAGTTTCTGGCTCCAGGATCATTCAGTAGCCTTTAGTGTTATCTTGATTTGTAAAATACCTTGGGTGACAGCTGAAGCTGAAAGCAAAGTCAAAGTTTGGGAAAAAAACGTTTGCATTCCACAATGTCACAATTTGCAGCTTCAGTTCATTTGAATAAAAAGCATTGATGATAATATAAGGTCATTGCACTTCAAAACCACTAGCAGATGTAAAAGTGATTCTTATGTCCTTTTTTACTCCCAGTCCAAATCTCATTCCAAAATCATTTAATTCAAATTTTTAGTCTTGATTATCCTCCCAAAATAAAAAAAAGAAATTACTCCCATATCTGCTATTTATTCACCAAAATATTGCCAATATTTAGTCAGTCAAAAAATAACCAAAAGTTAAGTTATAAGTTTATTTCTGTAATTCATTGTATTGTAATTGTATAATTACAAAAACCAGGTGATTAGCATGATAATGATCCGCAGACAAGGTTCTGCGATATTTAATAAATCAAACTGATTTATTTGTTCTTTTTCTTAATTTGATCATATCCCTCATATTTGTTTTGTACTTGTTTCTTGTCATTTACAGCATCAGGAATCTTCAGCCCGGTGACGAAGGCCGTTACATCTGTACGGCAAACAGCTCAGCCGGCTCCTCCAAGGCATACGCAAGACTAGCACTCCAAGGTGAATTAACCATCACTGAACCCATCCACAGAAGTTTGTCTAAAATACCATAGAAAGCGATAATACACACGTGAAGCATTTCCTCTGGGTTTAATTAATCGATAAAAACTGGAGAGATAGTTCAGATGTCTTGTGTTTGAGTTCCATCTTTCTTTCAATTTAAGACAGTATTTAAAAAAAAATGTGGGGTTTTTTTGGTTATGTTTTTTGTTTCTCTTCTGTTTGTTCGGCCATTTCAAGTCCTTAGACTTTCTAAAGTTATTTTCAGTTTTTGTTATATTTAACCCTTTCCTTACCATGGGCGACTTTTGCCGACAAGAACTACTCCCCTGCTGCTTACCATAGGTGACTTTAGTCGAACAGGAAACCACACACAGAACACCCTCAACACAGATTCATTCCCTGTTTTTCAGCAAGCTGGCATGTTGGTGTGTTTGGCCGCCCATGCATCAACCATATACCAGCTGAACCAGTGTTTTTGAATCGTTCTAATGGTGTAGTTTACTCGTAGTGTTCCCATTACAAAAATGTAAGAAAAGTGCTTAAAAGTATCCACGCACAATTCTGAGGTATGGAGTGCCTTAATTTTTTTTAAAATCCAAATTCACACGCACTTTGTGGACCGTTTCCTTCACATTTTTGGGGGTTCTTGTATACACAGCTGCACCGTCGGTGGAGATCAGCATCCACACCACAGTCCAGTTCATCGCCATCGGCGAGTCGGTCACCTTCGAGTGCCGGGCCCGGGGTGATCCCGAGCCGGTCATCATGTGGAGCCGCGAGAACGGTGAGCCACCCATCACGGTCATCATCCGGGGCGGCATGATGACCATCCCGCAGGTCCAGCTGCAGGACGCAGGCACCTACCTGTGCACGGCAACAAACATCGTCGGCTCGCAGACCTCCAAAGTCATCCTTTACGTGCAAGGTGAGAGAGAGAACCTGTTAGTACCTGTACTACATTGTATTACATTGTATTACATTGTATTGCATTGTATTACATTGTATCGCATTGTATTACATTGTGTTACATTGTATAACATTGTGTTGTATTGCATTGTATTGCATTGTATTGCATTGTATTGCATTGCATTACATTGCATTACATTGTATTGCATTTATTACATTGCTTTACATTGCTTTACATTGTATTACATTGTATTACATTGTTTCACATTGTATTACATTGTATTACATGTATTACATTGTATTAAATTGTTTCACATTGTATTACACTGTATTACATTGTATTACATTGTATTACACTGTATTACACTGTATTACACTGTATTACACTGTATTACACTGTATTACACTGTATTACACTGTATTACACTGTATTACATTGTATTACATTGTATTTATTCCCTGATGAATCCATAAACCATAGAGTGCTCGGTTGGTTTCAGCAGGTACAGGGAGCAACAGGCAGGGCAGTTTGGGGCATTACAGGGAATAACGCGTTAATCAAATCTTCTTTTTTTAAGTCAAAATGCCAACATTTGACTTTCTCCCTTTAAGATTTTCATCTTTACTTCCATGTGAAAAATTTCTTTCTAAAACAAATGATGTATATGCCATTGTTTTTCTCATGAAAACATTGAAAAAGAATGTGATAATGAACGGATTTGAATATTCTAAATCTGATATAATTGTGCGTTTGTCTATAAATTTCACTCAGGCTGTGTCAAGACATTAGAATTGTACTTTACAACAGGGTTGTACTTTACAACAGGGTAATTCTATAAACTTGGGGTACGCTTTTTTCCTGTCCCTTACCTCTGACATCTATGATTTTATAATTCTGATACATTCTTAATGCAGTCGTCCTCCAAGGGTGATTATGAATAGCAAATTACCTACCCAACAAACGAAAAATAATTTGAAGCCATGTTAATGATGCTTGGATGGCAGATTACAAAGTACCAAGGTAACAGGGACAGGAAAAATTAAACAAAAATGATAAAATGACCAAACACCAAAAGGAGAGTTTACAGCTGTTTACAGACCAAAATAGAAGACTTGATTCCGTTTTCAATCTTTCTTCCCTACTCGCAGCCAAGCCGCAAATCTTGGTCATCCCCCAGGAGCGCAACGCTCCGGTCGGTAGCCTGGTGGAGTTCACCTGCGTGGCGTCTGGGTTCCCGCCTCCCCAGACCACCTGGTACAAGCAGACGGGCGACATGCCGGGCCGCTACACCATCGAGAACGGCAAACTGACCATCCAGTCGGTCAGCGAGGACGACGAGGGCGTGTACATATGCAGCTCCACCAATCAGAGGGGCACGTCCGAGTATCCGGTCACCTTGACCGTCGGAGGTACGCAGACTTTGTTTGTTTACTTTCATTTTTTGTAAGGGCCCATGCAATGTAATTTTTTGAATGGAATCCTTTCAAATGCTCTTTTGTGTCCCATTTAATCAATCAATCAATAAAAACTTTATTATCCCATTGCAGGAAATTCCATGGCCCCTTTGTACATGCAATTTTTTTTTAAACACATTTAACTTTATTTTCAATTTTTGTTTTGCCATTTTCAAGGAAATGTTGGTGCCTTTTTATTATCCCCCTGGCTGTAAGCCGGAGGGGTATATTGCGATAGCGTATTCCTTCTGTGTGTATGTATGTCTGTATGTATGTCTGTATGTTTTGGGTTAATAGGTAAACTCTTGTCAGCACGTTAACTTTTTTCGTTTAAATCCGATTATTAGCTGTGGAATAGCAGCTCAACAAATCATCGTCTCTCTGTTAGTTGGTTAGTAACAAAGGTTGACATTGTCTATTGCTCCTACATATTTTGACCAATTTCAACCAAACTTTGTCAAAAGTATCAGTAGCCAAGCCCCAGCATGTCACATGACCAAACTGGGGTCAAAGGTCACCATGGGGTCACTGGAAACAAAAACCTGATATTATTTTTACTCCAAACACTACTCCTTTCAGAAAGTACATGGCACAATCACATGCATTGCATTGTATTACATTGTATTACATTGTATTGCATTGTATTGCATTGTATTACATTGCAATCACATGACTCATGCATAAACACGAAGTCGTTGGCCCGCAGCTTCCAAGATACTTCTGATTGAGCTTGTTTTTTTACCAATTCCTCTTTTTTCTTTTGCAGAGCTGATCCCCTACTTTACCCAGATGCCGATGTCTTATATCTCCTTCCCGCCCTTACGGGAGTCCTACGTGGTGTTTGATATCACTATCTCTTTCAAACCAGAGGGCTCGCAAGGTGAGCACCAACAGTCTAGTACCTGTCTCTGATTGTTCAATGTGTTGCGTTTTGTTCTTAAACCCTAAACCCCTGGGCCCTTTTGGCCAGGAACCATCCTCAATCCTGCAAAATTCTCCAATCGCCGCCGTGTAAAAATTGGATTCAGGCTCAACCCTCCAAAATCATTTGTTATTTCTTGAATTTGTTCAGTGGAGGGGTGACCATTGCCTCAATCCTTCAAAATCCTCCAACAAGCACTGGGTTGGGTTGAGACAGTGCCGATGACATTCAGAAGCAGTGCGGATGATATCGAGTATAATGCAGGGCTCAACTATGCATAACTGAACATAAACAATGCAGGGTACAGCCTACCAACTTGACGCAGTGCATCCTCAAAAATCAACTGTCCCATTATTTTGTCATTAAACCACAATCCTCCAAAACCACCTGGAAGATTTTGGAGGATTGAGGAAGGTTAGGCACAGGTTGCACAAGTTAGCCATTTTTGTCGTGTTCCCTGAATGTATTTCATAAATTGTGAACTGTTGAATGGGATGGTGCCAGACTATTTATTCACTATAGCCTCACTTTCATTTTTTTTTAAAAATAAATGTGGCTTAAAACATTAGAGTATGTTTAATCACAAAATGTTTAATTATTCATCAGAGCAGACTGGTATTAATTTGTAACGTCATTGCTTTCATTTCTCTTCACAACTTCCAAAAATGCGGATTTTACCTCACTCTCAATCCAATATGGCCGACTTATGAATAAGTCCCGTAGCATTCTCCCTGCGCACGCAACTGTTAGCACATCCACGCCATGAAAACTTTCTGCTATCGTAAGCACAACTTTTCTGCTAACTGATAAGCAGCGCCATGAATTCGGGCCCAGTTCCCTGCCCTACACCCAATCACATTTTTCTGGGTCTTCTTTTCCCTCATTGTTTCCCCTATAGGCTTGATTCTGTACAATGGTCAGACCCTGGAGGGCGACGGAGGTGACTACATCGCTTTTGGCATGCGGGACCGGCTCGCCGAGTTCCAGTTTGAGCTGGGCTCGGGCCCGGCCACCCTGACCAGCACGGAGCCCCTCGAGCTGGGCCAGTGGCACACGGTCCGCCTGTACCGCAATCGACGCTCCGGCCTCATGCAGGTGGACCAGCAGCCCGAGGTGCATGGCAACTCCAGCGGAGGGTTCCTGGGTCTCAACCTGGTCCAGAAGCTGTACCTGGGAGGGGTCAGGAGCTTTGACATGGTGCCCAGGGCGGTGCGATTTGAGAACGGGTTCATAGGTGAGGGAAAAAGAAAAAAAATGTTCTAACACCTACTACAATTAGCACTTCCTGCTTACTCGTGCAGACTTCTTACCACTCAACCACCTACAATCCTGGCCAAATCTCGCTAGGCCCCCCACCCCCCAGCCCCCGTTCAATGTTGTCTCTCATTGCGCGGTGTGTGCTCCACCAGCTGGAGAGAACAACATTGACCGGGGGAGTGGGTGACCGTGGCAGGTTCAGGAAGTGTCCCAACCATTTTGGCTAGGATTATTGTAGCTTGCCGGGTCGGCTGGTCGGTTCAAATCTGATACAGCAGCGGGTACCACAGCATATTCATCAATTTTGTTGAAATACAAAGAATACAGCATTGTTTACTGCACAGTGTGGTAGATTAACCCTCCTGCTATTTAAACAGTCACAGCCAGTCAAAATTCACTTCCACTTCCCCTGCTGTACTTTTAACAAAAGGCTAGTCACCAGCAGTCAGATTATATGTCAAGCAAGCACTGTGACTGGTCAAATTGGGTCAACAGACAAAGCAGGCTCGGAGTCAAAGCATAGCTGTATCAAGCTACTTAAACAGTCCCAGCTAGTCGATCCTGCTTTTGTAGGCTGGGAATTCTTAACTGTTGAAAACGGTCACTTGATAGATTTTGACTGCAAGGACAACTTGGCACAGAATGTGTCTTTGCATAGGAGGGTATAACGAAGCTCTCTTGAAAAAAATGGCCTGTTATTTTGGTGTCTCCCCCTCCCTTTCAATCCCAGGCTGCATCAGCCAGTTTATCATCAACAACCAGAAGATCTACCTGGGCAGCGAGCTGGGGTCACGGGTCGGAATCCAACCCTGCCCGACCTGCGAGGTCGACACGTGCAACAACGGCGGGGTGTGCCAGGAGGCCAGCACGGAGTTTGGGTTCCAGTGTCAGTGCCAGGCCGGCTTCACAGGCATGCAGTGTGACACCGCCGAGCGATGCGTGGATGGTAAGAAACGGCCAGAGCAATGGACTTGTAGATCACGTCTCGACCACTCATGTGAAAGTTATATTTATTCATTTCTGGTAATGAAACCAAGGATTCCTCAAAAGCGCCCTAGGCACTGTAGCTCTGAAGAAGCCTGTAGAGAGAAGACAATGAGAAGAAATTACAGTTTTAGAGGTGGGAGGAAAAGCCCAGAAGAATAGTCTGGGGGAACCCACGGAATCAGGCAAGGACTGAAAACCAAATCCATATGTGGACCAGGGCGGGAATCGAACCCGGGCCACAGCGGTGGAAGGCAAGGACAGTAACCACTCCGCCAACCTGACCACCCAAAGTAAACAGAAAATACTTCATGTTTTAACAAAACATGTCAAATATAAATAGCGTTGGAAAATCGCAACACTCGCTTTGAAAGATTTTAGTTATCAAGGAGAATTGTGGGGAGTTTGAATCGAACCAAAACCAACTGAGCACTACCTACATTTATGGCTTCTGACTAGCATCCCTGAACAAAAGCACTTGACATTCGGGGAAGACTGCAACATCAGAAATGTTGGTAGAGTACTAGTATCCATTATCAGAGGTCACAGGTTCGAATCCTGCAGCTAACTGAGCTCTACCCCTGTGGCTTCTGACTAGTACCCCTGACCAAAAACACTTGACATTTGGCGAGACTGCCAACATAAGAAATGTAGGTAGAGCACTAGTATCCATTTCAGTGGCCACAGGTTCGAATCCTGCAGCTAACTGAGCTCTACCCACTGTGGTTTCTGACTAGCACCCCTGACCAAAAAAAATTTGACATTTGAGGACACACCAACACAGGAACTGTTGGTAGAGCACCTATGCTGCGTTCCAGAAATCGCGGGTTCAATTCCTGCTGCAGTCAGTAAGTCTTTGGTTCCAACAAAGTATTTCCTATCCGTGTCATCATGTAGGTCTGTGCGGCTTGGGCTATTGTGAGGAGGACCCCGGACCGGTGGGTTATCGGTGCGTCTGCCCACCGGGGCGCAGTGGCCAACACTGCGATATAGGTAAGATGATGGACATGTAAGATGGGATTTGGGGATATTTATTTCAAACTGGACTTTGCACTTCTTTGGCGTAATTTTGAAGTAATAGTGGTTTTTACCCTTCACTAGCGTAATTTTTTGGGGGGTGGGGGGAGACAAACAATGATTTGTATATAGCAGACAGCACTGTAAGAAACTACATTTTTGAACTCTTTATGCCTAGATTATTTTTGAAAAGGGGCAAATTAAATAAGAGTGGGGTTTGAGTCATGCATAACATCCAATTACCAGCCCTGTGTTCGATTACTTCCCTGCACTTACTCGTGCAAGCGCGACTGTGTTTAATATAACTGTCATGTGGCTTCTTGTGCTTACCCGACGGGAGGAAAGTGAAGTTAATTTTTAAACATACCCGGCATTTCTTGTTCATAAAATAGACAAAACTGCGGGTAACACCATGTGGAAAGAAATCTCTTCTTGGAAGAAGTGTGGTTCTGAAAAGAACCGTTTGTTTCACTCACCCTCCTGAGGACAGACAGAGCACACTGTCCGAAAACGTCGAGTTCTACACTCAACCAACCGGTTCTTTTCAGAACCACACGAAGAGATTTCTGTCCACGTGGTGTTACCCGCAAGTTTGTCTGTTTCATGTCATCAGCCATGCAACGCTTCAAGTCATATATATTTCTTGTTCATTTAGGAAGAGCACATACAGTGGCCACAATTGCTCGCTTTCGACAGCTCAAATCCATTTGCAAAGGGGATTTAGTCGCCACATGACCTCTTGACCCGGTCCGGTTGCTGTGGCTCGTCCTCGAGCAACCCGAAATCATTCGTTTATTGCTACATATTGCGCATGCGAATCTATACCCAAGACGAAAGCGCAAGGGGAGTAATTGAACGCGGTGCCATATCTTTTTTTAAAGTATAGACCTAAATCACATGATAAAATTTGAAAAGAAAATCTAATTTATTTGTGCATCGTGATTCTCTTGGCTCGACTTTATTTTTTATTCATGGCATGATGATATGATTTATGTTATTTTAAAGAGGTTGTGGAATGCTCGAAGACATTTCCGTCATTTTTCGGGTATATGTAGCCTAAGGTGTGATGAAATAAAAACGACTATTGTTTCTGTCATAAAATGAGTACAAAAGGTACTTTTGAGAGCTGTTTTTCAAGTTCTGTCATGCCTGTTTCGACCCGAACGTGCAATTTGTGTAAAAGTCGTCGTTGCGGGCAGCAAACAAAACACAGTAAATCGTGACGTAATAAACAGGACTCCCGATGCAGAGTAGCATAAACGAGTCCTGTTTATTACGTCACGATTCACTGTGTTTTGTTTGCTGCCCGCAACGACGACTTTTACACAAATTGCACGTTCGGGTCGAAACAGGACCTGCAAAATAGCTCTCAAAAGTAACCTTTGTACTCATTTCATGACAGAAACAATAGTCGTTTTTATTTCATCACACCTTAGGCTACATATACCCAAAAAATGACGGAAATGTCTTCGAGCATTCCACAACCTCTTTAATTGGAATGCATACAAGTTACAATTGCTAAATTTACATTAAAAATAGGCATATTGTAATTGTAAATGTTCATACTTATGCACAATTATGACTCATTCTGAATATATTGTTAACAACCGAAAAAAATGTCTTTCATCAAATGAAATTGTTATAATGATGCGACTTGAAATGAATTTCATGTTGACATGAGAATGAGCCAAGACCACAGTACTTCAATGTGTTAATGCTCATGAATATGCATTAACCCCCATCCTGTGTGTAACACAATGTCCTCTGTGTAGTCATGACTACTACAGTAATATGCACACATGCCCATACATGGGGCTGATTAACTCCTGTCAAAAGTCCGAGCAACTTCTTTGCATGATTCATTCTTGTCCTTTTTTTTTCTGCAATTAGGTAACGCATCTTCTCTTCAATATCAATAACAGTTTTTAGTCACAATGTTATAATACTTTCATTTGAACTGCTCATTATTCTCGAGGAAAGAATGCTTTTTCTGTATCTTACTACTTCTTGTCATTTTGCCAATATTGGATCTTTCAAACTATGTAAAGATGTGAAGACATCTCAACAATTTCACTGATCTTGGATCTTTGATTAGCACGCTCCCAAATACGACATAAAAAGTTTTGTAACTAAGTTAGGAGGGGATGCTGTCCGTCTTTTTTTTTAACCCAAATTTTAAGACGGCAAATGAAATCATCATGTAATCAATATGTGCCCCCTGGAAAATGAAGGGCAATCCTCATATAGTTTATACATATATACATTTGTATTTTACCCTCTGGCGATTAAAGAGCAAGTTTCTTCTTCAGGAAACACCTCTCCTATACAGTTTACGTTTGCCCAAAGATGAGCCTACATGTGATATATTACCATCTGGAAATTGAAGAACATTCGGTGACTTTTTAAGAACCCTATAGTGTAATCCAGGTAACAGAATAAGAAGCTATTTTTAAGGTCGTGCCACACTTGCGCGCACACCGCACACATTCTATAGGCGAGGCGCGCACATATCGGTAACCCTATGGGGTTGTTGGAGACTGGAGTGCATGCATCTGACTTGAACACGACCCGAGCAAGCCTGGTGCCACCGCAGCGCTAAATTCAGAAAATAGCCATCGCTGAATTAGTCTGTAGGTTTTTATTTATAAAAGACACTTCAAATTTTCCATCAGGTGGAACAACCACATCATGTTAATTGTGTTCAAAAGGAATGTTCACAAGCTTTATGTGTTAATAGTAGGTAAATAGCTTAGAGAAAGAGCAGTCTGTATGTGAACCGTCTGGTGTCGAACCCACTCTGTGCATGAGCGTCAGAGTCTACAGTAACACACGCACTAGCCAGCACCGGGTCAGAGGTTCGATTCCTACGTTAGTCATTTTCTTTTCTGTTAGTTTTGTTACTGATATTTCTTACCTTTCTCAGTAGGATCTTTGCAGGTTACATGTCACGGTTTAATTTTGATCTAGTTGTAGCAGCATTCAGAATTAACTGGTACTTTGCATGCTATGTTTACCAGTTAACGACGACAGTGACGTCAACATGGGTAGCGGTCAAGACACACCCCAAGCAGATAATGGTATTTTTTTTTAATTATGAAACCATTTTTTAAATGCGATTTGCTGCGAACCAATAATAATTGCCCAGCTATGCAACCCCTTCTAAACAAAGATGGAACAGTCCATGTCATGACTCAGCAAAGATTGATCCATTGTGGATAGGGGTGGTTGAATAAAGTAGACTTTTGTGGTGTAATGTTGCATTTCCAATTTCAATTGAGTGAAAAATACAATTGACTGATTGTTCAACTTTGCAAAACTCACCCATATTGAAGTGGATCATTCTTTTCTGTTCAATGTTGTGGAATGTTCCATCAAGGTATGGAAGGGGTGTTTGAATGGACCCATTATTTAATGGCAGATTGTGTTTGCAGCCCCTCCACTCATCCATGATTCAAAATCACCCCTTTTTTTGCTACTTTTTATTCAATTCATAATCATTGCGATGGTTTTGGTCAAATTCAGATACATTTTTTGGACTTTCAAATTGTGTTTCACAGTTACCATAAAAAACACACCCACATTTGCACTTTTATTGTCATTTCTTTGGTGGTTGGGGGAATGAATGTTCTGATTTTACACGATTTCTACAAAAACCTAAGCAAAAGTTACAAAGGCAAATATTAAGTGCATGTTATGCTAAGCGAGAAACAAAGGGTAGCCTTTCTCAAGTTTTTGCACATTCCACGCTCTTGTACTTTGCAGAAATGTAGAAATGTAGGTTTTGTAGCATCCCCAACACACTCGCACTAGCGTGAATAGTTTTAGAAAGTTGTCAAGTTGCAAGTACATGTAGATATCACATAGGCACCTTTTGTTTGCAAATAATGGGAATGTTGTTTACGTATGGAAGCTTGCTTGCGTAGTAACAGGGTGTCCAGGAAAACGTTCCAAAAACTCCATTCTGAAAAGATTTCAAATTCACAGCCAGTTGAATTCTTTGCTCTGTAAAATTGTTAACATGGTGATAGAAAAAAAACATGTTGGAAAATGTTTTGGGACACCCTGTGATTATTTTTAAAAAATAAATTTAGAAGACCTGTTGTACTTAGAATTGCATGATTTTTGTTAAAAAAATAGATTGAATTTGCTTTTAGATTTATGGTTTTGTTTTGCATCGTGAGTAGATTTTCAATTGTAAAAGGAGTAGATGTTTCTTATAGTTACCGTTTTGAAATGCTATTTTAGATTTTGCTTTTTAGATTTATTCAGCAATATTCGACAGAATCAGGAGAAACTTTTCACACATCGTACTGTGGGTTCAAACATTTATCACACATTTCTTCCCTTTTCGTAGCATTTTGTTGCAGTATGGAAATAAATGAAATGCATGTCATCAGGCATCCCATCTTTGAAATTTGCACGTTGCATACTTGCACAATTAAGGCTAGCACATGTTTGCATGGGTCATTTCTCGAGCATGGGATGATTACGTTACTCAGCGGCCATTTTGTTTCCACTACCTTTCCACAACAAGTCTGAACAGAAAAAAATAACATGTCCGGAAAAAAAGACTGAAGCTCTGAAAATGTGGCTGTTATTATAGGTTTTCCCGGCCAATTTCCTAAAATGTTCTTTCACTTCTCAAAATCGGTCACTCATTTTCGCCTGAATTTGAGAATCGCTCTGAACACGCGTTTCATTTTCGCTACCAGAGCTTTCGATTCCATTTCCATTCAATCAATTAAGTGATTGAGCAGCACATTTCGTTTATGCTCATTCAGATTCGTTTACAAGACTTCCTTTTCGCTTTTAGAGGGCGATTTCAAACATTGGTCATTCTATTTCACTTTTAGTTTAAAGTTATGTAATGCAATCCGCTATTTTGAATGAGAAAAACGTACTTTTGATTACACATTCACGAAATTGAATGCCAGAACTCTGCGCGAAAAGGTACGCTTGTGTAAATGAATGCTCAGGTAACGGAATTGGCCGTCTGTTTCTCAAAACCGAATGCACGGACAATGAAAACGATTGAACTTTCGTGGAATTGACATGGGATTCTGACCGATTTTCAGAAGTGAATGAACATTTTAGGAAATTGGCCGGGAAAACCTATACTTTGAAGGAGTGTTTGATTTTGATACAACTGAAGCTTTTTGAAAGGAGAGTTGTTGTGGAAGACGTGGTGTGTTCTGGAAATGGCCCTTGAGATACTAATACTGGAGAGAATTAGCATGAAAATTGGCATTTAGCACTGCTGTTTTATTTTTTGCTTGAGCGTTTCTTACATTCGTTTGGAATTGTAACGAGTTTTGCACTGAAGCAAATCTTGGTTTGTATCATTTTGTTCATGTTTGTGTTCTTGTTCACCTTGGTTGGAGATTTGTCATCCAATTTAGTCGCCAACCGACTGGAGATGTGCGAGAGACTTTCCACTCTGTTAATTCATTGGTTGAAAGTGAAACTGGAGACAAAGTCCTGAACTTCGCAAACCTCGCAGTTCCATTTTCTCCCCCAGGATTGTGAATCAATTCTGCTCCATTCTATTTAATGATCCATTCTAAGATCCAAATTCTAATTACTGCCTGGGAACCTTATTAAAGGCCAAGTTATTCCTTGGGGGGGGGGGGGGGGAGGGGAGTAAAAGAAATCTTGATTTATCTGGTTCCACTGGACTGAAAACTCACCATTGAAATATTACACCTTGAAAAAAGGTCTTCCATGATACTGAAAAGTCTCCTTTACGACGTAGTTTCATCCCCTATCTGCCCCCACACCACTCCTCCACCTCCACCCCACTCCCCCACCCCAATCCCCCCATCCCAACTTCCTCCCCCCACTCCTCCACCCCACTCCCCCACCCCATTCCCCCACCCCACTCCCACCCCATCCCCCACCCCACTTCCACCCCATTCCCCCACCCCCACACCACTCCTCCACCTCCACCCCACTCCCCCACCCCACCCCAATCCCCCCATCCCAACTTCCTCCCCCCACTCCTCCACCCCACTCCCCCACCCCACTCCCACCCCATCCCCCACCCCACTCCCACCCCATTCCCCCACCCCCACACCACTCCTCCACCTCCACCCCACTCCCCCACCCCACCCCAATCCCCCCATCCCAACTTCCTCCCCCCACTCCTCCACCCCACTCCCCCACCCCATTCCCCCACCCCACTCCCACCCCATCCCCCACCCCACTTCCACCCCATTCCCCCACCCCCACACCACTCCTCCACCTCCACCCCACTCCCCCACCCCACCCCAATCCCCCCATCCCAACTTCCTCCCCCCACTCCTCCACCCCACTCCCCCACCCCATTCCCCCACCCCACTCCCACCCCATCCCCCACCCCACTTCCACCCCATTCCCCCACCCCCACACCACTCCTCCACCTCCACCCCACTCCCCCACCCCACCCCAATCCCCCCATCCCAACTTCCTCCCCCCACTCCTCCACCCCACTCCCCCACCCCACTCCCACCCCATCCCCCACCCCACTCCCACCCCATTCCCCCACCCCCACACCACTCCTCCACCTCCACCCCACTCCCCCACCCCACCCCAATCCCCCCATCCCAACTTCCTCCCCCCACTCCTCCACCCCACTCCCCCACCCCATTCCCCCACCCCACTCCCACCCCATCCCCCACCCCACTCCCACCCCATTCCCCCACCCCATCCCCCACCCCCACTCCCTCCAAGAACAACACAATGGTATGATCACCTTCAATGACCATCCAGGTCAACCCCATTCTGAACAAAATTTTCCAAAAATCATTTGCTTGGAAACCAGTCTAGAACCAACTGTCATCAACAGTGAACTCATACTGTTAATTGGCACACTCTTTGCAGGGATACCGGTCTACGAGCCAGCGTTCACTGGTAACTCCTTCATCGCCTACGGGGGCCTGCAGGAGTCCCTGCGTCAGGTCCAGATTGCCATGATGTTCAAGCCGCAGAGCACTGAGGACGGAATCTTGATGTTTAACGGACAGAACCACCGCGGGCAGGGCGACTACATCGCCTTGGTCATCAGGAGCGGACGGCTGGTTTTCCAGTATGACAGCGGAACTGGTACAGGCAGCAATTTAGTGGAGACCTTTCATAGATTTTACACAAATGCGCGTCAAATTGCACATCATTTTTATGTAACTCGAATAAACAAAGATTCTGACTTTGAAAAGTTGGCTTTTAACATCCAAATCACTAGGGATTTTTTTAAGAAAAAGTTAAAATGACCAATAAATTGGGGCAATATGTCTCGAAAAGGTCTGAGGTCTTGGCGCAATTTTGGCTCTGAAACACATTTTCCTAAAAATGAATGTTAACACAAATATTCATATTCCTTCTTCAAAAAATGAATGTCCATGGACAAGTTATTTTCTATGGATAACTAGCCGTAAACACAGCCATTAATGAAAGTTTCAGAAATGACCCCTCTTGAACTCTGACCCCTGACCTCCCACAGGCCCGGCCATCATTGAGAGCGCCTACAACCTAACGGCCGGTCAGTGGTACTCCATGGTAGCCGAGCGTAACAACCGCGAGGGTTCACTGGTCATCGACTCTGGTGAGGCGGTCAAGGGCCGGTCGCCAGGCTCCAGCCGTGGCCTGAACCTCAAGATGCTGATGTACGTGGGCGGAGTGGACGAGATGTACCAGCTCCCAGCCGATTTGGGGGTCAGCAAGGGATTCCAGGGATGCGTAGCCGAGGTGAGTCATTCAACATTTGAACAAAAGTTGTCAACTCATGATGTGATCCTACTCTAGTTAACGACTCCTAGAATATTTAACTTCATCTTTGCAAAATTCTCCAGTATTAAAGCATTTTGAGGATCGTGAACTTGAGGATTTGTAAAAAAAAAAAAAAAAAAAGGGTGGAAGACTTGCAGAGGACTGGGAGCTAGTATTTTTGTGAAATTTGGATGAAATTAGGCCCTAAAATGGCTCTATTTTGCAATGGAGCGTAAGCGTCCATTTTCAGAATGGTGATGGGCTTTAGGACTGCTTTTAGGGGTGATCATCTTTGGATGGAATTATCTCCCAAAAGTCATTGGTTCACTCACGGAAAATTGAACAGAAAATGAAAGACGATGAAATAATCTTCAATTTGATGTGTGTCTCAAACACGTTGGAGAGTTGTGAGTATTTTTAATAATTTTGGTAAGTGCACGTAATTATCACTGAAGGCTATGGCAGTCTGTGTACTGGTCTGCGACGTAGGGGACCGGGGGAGGGTATTCCAACCATTTTGGCCGGGATTGTAGACCATCAAGAGATTTGAAAAACTTTTTACACTGATAGTTCAGTAGAAGAACATTATTTACACAAGGACATTTTTTAAACGGGTTGTTTCAAACAGTACAGCGTCTCCAAGAATGGTTCAATGTCTCATTCTTTTGCATTGGCACTCTGTTTCAACGAAACACTACGTTACCATTGAGTCAACAGTTGGAACGGTCTGTTCAGAATATTTATGCAGCAGCTGACAACTCAAAACCATATGATACAGTGCCTTTTCAGAATGCTTATATGTTCTAGTTATATCCCATAAACTCTGCACTCCTTCATCTCCCAGATTGAGATTGACGGCTCCACCCTGGGTCTGATCAGCGACGCCAAGGAGAACATCAACGTGCAGGAATGCGGGGAGGACCAACTCTGCTCCCGCAACCAGTGCAAGAACGGCGCCACCTGCACCAGCACGCTGGACGAATACGTCTGCACCTGCACCGCTGACTACACCGGTAAATCATTTGCTTCAGACTTGTGTTCAAGAGTCAAGTCAACCCAAAATGCATTTAGAGCGACTCAAGTTGGCGACGCAAATATAATTTGGTTTCAGATGGCAAACTTTGTGTGCTTATTTCCATTGGCAGGACTTGGGATTTGTTTTAATAGTACAACTGCAACAGGTGATCTTTTACAAGTAATTGCTCCTAATTGTTTCACACTTCAATAACTCTAATAGTTCCAGTGTCACGCCAAACCAAATTCAGTTTAGAGCAACTCAAGTCAACCCAAACGTCAGTTGCCAACTTAATGTACTTATTTCAAGTGAAACAATTGCAACATTCGATTTGTCTTGTGTAGACAAATTGTTTCAACCGTCAACCTTATTCTAATGTTTTTATTCAGTCTTATGATAGAGCCACAAAGTTATCTAAATTTTTGTTTCAATCTTGTGGTAGAACCAGGATTTGTCAAAAATCCATAGGCACAGTACCTTCGAAGCCTGAAGAAACTGACAGAAACAAAATAAAGAAATATTCAATTTTTTTAATGTCTACTTAATAAGTAAGCAGAAAGGCAAGGAAAGTTGCATTGCGTCATCCTGACTCGCCAAACTGACCAAAGAAGGCCATTTCAACTTCATGTAGAAACTCCATGCATCCAGCAAACCACTATAGGGACGGTTGTATTTTCCTACTTATTTGATTAAAGTTCTGTTTACATGTATATGTAAGTCATATTTTTTGTCATTTTTCAGGTCGTCACTGCGACACTGAGGTGGGCCCTTGCCACGTGGACCAGCCCTGCCAGAACGGTGGCAGCTGTGACCCCATGGGTGGGGATGAGTATCGCTGTCTCTGCCCCCAGGGATTCACTGGGGACCACTGTGAGATAGGTGAGGTTGCACACACCAAAGGTCAAAATTCAGAGGAGGTTTTTTTTTTACACTTACAAGTCACTTGGGTGATGGTCAGTCGGTTGGTTCCCCCCCTCCCCCCCCAAAAAAAATTACCAAAAACGAACCCCCTAACTCGCCCATATAACTGTAAGTGCCAAATTGTAACTGTCCAAAAAAGAAAACAAAGTACATTAAATACTTGACAAAAATAATTTGTGTGCGCTACGAACTTAGGAAATTAGGGGGCTTCCCTACACCTGTCACTATACATCACCCCTGCCTCTGGCCCTGTGTCATTTTTACAAGTCTCAGGGCGTACGAGTGAGGATACAATTGCATTATGAAGGTCACTATTACTTTGCATTGTGATTTTTCAACAAAATGGGACATTCTTATTTCAATTGACAATCACCACCAAGTGAGTAATTGTATAATTTCATGCAAGACTCTCATGCAAGACGGCCAGAGCTTATCGTGCATTCGCACTTGGTTTTTTTGGTTCAGTTGAGACGTTCGACTACAGTGCAAGTTTCACCGGGAACAGCTACCTGAAGCTGCCGCGCAGCATCATTCCAAGGGAACGAGGGTTCGTATTCACAATAATCCCCCCTTCACTGAATATCTCCATCACACGGAGGAGTTTAACTGTAACTAAAGCAGAGTTTGAATGAAATCTTCCATTGTATGGTTTTTGATTGGCTAAGTTAAACAACTTTTGCTATCGTTATGGGCACATGTTGTCTTTAGATGTAGCTTATGCAGTGAACATGATAATGGCACTTCTGTTGAGAAAGAATGTGTCACCCGTTTGGTGGATTTGTGCTTTTTTAAAATATGTATTAGAATGTTCAGTTTGGAATTGTAAAACACATTGACAATTAAAAAAAAATCCTAAACCTTTTTTGTGAAATTACATTAACTCACAATATACCTACAATACACATGCATATACAGTTCTCCTTTTCGGCAAGAAGTTTGCAACCTGACGCCACTTTTTTCATCATATGTTATTTCAATGATGGAAAGTCATTGCAAAAATGTTGAAAAGACATGAATAGGGGACTGAGAAACGTTTCCAATTTTGTTAGAATGATTTTGAAAATGCACTCAACTCTCCATAGACTTTGTACACAACTAAAGAAGCGGCGTCTGGATACTACATTCTTTCCTACTTTTCATTTAAACAGTACAAACGTAAACGTCTTTCTTGTAAGTGAATGAATTTGGAATTAATTATTGTCTTTGTGTTTTTCTTCCAGGAGCAGTACTTCCAAAGAGACAATTAATTTTGTCTTCTCCACCCTCTCCTCAAATGGTATCCTCCTATGGCAGGGAGTGGTATGTTCCATTTTTATACCATTGTGCAATAACAGATCTGCTTTACTTAAAGAGGCAGTCCTGTTATTTATTTTGTGTTACTATTTCAAAATAAAGGATACTTCATGACATAAGAAAGAAAGTCTCTGTATTTGTTTTATATTCTGTCCCATCTAGCTTATGTGTCACATTTTGTAGATGAAAAAATGGCAAAGCTGTCCTTCACAAAAGTGCGTCTTTAACAAACTGCAATTCTTTTGATGTTGTTGTTGCTGTTGTGAATAAACAGGTGGAGGGACAGAGTGGATATATGCAGGATTTCATCTCACTGGGGATCGAGAATGGAACGCTAGTATTTGGGTAAGTGACGTCCAGTGGCCATCGTTGCCATCGCGAACCTATGGGCTCCGTGCGCCAACAAAAGAGGGCGCATTTTTACCTCTTTTGAGAGCTTCGTGGACGGGACACACAGCGTGTGCGTACTGTACTGTACGCGAAGTACACGCAACTTCTTGAATGTGCAAAAGCTATAGCAACCGCGTCTTCGCGTGAGCGTCTGACGTCGTCGATGCGCGAATATATTCTAATCTTTTTGCGATGGTCTCGGAGACTAATCCCCGCCTCCAATAACTTTGGATACATTCGAAATACGCAGTGGATGGACCGGGAACCAGTCTAGGTCACCCCCAACTCTCCTTTTCTGGCCGTTGATGGGGTACTTGTGCACGGATCCCATAGACCTTAAAAAGTTGATTTTAAGAACGTATTTATTGTTTCTGGCTGGCTATAGCTCAACCATATCTTGTTGGGGAAGTATGCAAGAATCAGGATCCTGACTGTCCATAATACTGTTTTCATAATGGTAGGGGCATGTGAAAAATGACAATACATGAACATCCTTTTTGTTCAATTCGGGCATGCATGCCCGTAGCTTTCCGAAAATGTTGACAATATTAAATTTGCATAGTTAATAGACTTTTGTTCAGTAGAGATACCAGTTTTTTCCAAAAGGATTTCTTGATCCTGAAGTTTGATTGGAGAACTTCTTGTCTTTTTCTACCACAGCTACCAGCTGGGCAGTGGCGAGGCCAGCATCAGGTCAAAGGTCAAGGTCACTGACGGCCTGAGACACAACGTGACCGCTCACCGGCGAGGTCGCGAGGGTGCGCTCATCGTGGACGGAGAAGAGGTGTCGGGTCACTCGGCCGGTTTCCTGCAGATGCTGAACGTCAAAGGTCATCTGTATCTAGGTGAGAGTTCAGAGGGCATTGCTGGGTTTCCCTGGCTAACTGGCAGGGGCACGAATGGTTGAAAAGGGCAGTCTTTACAGCTTTGGGGCTGGAAATGTTATGCAAAGTCTGAACATTTGTTTAACCCTAACATAACTCAAAACCACGAAACCCCAAAAGCACTTTTGCTGGAATCTGTCGGAATGGGTACAGTACCCCTAAACGGACAGTCTTATGGGTTGGCACACCTCCAAAATCAAAGTCAGAAATATGTGTGTGCAGTTTCCCATATGGTGTTGGAATTTGCCAGGATGGTTTGGTTCCTAGTAAATCATGCTTGGGAGTTTGGGTTAATCTTTAGAAAATAGCTTGATTTTGGCTAGTGTACGACAAAATCGTCTTGATTTGATGTTGTGCGCTAAACTCTCTTCAAAACTCTTACAAGCAGTTTAGTTTGGTAAATTTAATTTGTTCTCAAAACTTGTCACTTCGGAACATTGCACCTTTAAAGACATTATACCTTTAAAGACATTATATCTCAATCAGAGCATCTATATAAATTATTTTTTTGGCAAATTTCAGGATTCTGCAACCAGTACAATTGAATTCATCGTTTCATAATTTTCTTGAAACGTTTGTGTTTTTGTAACTTAATAAATGAACTCTCTGTGGCAAACTCTTGGTGGCCCACTGCATTGTGAATCGCCCGAATTGGGCCCACACGTCACACTGATGCACCCTGTGATGATGTCATTCGGAAATATTTGTTTCACTTCCCTAACAGGTGGAGCGCCTGATGCCGAGAAACTAACCGGCAAGAAATACAGCAGTGGGATCGAGGGTTGCATCTCTGACCTGCGGATCACCAAAGAAGGCTACGAGCAGATCATGCACGTCAATCTCTGGACCACGCTGGTGGATGCCGTCAACGTCCTGAACTGCCCTAATTGATGTTAACTCGTTTGTCCGCTCATTCATGATAAAAAAATGTCTTGTGTTAACCCTACGCTTTCTCTGTTCCTTTTTTTTTTAGAAGCTGTTGGAAGGGAAAATGATTGGGAAATAAATAAAATGTGACAATTTAGGAGTATGGATCTTTTTCAAATGAGATATGATGGTTTTGAGGTTTCACATATAACCACATTGCTTTTCTGGTTACTTTGAAATTACTTAGTTTCCAGATATGGTCATCTGAAAAGGTAAAAAGTCTCGGAGCAATTTTTTTGACTTGTGCATGTCATTGTTATGGTAATTTTTTAAAACTTTTTTTTAAATCAAAACATTGCTCTTGTGCGGTGGTTTTTTTTACAAAATAATCAATGTAACCAAAACAACTCACACAAATCGATTTTTTTTATTAATTTACTCTTTTTTTAGATCAAAGTGGTAAAATTCAAAATTTGAAGTTTCCTAACATGGTAGAATAGTGTTTTTTGCCTTGAACTTGTGTGTCATAGGTGCATTACAACTAAACGGCTGGGCAGAGTCTAAGTGAGTTAGATGAGCGTAATAACGACAACAGAGAGATCTGTGTCTGTAGTCTTATCCTCCAGCTTTCTTTCAGAATGGTGCTATATTATGTATGTAAAGTTTTAAAAAAAAAAAAGTTCAATATCATGTTCATCCAAATATCTGACATTGGGGTTTTAAAAAAAATGTAAGAGAAAGATCTCACGAAATGAAACTTGAATTTGATTGGCTAAAAATTCAAATCACTGTCTCTGATTGGCCAGTTAAAAACAGAAAATGAATGTCTTACATATATTTTGGTAAGATTTGCAATGTCAAACGTTTCACTCCAGTACAGGGTTGTTTTTATATCTTGGGAAAACTTGGCAAAATAAGACGAGGAAAAGAGACTGCTTTTTACTTCTATTCAATTATTATTATTATTTTTTTTGTAAATTGTGTTTTTTTGGCTAATGTGTGGTTTATATACTCGTTATCATCGGATGGGGTTGAACAATAGTAGCAGTAGTTTGTATTTTAATTATAGTTTATCATGGTGTACTTGATTCGGTTTTAAAAAGCACCCCTTTTAAAAATTTTCTGATATTTATGTCTTGATTTTGTAAGTAGTATGACGATTGCCAGCTGGCTAGCCTGCGATGCATATCTTGTGGAAACATAGAACAAAGTACAGATGAATAGTGTTGCTTTGAACAGGCGAGCTATAATCAGGGGCGGAGCTAGGGTGCCAGAAAGAGGGGGTACCTTGCTGATAGACTTTCTGTTGATCAGAATCGAGGTACCGAAGGAAGTGTAAAGGTCGCAATGACTCCTGACCTTCGACCTTTTCTGCTTCGGTTGTCAACACACTGTCGTATAGAGTATTAAATTGGACGGTAAAAAAACATTGAAGTGGCTAAATGTTTGTATTTTGCTCCTGTTTACAAATGAACAATTCTTTGTTTATAAATTGTCAAATTATGAAAGGTGCTCATTGACGTATTTTGTAAATTCTAAATTTTTACCGATTTGAAATGGTGTTTTGCTGCATGTACGTATATATCAGTTTAGATTAGTTCAAAATTAAGTTGCTATTCACCCCTTTTGTCTAGATGGATGTGTCCATCCAGACCATCGAGAATGTGCATTTCGGATCGAAACATTATCCGTACAGGGGTGACAGTATTTGGTGGAAGGGGAACAATACAAGAAAACAATTAGTGTTATGAGTAATTTGTAATACAAACTATGTGGTAAAATTCTGGTCATATAATAATTTAAGGAGTTTAAAGTATATTTATGTAGGGTTACAAGAAGTGGATATTTACGTTGTTTCATCCTTTTTATGGTGCTTTATTGTGCACATTACTGTTTTTTTATACGTATGTAAAACTCATGTCTTAAATAGGCACCAAGTATTTATTGCCTTAGATTATAGCCTTCCTTTTAAATAGTACTATTCCTTTTTACTATGTACAATCCACTTTGGAACTTTTTTTTAACATATAACTAGACATCAAAACGGTGAAATGGGTCCCCCCCCCCTCCAAAACAAAAACAAAATAGACTGATCCACTAAGCCCCTCCATGATGTATTGACCAATCACAGCAGTGGGCGGGGCCAAATTGATCAGTCTTTTGGCCGTACAGTTCATGTGAATGTGGAAGTTTACCAAAAAGCTTATTTTGAAATGCAAATAGTTTCGAAATGTTAGAGTACATATGAAGATCGGAACTTGAAAAATAGTTCATTTTAATACTCGCTTGATTATGCATTGTGTGAACAGATAGCTTTATACCGGAAGTCTCTCTTTTTTTTCAGAGAAGGATAGCAGTCAACTTTGTAATGAAGTTTGTCTCAACTGCATAGAGTTTAGAAGAATCCAGTTGTACTCCTACATTTACATCACCCTAAAAAAAATGAAGCCTTAGGCCCAAAAAAAAAATAAGTCGGTCTCTGGTCAGCGCGCGCGTCGATTTTAATCATGCGCGTCGATCTTTTTTTTTTTTCAAAATGTTCCGCGGTAGCTCCAACAGCGCCCTCTATTTCCGCACCTCCTCAATTTTTTTTACCAAGAGCACCAAGGAATGGGAAATTGCACTAAGGCATATGATCGAAAGCACCAAGGCAAATTATGGAGGACCATGTACACGAGGACACCAAAAAAGCAAAATAGTACCCCACCTTGTCTGTACAATCCAAGCTTGAAGACAAAAAAAAAAAGCAAAAAAAAAAAAAAAAGCCGCGTGGCCGCGTCAATTCCGGAACTTTGGTCTGACCAGAGACCGAACATTTTTTTTTTTTGGCCTTAGAGACAAATTAAAAATTACGTGCAAGCCAAATAATATTGTCAGATTTCCGGAACGCCCAAGCGAACATCAATATCCGCAATGAAGTTCTCAGTACATTGGCCGATCTAATCTCGCAAATACTATTTTTACTCCATTAAAACTTTTTTTAAACATGACCTAGGAATTAGTCACTTTGAAACAACAATTGATAGTAAAATAAAATTGGAATTTGAAACATTATCTTAGTGGAGTCGATTTGTTAATTTATTAACCTACTTTAATTTTTAAATTCTAATGTTTTACAATGGTTGTATTCTTTATAAATTTTGTAAAGTTTGATCTTGTCCTCCATACACATGTACGGTTTCAGCTCCACATTTTTCCAGCCTGCTCCGTTCTGGTAATAACTTTAATATCAGAGTTTCTTATTTATCTTCCCACAGTTTCATTTCAGCATTTTTTTCTCCGAATGACTCGGAACTGAAATATGACGCCAAAATTGGTAAGCCTTTAACAAAAACAAAATGCATTTTCGGAGACGTTTTATTTCAAAATATTGATAATGTTTGTCTTGACTTAAGACACTCAACAAAATTCAGGTACAGGCCGCTAGTATTGTCTTATCTGCTTTGTCCAAAAGTACCCCCTTCACCGGCAAAGAAAGTACAGTTGGGGTGACAAACAGACGCCATCTTGCCCGACTGCAATTTTTCCGCGACGCGCGGCCACCACTAGCACTGCATGTACATAGTGCAACTAAATCCCCTGGTGTACGTGCGTCACACACAAGGAACGGTGCGCGTCAACCAGCGAAATGTCCTGCCCATGGGACGTCGTTGCTAGGTAAAAGGGCGCCCTCTTTTGTTGGCGCACGGAGTCCATACTGCAATGTTTTTGTACTTTACAGCTTGCATTCAACACTTGCAAGTACTATGACTGCTAATCTTGAACAGCGCCCTCGTTTGACTTGGTGATGAGTACAAGCCACCAGGCTAGATAGATACCACACACGATCCTTGTAAGATATGTCTCGGGAGGTGTTCCTGCGAGATTTCCTCAAGGTTTTGTTTTCACCTGTTGAGGTGATGCACCTCTGAACCTCCCCTTAAAGAGCCCATTCAATGCACGTGCTCATTCCAAGTATTACTGGAAAATGTAGAAACATATGCACCCCAGACTAATTTTAAAAATTGGTAACCGTTGAGGATTTTCGTTCCCCAGGGAGGTGTCCAGCGAGGTTTCCTTGAGGTTCCCAATGGTTTCCAGTGAGGTTTCCAGCACTTTCCATTGAGGTTCTGAATGGTTTCAAGTGAGGTTTCCGTTGAGGTTCCCAGTGAGGTTTCCAGTGGTGGTCAGTGAGGTTTCCTTGAGGTTTTCTCCCTCACCTCTTGAGGTGATGAGCCTGCGAGCCTCCCCTGGACAGCTCGGACCTCGTGCTCGCACAGCCAGGGCATGAGTGGAGGGACTCGTGTATAAACAGATCACAGTCTAAACAAAAGGGGCGTTCACACGTAGAACACTGGAAAACCTGTAGGAGAGTAAATCGCAAATTTAACATTTCATATACATGTACCGTCAATTTTGTGTGGCTTTGGATCTTGTAACAAAGAGCGGGAGTTAAGAAGAATCCTGTGTATACCATTGTCACCAGAGCTCAGTCCGAGATATTTCAGGTTTGAGCTTGGTTTGTGCACATGCTGACTATGACCAGTCGTGCCTACTTCGCACCATGTGTGCTAAGCCTTGCATGCACGCAGTGTGTTTTACACACGGAGCTCGCGTGAGAGGCCACAAACTGCCATTCATTGCTCATGCACAGACTCCACAGGTGAAGATATCAAAGCACTTCATAACCTGCATAATTTAGTACTTGGTACTTGGTTGGTTTTTCTCCTAAATACTCCGCAGGGGAGTTTTAACAGGAGGCCAGAAACACCGGGGCAAACCCCTTCTCTTAGCGGTCAGTGTTACTGGGTTCTTTTACGTGCATTACATTACACAACACACGGGACCTACGGCTTTACGTCCCATCCGAAGGACAAAGCAATAAAGGTTAAGTGCCTTGCTTAAGGGCACAAGTGTCCGAACCCACGTCACTGTTGCCTCTGAAACACCAGAGCATGAGTCCGGTGCGGTGCTCCTAATAACCGCTAGGCCATGACACTCTAGTTCCAGGCATGCAACTTTTCAGCTGATCAGCTGATTTCCTCTTTATTGACCTCCCATGTGTGCCATTGAAAATAGAAAAACACTGTACAAAGTCTGGGAAAAATTTGAATTTCCTCTTTTTTTTTGTGATTTGCCAGTTGCATGCCTGTAGTTCCCAAACCATTTTTTTTTCTTAATGAGTGGTCCATGAATGTTCGGTACTGAATGGGTAACTAATAGAAACTAATGAAACCAAGCATGCATAATTTTATAAGTTCTACTGGGAGATGTAACCCCTATATCTAGTGCGTGCACTCGGGAACAGGTCAAAAAGAGAAAGGTCTTTAATTGAAAAGCGATTTTTCTTAAAGTGGCAGGGTTTGCTAGGTGATTTTCACTCATTACAGACATCATGTTCTTCACTCCTTCATTTATTAATTTTTTTTTAAGGAAATCCCCATTTACAAATATGGATTTTTTTAAAAGTAGTCTGGTATCCTTGAAACAGTCATTACAATGATGTGTGTCTTGGCTTTTGGGTACCAGACAACAGAAGCAAAGTTGGAATCGCTAAATACTTGACACGAATGGTACTTACTGTGTCGTCTTTGAGTTCAACTTGGCATGCAAAACAGGAGCTGTTTGGGTAGAAAAGGGAAGAAATGCAAGGAAATTTAAAACGGGAAAAGTTTACATTTATGGTTTCTCTGAAATTACTCTGAACACATCACCAAATTCTAGACTTTTTAAAACAAACCTCGATTTGACTGTGAATTAAAGGGAATATACAACTTTTGCAAACATCGAAAAATAAAACTACCAAGTTTTTGCGAAATACTTTACTAGGATGTTGGTAAATGACAGTCTAAAGCATCCTGTAAAATCATGGCACCTGGTGTGAAGTCATTTTCAAGGAAATGGTATTTTTGTAAAAAGTTCCAGCAGTGGTCGGCCGACCACCGTTGGAAAAACCTGACTATTTTTCAACTACTGCTCCAAATGTACCATTAATTCAGTCCAAATTGTGTTTGCTATTGGTTACATGTTCATGAACGGGTGCAGGCCAGCTAGACTGGTACCCTTACCCTACAATTTTCCGGCATCTGTAAATTGATCCATTTTATATTTAGTGGAGTCAGGGAACCAGACTACTTGAACAGTTTTGTTTTTCTTGGTTATTCCAGCATTTTCGAACACAAAACTTCAAACATGTCAGTGTAACAATATTTGATCTATTATACTAACCCCTCAAATAGTTCATTTCTGAAAATTACAGCAAAAGCCAATGATGTATATTCCCTTTAATGATCCCTTGTTTTGGGAATTACATCGATGATCACATTTTTATGTTCAAAGTGAAACGCGGAAGTATTTTAGAAAGATAGTTGACGATGTTGCTGGATTGAAAAAGTTAGACTTACAGCTGATCTCCGGCATCGATCATTTCCCGTTGAACCTCCACAAAGTCTGCGAGCGGAAAAAGGTGATGGAAGGAGCGGGCGAGGTGGGGGGCGGAGACTAACGTCAGAGCTGGGGGGCGGGAGGGAATCAGTGAATAAAGTTAGGGGGCGAGTTTGCAACTCAACAGGGCTTTTGAGCAAAAAAATTTGACAAAATATATTTGCTCCTCTAATGATAATCTGCATCAGTGAAAAAAACTTGTTTACTTTTCTGTTTACTCCTTTACTTTACTTTACTTAATAGAAGAAACTTTCTGAAATTAGTTAAAAAAAAGTTTCATCGCAAAGGAAAGAAGTAAAATCGTACAGCATCGCGGCTAAACACTCCATCCAAACAAGAAGTTGTTTGGGCCCCCCCCCCCAATAAAAAATAATAATACAGAGAACTTGGCAAACGTGACATAACCAATTTCTACCTTCCGCAGAAAAGCAAAATTTTTTACTTCTCTTTATTTTATAATAGAAAAGTGAAAAAAAACACATCAATAACACACCACAAACTTTGCATTCGACGGGCAACTCGCAGTATTTGCTCCGGCACTGGGGACAGAAATAACCACTGGAACCAAACCCTGTGTGATCCTTGGAATCTAGATGACTGGGACAAAAAAACACCAAGGGGAACATTTTCATTTTGCCAGCATTAGGCCAAAAAAAAAAAGTCTCCGGTTTCTGGTATGCGCGCGCGTCGCCGTAGCCATGCGCGTCGGCAAAATGAAAAAGTGTTTTTTTTCAATGAAAGATGATGTCTCAAAACCGCCAAACTCACTGGTTTGACTGGAATCCTGCTGCTGCACAATTTTAACGTGTTTTTAGATTGGGTTATGGTCGAGAATAAGCTTTATGTGGCCTCTCTGGACTCCCATACATTTGCACTAAGTTTAGTCGGGCACCATTTGCAGTCATCAGCCGACATTTGAAGCAAAAAATCAGGTTAAAAAAAAAAAAAAGCCGCGTCGCCACACCACTTTTTGGGCAAGCTCCATACCAGAAACCGGAGACTTTTTTTTTTTGGCCTTACTTTATTTGATGTTCTTATTAAAAGCTTATCAAGGTCCCAAACTAAGCAAAAAAAGGGTCTAGGATTTGAAAATCTCTCTAACAGCTCAAGATGAATATGAAAACGAACACAAAGTTGAGACTTAATTTATGGAAATATTTTAAAGAATTTTTTAAAGTGAATTTTTTTCAAGAATGTGTGTCTTGTGTTCATACAGCGACTTTCCTGGGTTTTAAGATTTGAGAATTTTGAAATAAAAATATCTGAAACAATTGTTAGTCCAATAGTTTTATCAATTTGTGTCATACCACATGCACATTGAGGGCTTCTCTGCTTTGTCCTTCTCTGTGTGCAACACATGCTGAGGAAAACCTGTAAAAAAGAGATCATTTTTGTTTTAATAATTTAAACAATTTAAACAAGAAAATGGACAAGAATGATGACCTTTCAAGTAATTCATAAAAATCTCTTAATACAAACTAGGGAAAAAATGTAGCAACCTGATGCCACTTTTTTTCTTCATATACCATCTCAGTGAAGGTCAGTCATTGCAAAAATGATGATAAGGCATGAATCTGGGACTGAGAAACATTTCCAAATTTGTTAGGATTAGGAAATACTTAGAAAACATTTCCAATTTTGTTAGGAAATACTTAGAAAATGTTCTTGACTCTCCATAGACTTTGTACACAACCACTGAAGTGGCGTCAGGTTGCAACATTTTTTCCCAAAACTAGTATCAAACTACATGTATCTACCAGAAGCAAACTATGTAAAGTTGAGATAAAATAAATGTTAGCACTCTTTAATTATGCTAATACAAACTAACTCATTATGAATATTCATTATGATTACACCTCGCTGTTTGTGTTACTGCACTCACCCATTCGGATCGGAGCCGGTTCTGTATTGACCTTTATGTAAAAAAGAAATAATGGAAAAAAAAAAAAATGTCAAGAATACTTTTGGAAAAAAGGTACTCCTACACAGGGAATTGGGAAACTAACATTAAATCAGGACGTTTATTTAAAAAAAGAAAAAAAACATTAGGACAACTCACTGTAGCTGGTGGTGGATTAGTGTGTTCTTTCAGTAATTCTCGAAAGTGGCTCTCATCAAGGGGACTCCATAAGTTCCTGCAAATAAAGTTTTTAAAAAAAGACAATTACTCGGTCAATTAGTGACTGAAAGATTAATCAGGAACACTGAAAATAAGACGCACCGATTTGTCATTTCAAAGAAAATATTAAAACTAACTTGTTTGAAAAACCAGTCTGGCTCCCTGACCCCACTTAAATTGAAATGGTGCAACTTATAGATGTCGGGGAATTGTAAGGTCAGGGACCCAGTCTAGAAGGCTTGTGCCCGTTCATAGATGTGTAATCGATTGCAAACAAAATTCAGACTAAATTTGGTAATTTGGGGGCAGTATTTAAAAATAGCCAGTTTCGCTGGTTGGCAGACCAGCGTTAAAAATAGATACAAAAATGTTCTTGAAAATGTCAGCACACCAAGTGCCATGATTTTAAAGGATGCTTTAGACTGTCATTCACTAACAGTCCAGTGAGGTATTGCGTAACAATTTTGTAGTTTTGTATTTTGATGTTTGCAAATGTTGTATATCCCCTTTAAGACAGATTAAGCACTTTCTCACCTTGTGTGACTGTGCACAGCTTGCGACATATCCTGACCTCTGCAGCTAGACCAATCACAGAGCAGCGAATGTTGAGTTCCTTCATTGCCTAGCAGTCAAAAAAACAAAACAAAAGATAGCTGAACTGAAATGTAAAACCAACAGTTGTAAAGCTTCTCGATCATTTTTAGGGCCTGCTTGATTTTCCAATCCTAATGAAACAGAACAATAAACTTAAATTACATATACAAACAGTGATAAGTGGTGGAAACAGGCAATGCCTAGAAGTTTGTTTTGTAACTTAAAAATGGCCAAATAACAAAGCTGAATAAAAAGAAATAATCAACTCTAACTCTCACAGATTTTCTAAAATCTGCTAAGAACTTTTGGAAAAATATTTTTCAACATATAAAAAAGTTGCAGCCTAGCCACTATCTCTTAATGCGGGGCTAGATACCTCTTCTATCAGTACATAGAATAATAACGCTGTTACATTCTTGGCCAGTGGTGAATTTTTGTGGATTTAGGAAGGTTGGGTGAAGGTAGAAAGCGTGAAGTTACTTTTGACGTTCAACCAAAGACGTTTTCCATCATCGCTAACCTATAAAGCGCAAACAGGGGTGCGTTCACAAGTTGTTCAGGGGTCGATCGTTCACTATTTCGATGGCCCACAAAGTGGGCAAGGCGAAACCTTGTCATATATACAAGTGTTTATATTTGCCATACCTTGATAGTTAAATGGATGTTTCCGGGATCACAGGAGACCAAGCTTCCCATAATGATGAGGATTTCCCGGCTGGCATGGCCCGGCATGTGTCTGGAGTAGGAATCCCAAAAACATCAATTGTTGTAAACTCTGGAAAGTATAGTTATGATTCTTTGTTTGTATGTAACAAGTCTTTGGGTTCTTTTTCGGGGTAAATGTGGCTCTACCTGAGCGATGACGCAGCCATGTCCAGCGCGTTCTGTAGCGACGGTTCCTTGGAACACGGCTTGTCTTTGCATTTGTGTAAGGCGGCGACGTGTCGCTTGGGATTTCCTGGAAAAAAAATTACAAATCACTTGACCAATTGCAATAGGTTTCCATTCAAACGGACCAATTAGAAATCAGTAACGCATTGCCTTATCTTTAAATGTAATGTCAAGTTGGCAATTTTTTTTTTATTTCCACATGATAACCATGTGATGCCCATGTGATGGTCACGTATCAGACATGTGACAGCCACATGACTATCAGGTGACAGTTTCCTGACTTCCAAAGATCATGTGTTGAATTCTTACCTCCGAGTTCTGTGAGTTTCTCAGCCCTCATGTTGCTCGTGGTTATAAAACCAATCTGTCCGACAAAATTCATAAAATATGGATAATGAGTTTACATAGGATGTTGTCTGAAGTTTCAGTGATGAGAAAGTATAAAAGTAAAAAATTGATAAATTCAATGCTAATTTTTTTTAATTGGTGGGGACCACTATAAACAGCAGAAAATAACCACTTAATACCAGTTACCACTTCCAAATTTATAAAAATGGGAATTATGAAGAATGAAGGAAAGAACTCACCTGGCTTATTGGATTCTGGTCAAAATATGCTTCAATGAATGTCTCCAACAGCTGTGAAATGGAGAAAAAAAACTTTTTTTTTAAAATCCAGGAACCTTGGCTGAGCTAAATTTTTTAAACTGTCAAGTAAAAAAAATGCTAATTACTAAGCAAATTTCAGTTGAGAAACCACCCCAACTCCATCAAAATCCATCCCCCCCATTTTGAAGGATTTTGGGGGCCTCGGTACTAAATATTGATGGAGTATGATGGACTTGGGCCTGAAGGCCTGAAGCAGTGCTAGGGGTATCCGATTGATTTTGCCTAGCTTCCTGTACTGCTGTTGTGATAAAAGCCATGTGTGTTAAGTCAATCACTGTCAATCAGTGTGTCAGTGATGGACTCCATTATGTCATGTACAGTTTTGTATTGGACGCACAGTGATTGATGGATTTTGATGGACTTGGTCCAGTTTTTAGTAAAAGACACAAAGGAGTTAGGGTTAACGGGTTCAGCTGGCGAATTTGAGAAATCAAGGGCAGCCTGGCAGGTCTGGAGTCCATTTTTGCTTTGGAATTCACTTGCTGACTTTGACTAATAATCTATGAACGCACTGAGTGTGATCCCTTCACGAGTGGCTTGCTGGTTCAATTACATTGTTTTAGTAATTGTGACTGGCCTGCCGCCGTGACCCAGTTACATCCGTGACCTCTGACCTTGATAGTGCAGTGAAGCCGGCTTGGTCTGAAGTCGGGATCTTCCATGGAACGTGACATGTCCAGCACCACGTACAGATGCCTCATCTGAAAACAAGCAAATATCATGTCCAAAATTTGTTGTTTGAATTTAATGAAAATCCAGGCAATCAAGTGCTACATCGCAATACTTTTTGAAAACCATCAGCATAATTTGTTCGTGGGTCATTCTGTAAATTTAGGACATTTTTAACCCTGGCAGGAGCTTAGAATGTTACTCGGTGGTCGGTCGGTCTGTCTGTCTATCTGTCTGCCCCTGGAAAATTTACCAAAAATATTTGACCAAAAAATTGAGCAGATGTCATGCCGTGGTCAGTAAATGCACTCTAAAAATTGTTTGTAACAATTTGTAAAGTTGTTTATGAAAATTGTGTAAACGGAGGCAAGATATGTGCAGTATTAGTTGTTTTATTAGTGATTGGACGGTATCCAGAAGGAGGAAATGAAAGTATGGTGTTCCATATGTGCCATCGGCGTCGCATTTTTCACCAGAGCTTATTGTGCACTGGTACTTGTTTAAACCTACCTATCTCCCGACCCAGATTCATGAAATAATATAAACTCAGAAACGGAAGAGAATGGCCTGCCGGCACATTGATGCCCCACCTTTTTTTTTTACTCCCCTCCCCCTAACAACTTTGATTCTAAATTTGCTGGTGCCCCTACCATGCCCAGCCGGATGTTGGGAGGTCGCTCCAGCAACCGTCTCCGCTTGGCTCGATGGAGGATGTCATCAATCGTCGTCTGCAAGGAGCCATGCTCATCCTCTCGAAGAGCTTCCCTGAAAACACAAACAAGAAAAAGGTAACAACTCCTAACGCGCGCAAGTTTCATATGTCAGCATTAGAAAAATTACAGCAATTAATTATCCCATTCTGCATTCAAATGAGCTGTTATGTACCATTTATCAAATATTTTGCCAACGGTTACACACATTTTGGAATACCAATTTTCTCAAATTATTGAATGAATTATTTCAGAGAATAATACAAAAGTTATAAAAGTCTGCAACAAAACACAAATAAATAAGAATATGCCAAAATTTGTCCATACATGTACCGGTATATCAAAAAAAATCGACCTTCAATAAAATAACATTTCCAAACAAGTCTGAAAATGAAATAAAACTGAACAATAATCATTATCCTTTTTTTTTCAACTCACCAAGTTTTTTCATAATCACCTTCCCAGGTGTAGGCCTTTTCGTGCTCTTCGTCAGCCATGATGAAATGTCCAAAGTACGGTAACCATCAACAAACTCTCAAACTTCCTACGCAACGGATGTCCTTGTAAATAAAGCAACACAAGAAAGATGTCACCACTGTGAAGTTGGTTAATTATTTGTACCCCATGAGAAACCCACAGGATCCTCATAAGACAGCTATAAAATGTGTTAAAATGTACCGAGGCTCTCTATAGCGCCCTCTATTAGATACCATTTATTCATGCCCACTCCGTATTTGCGCATCCAAGACAGAGTGAGTGGGTAGGTTGGGGTTGGTTTTACAAGGGAAATTAAGAAGTGAGTTCTAGGGTAAATAAAGTAGCGAGTCCTGGGCATGTGCGTCGCAAGGGGGGGGGGGGGAGAAAAAGAGGCGCAAAGTCATATTGCTATTAATTTAATGGGTGGGGGGGGGGGGAATGTCCCTGCCCACCCTCGAAAAATGATAAATCGACAATATGCTGGAAAAGGGATTTCTGGGGAGAAATGGCCTTTGCCCCCCTCTAGAAAAAAATCCTTGCGACGCCCATAGTCCTAAGGGAGAGAAATGGCCTTTGCCCCCCTCTAGAAAAAAATCCTTGCGACGCCCATAAGCCCCGCCGGCCGCACGCACGTCCAAAAACACGAGGTCATACGTCACAGACTGTTATGCATATTCATGAGTTTGCGCGGGCGCGCCTGCATATTGCATACATTACAGCGTGGCCGCCATTTTGAAATCGCATGGGGGATCGCATGGGGGACGATATTTGTGGAATTTGATGACTGGAATTCGTCTTGTGGCCAGATGGATGAAAATATTGAGACCAAACAACGTTTTTTCGAAAAGGTATGAGTTGCTCTACCACTACGAACCTTAACTTTGGAAATTTGTGTCCTGGATGAAAAGATAATCGCGATCGAAAGATGTAGCAAAATCGCTACATCGGCGGCCAACAAAATTCAGTCTCTGTGGAAGCATCGGGCGTCTGGCCGTACTACAGAGCTTGCGATAGTACTGTACGGCCAGACGCAGTCGGGCTATGACATCCCAAGCCATCTCACTCTCTATACCGCCCTCTAGTGATCACAATTTATTTCATGCCCATTCGATATTCACTCTCTACCTACCGCCCTCTATACTAACTATATCCACTTCAAAATATGTCCTCCCACCCATCATGATCATGCCCATGGAGCTATGGCCCACCCCACTCCGATCCTTCCATCAATCTCTCCGAGTCCATGGCATGCATAGTTGGTACTCAACTTCAAGCACAGAAAGTAAACATGTTTCGTAATCATAATCATCTTTCTCTTCGCCATGGCTTATTGGCTATCGTTACGGCAGCCGTAACCCGACTTTCAAATGCATAGGGCAGTGTAGCTTGAGTAACTCCAGCTGACATGCTCATTCATTCATGTCATATTCATTCATTCATTCACATGTGAATGAATATGACATGTATGAGCATGGGATTGTCAGCCGGAGTTACTCAAGCTAAAGGCATGGCAGTGGATCAACTTATCTAACAAAAATTTCCCTTTTGATTACATCGTATATCAAGTAATCAAATAAAGGCTGGAAATCACAAACCTTTTCGCTGGCAGGTACAACGGTATATTGCATTTGCACTGTTTTGCTGACGAACGACTTCATGTGCCATGTGCACGGGCCGGAGACTCGTGTAGCAAATGAGACGAGTTCCAACGTTGGTGGCGCCTGTAAGTTTCGCGCATAGCGCCCCCGTTGAAAGTAGCTCATTTTGTGGGTCATGATGATCTTGAGGATTATGGACTACGAAGTCGTATTTATGAGAAATTAAGAATTGTTGTAGTGTGCAATGGAGCGTATAATTATTGTAGGCATCATTTTGTCAACATGCCGATGGGCTTCAGGACCGCTTTTTAGGGGTTATCTTTGGCGATTCTTTGAAGAGAATTAAGAATTTTGTAGTTCGAGTAGATTTAATTAGAAAGTTTAATTTCTGGGGGATGTAAAATTAAAATGTGTTAATAAATAAATTGCTGAAGGGGAGAAAATATCCTCCAATATTAATCAAATAAATTCGGTTAGCAGAAATCGGTCCCCCCCCCCCCACCCACCCGATAAACGAACAGTAAATGAAGTGCAATATGCTAGTTTGCAATATTGTTTATTGATATATATAATTTTTTTTTCTGATTTGATATAATTTTTGTAATGCGCCATGAGCGTCATTTATGGCGGATACTGGCGCGGTATAAATTTCCGTTATTATTTATTATCATTATTATTTTTATTTTAATTTAAAGTATTTCTAATTTGATGAGTACGTGTCTCATAAGAGAGTTTTGAGTATTGTTCCTAAATGTTGGAGTGGGAGATATAGTTGTCATCTCGTGTCATCGCGGTCTCAAGGTTGTTCACTCCAGTTGTTCACTCATTACTGTACGTCGAAGAAAAGAACATTGCATGTTTTTATGCAGCAGTAAAAGTTGCCATGAACTAACGATTAAATCCCCACTCCCCCATTAGTCAGCAAGGGGGGGGGGGGTCCCGCTACTGATCTTGTTTATTATTTATTAGGTCCCCAATTATTGCCGACGTTGCAGATCTTTAAGTGGAGACGATAGGCTGGAGACGAAAATTGTGAGACTCATTCTCACGAAGTAGGGTAAAAGGCAAAGTACCATTTTCCCAATCGCTCCGTATCGTAATCTCAAAGTGCCAAACGTGCCCTCTATTATAAAAAAAAATGTCATTACACGTGTTTTACCCACACGCGATGAAGTTTTGTCAACTAATTCATTTTTCATGAAAATTTTTGCATTTTTCAAAAACTAATTTCTACCATTCATTTTATAAATTTTGGAGGATATTTTCTTCGCTCCTGATTTGAAAACTGGCGCCGATAATTTATTCATCATTTTTCTTTAAATGATTTTGAATACATCCTCCAGAAATAATCTAACGGGAGGTGGCCAGCTCAGTAAAGTAGAAATTCCGAATTCTTGTCAAAGGATCGCCATGATATTAAACAGTATTCGACATGTAAAAGGTGAAAACATCTAGCATATTTTGAAATGATCTAGAAGAATTGTGCCAATGACATTGTATCTGATGTAATTATGATAACGCTTCAGTTGTCCTCATATCCGTGGCCAACTATTAAATGCGGGGATTTTTTTTACATAGTCCGTACGCGGTCACTGAACTGGCCATCAAAAGCAACATACAGTGCCCTCTCGCGCTAAAAAAAAGAAAAAAAGAAGGTCTCTCAGTAACTAGGTATGAACACAAAGAGCAAGATGGACAACGTATTCATAATGTGCTTTCGCGCCCCCCACCCCCAGTTTGGAAATATGGCACGAGCCCCCCCCCCCCCCCCCCCCCCCCCCCGTATTGATTTTCAGAGGCCTTAGTGTCCGGAGAAAATAACCTGTCTACATTTCAGCATGACTCCCTGAAAAAAAATCTGCATCCACATTGCTAGCCCCCCCCCCCCAAATATTGGCTCTAGAACCACGCCTGCTGGTCAAGCGGTATTGGAACTGCTGACTGTGAATCTGAAGGTTGCAGGTTCAAATCCCACAGAGGGAATTTTTAAGATTGTCAAATTATATTAGTTTTGAGGTCAATTGAAACTTTATAGTTAAGTTCAAAACTTCTAAACTGGACGGCTGGTTCTGAATCTGAAGTGTAGGTTGCAGATTTTTTTTTTTTTTAAGGTTAATTGAAACTTTATTGTTAGTTTTGAAACCAGACTGAAGTGCAAAATTGTTGGTATTCAGGTGGTTTGCACTGCTGACTCTGAATCTGAAAGTTGCCGGTTCGAAGGCTCCTCCATTTTAGTGTTACAATACTGGACAGCTGTTTGACAGCTGACGGCTGTTTGATTAATTTTGTATTATATTGATTATGGTACTTTACTGTTGGTGTCCTCAAATGAAAGTAAAAATCTCCAGTACCACTAGTTTATGAATAAAAAATAAATGAGTTACAAATCCAAATTGTGTACGAAGTATATAATTTTTATTTCCATACACACATAGCCATGTACATACAGAGGGAGGCCAAACAGCACAATGAACGGCTCCGAAATTTAAATATTCATGACCTGTCTGAGGTCATACGCGATGCTAGTCACAGATTCCCCATTGAAAAACAGTGTGTGAAGTGTGAATGCACGACGTGTATGCGGCAGGTAAATGTATTCGCGAAAGAATGTGCTGAGCGGACTTCAATTTTCTTGCAGCGGGACCGGGATAATTTAGCCGATTTTCGGCCCTCTCAACATGGAAGAGACAAAAATCATATACCACATAGACGATGAGGACACCCCATACCTTGTGAAGTTGCCAATTCCTGCGGACCAAGTGACATTAGGCGATTTTAAGAATGTTCTCAATCGGCCCAACTACAAATTCTTCTTCAAGTCTATGGACGATGATTTCGGGTGAGTATCAAAAATTGTTGAGCACATACTAGTGAGACCGGAAGGCCTGTGGAATTTTCACTTTTTCTTCGCCGATTGCCGCTTGGCTTCGATTTTCGACCCGGAGTGAAGGTCGGGAGTATGTATGGACGCCCTGGATTGCCTCTTAGATGGAAATGTGGGGATATAAATCGAGAAATCAGCTCTCGACAGACCGGATTTTTGTTACGAAAGTCGCCATTTTTTTCTCTGACCAAACGACACGGTCTGGCTGCTGCCCGCCCGCAGCTACGGTTTCTTGTTGGCCCGTGTGATGAAAGAATTTTCTCCGTGGTTGTGTATTGTGTTAATGTCACGTCCTGAAATGTGTCAATGTTTACATTAAATTTCCTAAACTTGTGAGTGAAAAATATCATACATAAATGTATGATGTATATTACAAAGTCTGCCCTACTGCCTCATATTTCTTGTGAATAAAACAATACTTGATCAAATTATAATTTCATTTTAATAATTGTTTCCCTTTGTGGGATATTCGTAAAACTGATTATTAAGATTGAGTTTCATTGTCCTGTTCATTATATATAACTTAAGTGACGGTCGGTCAATGGTGATCAAACCATTTTTAATATGCAAGAATTGTCAGAAAACGAACATGAATGATTCTTACCACAGATCGTTAAGACTTTGTACACAACCTAAAAAGTGACATCTAAAAATACAACATTCCTTCCTGTTAAAAGAAAGGCACCAAAAAACAAGACAATGCAGTAAACATGTATGAGTTTTGCTGAGTTTTACATGAAAACATCACTGGTCATTTCAATTCACAGACTATTTGGGATCATTTTGAAATTAAAGGCATAGGCCTACAACACTTGCAAATCCATGCTTGAAATTAATCTTGTGGTGTTCTGTGAGACAATTTGTTTATTTTTCTGGGAGATGTTACGCTGACATCTTATGACTGATGGCATGTCTTACAAATACATTTCGGGAAAAGGGGGCAAAGAAGTGATTAATTTTAGTAACCTCTGGACATTTCTTGAAGTAGAGCTCATATTTTATAAACCCATTGAGCATCTGGACTACATTGTATTACATTGTATTACATTGTATCGCATTGTGTTAACATTGTATTACATTGTGTTACATTGTATTACATTGTATTTATTTCCAGATGAACCCATAAAACCATAGAATGCTCAGGCAATTTCATGCATGTCTTACAGAACAGGTTGGACTGTTCAGGGACTTAAAGTTAAAAAAAAAAAAAAATTATAGGTGAAAAAAAAAGGAACAAAAATAACAAATCTGTGCAACTAACTATCAATCAAACTTACTTTTTCATTAGCCCTAGGCATTTATGCCAGTAAGCTTTTTGAATCCTCAAAAATTAGGCTCTACTACTTTGACAATTTAACTGGGCAAATAAGAAAGTAAAATCATTTGTTTGACTTACCAAACTAGTTGGCGACATATTGTATGTTGTAGATAGAGGACAGGGTTTTGAATTTTTTAGGTAATTTGGGGGTAAAAATGATGAGAAAAGGCAACATGAAAATAAAGACAGCGTTTACTGTGAAGTACCGTGAATGCGCAACATTGCTTGGCACCAAATGTAAAATGCAATTTCTACCCCCCAAAAAAACTGTTCAAAATTTAAGGTGTCATTGGAATTGAGAAAAATCTGCTTTAGTTTCAAAAAGTGATTTTGGAATGTTAAACGCCTTTGACTCTAATTTGACCAAAAACACAATGGGGGGCCCTACACTTCACAATCGCCCAAAAATGGACCACTGAGGTCCATGTAAACACTGGACTCCATAATAATGATATTGAAAAATGAATCCTTCAACAAAAAATCACACAAGCACGTATTTGAGGTTATGGGAGCGTATGGGTTAATTCATACGGAAAGGAAATTGTAAATTTGCTAACATTACAAAGGAATTACATGAAGGGAACACTCGAAAATACAATGCTTAAGTTCCCTTGTTGAGTTCAGCCAGGCATGTTCACTGACTAATGTACAGTGGATAAAATGGTGTTCACATTGGTCAGTACAAAAAGACCATTACAAAAAGCTCTCACACAAAGCAGGTGGGGTGGGCATTTTAGCCAGAAATAAACAATAGACCAATTACTGAGCATTGATGTCCCCTGGCTTAAGAGAGGATTAGTGTCAATGGGGGAGGGGCTTATAGGAATTAGAATGATTGACAGGGGTCAGGGGTCAGCAAACAGTGGGGAAAGTTGGTTCACGTGAATAGTCCTAATGAGAAAAAGATTGACTGTTGCACCATGTGACAAATCTCTTTTGTGAGTTTGTGAGGTTCTGAAAAGAAATGAGGGGGAAAAAACTCAATGGTTGGGAGAGTAGGCCCTATGCTCTGCCCATCTTCAGGATACTGAAGGGATTCCAACGGTGAAGAGGTGAAGCGATTGAATCGTTGTCTGTATTACACTGAGAACGTACTTGTCCCCCAAAAATCCCTTTATTTTGAGTCTTTGAAACCTGCTAGGAAGTGTATGTAGGATTTTGTAGAACTGAGGACAGTAGATTGCAGCTAGTGTTACTTTGCATTGGGCTTAACGACCCCATGAAATTGCAGTACAGAGAATGTGTTATTTCTTCATAGTGAATTATGTACAGGATGGTTTCTGGGGCAAGTCCAGGAATTTGCATACGCTATGTCCCATATGTAATGAAAGTGTAACCCTCTTAAGATATTCATGGGCTTCAGTGTTTTTTTATTCTACTGTTGGGCATCTGCAAGGAGAATATCCACAAGACTTGTTATGTTATTAGTCTTTGTGATGATTATGAGATTGAAGAAAACATGGTGTTATGGGACAAAAAGGACACCTTTTCTTGGACTTAACCTCTAGCCAAAATTTTTAGGGGTTAGGGTTACTAATGAAATAGACTACATTGGATTATAGTTGTGGAAGTTGGGAGGACAGATTTTCCCTGAAGACTGTAAGCATTCTATTGATTATTAGAAATAGAATTCCATGGAATTCCATTGGAAGCTTTGCTAATTTAATGCAAGCTTTGCTTTACTGATTATGGCTGGCTGGGCTAAATTTTAATTTCAAAGACACCTATGGGCTCTGTGAACAAGTACCCCTTCAACGGCCAGAAAAGGAGAGTTGGGGGAGACCTAGACTGGTTCTCGGTCCATTCACTGCGTATTTCAAATGATCCAAAGTTATTGGGGCAGGGATTAGTCTGGGAGACCATCGCAAGTTCATTTGAACGTATTCGCGCCAACAACGCCTCGTTTTCAACGTTTTAAACGTAGTATTTTGCTTGTTTCTGATTTAATGTGCCTGTGCATCACAGTATTGTCACGTCTTGATAATCTTCAATGGGAGATCCATCATCCCAAGTCAGTTTCACAGCCTGTGACCGTAACTCATGATTAAGGCAAATGCAGCAGTTGCATACAAAACCCATCAGTACCCATGGAGCTATATTAAATTACTACAGCACTGACTTGATGTACAAAGTGATGCCTGCTGGGCGATCCATTTTTGTGCACAAACTAGATGGAAAACTCCAAATTTTGTACGGCTATTTGCATATCTGTGTTTATATTCTATACAGGTGCGTTATTGAAGCCGATGCGCCCAAAACCAAAACGCACTGTGATTAAATGAGCATTTCATTTTGCTCTGTGCAAACAATGCAAACATGTGCGCGTATCTGCTGCAGATGATTTTGCCATGACGTTTTTTAAACTAAACGTGATGTGTTTAAGTTGTTTGAGTATACATGCGCGTTGCATTTAGATTTCACTTTCTAAACTTACTCCATCTAACTGTATTATGTTTTACAAACACGCACATAAATTAAAAATGTCTGCGCCCAGGACGACTTCAGAGTATCTCCGCGCGAAAAAAATGAGGAATTAGCTCTCTAGAAATTAAATTATGTATACATGTACCAGTAGCTCTGTGTCAGTACCACAGACCCATCCTTGCATGTACATAAACTCCAAGCCCGGCAAACCATCCCCAAAATAAACATTGACTTCTCGGTGAACTGCTTGCAAAATTCCAATAAAATCATAATGCAAGTTGCTCAGTGATGCACCGGCCAACTTAGTGAGATATTTATGGGGACTTTGCAAGCCGTTGAACTATTTCCTGTAGGTAATTGATAGCCGGCCATTAAACGCTTGTCGGACTTCCTACATGAGCCTGTCTGATATTTCCAGGGCCCCGCCCCCATGACCTACATGTGGGTTGAGTTTCAGCAGCTGGACGAGGTTCTTGTGATCTGTCCGCTGGGTTGGCACCTCCTCATGCTCCAACCCCCAATGACCTTATGTTACTGCTGGATCAACTTCAGCTCACACTGAATTTACATGTAGGAACTTGTGGATGTTATTGAACCCTAACTCCAAAGGCATTTTAGCAAGGATGCAACCTCAATCCTGCAAAATCCTCCAACTGCCTCCATGTCAAAATTGCATGTATAGGCTCAATCCTGCAAAATCCTCCGTTATTTTGTGAATGTGGTCCTTGGAGAGGTGACCACTGCCTCAATCCTGCAAAATCCTCTGACAGCAATCACTGTCAATATGTTCAGGCAGAGCCAGTGACATCTTGGAGCAGTGGGGAGGATTTCAAGTATAATCTGGGCCTAAAGTTATGCAAGACTGAGCATAAACAACACAAGGTCCGGCCCAAGAACTTGACACAGTGCATTCTCCAAAATCAGACGCACATTTTTGCCGTATAGCCTCAATCCTGCAAAATCCTCAATTTTGCAAAGAGGATTTGGGAAGGTTAGGGTTAATTTTTCCTATGTAAATTTAATGCAAAATACAGTTAAACTGGATAGTTTGTGTTATAAAACATTTTTTTGAACAAACTTTTCATTGACCTGCAAATATACACGTTGTGTGTAGTTTTTTGGTAACTACCCTCAAACCAGCACTAACCAAAATCGGATTAAAATCTGAAATCTGAAAAATTAAAAAAAAAAATCTAAAATTAAAATTTTGCAGTCTTGTGTTTGACAAAATACAGTTTAACTGGATAATTTGTGTATTAAACGATTTTTGAAAAACTTACATACATGTTTATGTTTTCTTTGATCAGCAAATATCACGTGTGTATTTTTCGGTAATACCCTCCAACCAACACTAACCAAAAACCTGGTTATCGAAACCTGGAGTGATTATAAGGATGAAACAGGATAATTTGTTTTTAAACCTAATAATTCTGGGTTTTGTTGGTTTTAAAGCGTTGTATTTCCTATGACCAATCAAACAAACTTAACATAGACCAGGATGTAAGAGCAAGGTTTTCGTCTTAAAATTGTTAACTACTATCATCCAGTTTCTTAACGTTGACAATTTTCTGTCTTTTTCTCTGCAGCGTTGTCAAAGAAGAAATTGTAGAAGATGAGGCCAAGCTGCCATGCTTCAACGGCCGGGTGGTATCCTGGGTAAGAAGACACACATTTGCATTATTTATTCAAATTTATGCTAATTGATCAGTCGTTTGGGCCTTTTTTAACTTTAAAAATAAGGTGCATGAAGTTGAAAGGGTCGATTTTGTTAAAATTTGTTTTAAGTTTTTGTTCTGTTGCTGATAATGTGGAGTTGTACTGTAGTACTTAATTTTTTTCGGGGAGGGGGATGGGGATAAAAGGTGTTTTTAATCTTTTAATGTTTAAAAATGACTTTCAGTAAAAAAAAATCACACTAATTGGAGTTTTACACAACTGTTAACTCTGTAGTAATTGTCCTTTGAATGAAAAGAAAGCAGTACAATACTCTTTCAGAACATTTTAATGGAGGAAAAAAAATCATATTCACAGAATAGTAAACCACTGAAATGACTCGTTAAATGTCTAATCAAATCTTTCTTGACAAAAAAACACCTGCCATATATGCTTACCTCGTTATATCCCCAAATGTACAAGTGAATCTCCATAATTGGTTTGTGTAGACAACCCTCCGAACCCTTCACAACATCCCATCCGATCAATCAATCAATCAATCTTTCCACAAATTTATTTTTCAGCACTCGCACTTCTTTTTAAGATGTCCAGTGCAGCCGAGATCGGGATTGCTTCCTCATTGATCCTTGCATTTTCATTTGACCCCTGCCTTCAGTACCAATCGTTCAGTTGATGGAGGGGGAGAGGTGGGGGGGGGAAGAGATGACAAATTAATTTCAGCGGGAGCCAAAGTGTGAATTACTCACTAGCTTTTTTTTTCTTCCTATCGCGGCGTGGTGTGCATGGAATTCATTCCCGGCATATGCCGCCTCCTGATAAAAAGATAAGCAGTCTTGCGCGCATCCGGTAAAATTCATGTGTACGTTGTTGGGTATGAGAGAACAAGACCTGATTTCACGGTGCTGATAAACAGGAATAAATACTTAGCAGATTTATCTGCTGAGACCGGTTTCAAGAAGTATGTACAGAACATCCCATTACATTTTGGCTGGTACTCCGTTTTTGCTGTGCACGTATTTACTGTGCTTAGAAGCTCTGTGATGTTGAGTTTATTGACCCCAAACTCCTTAGAAAATGTTTGGAAGATGCAGGTGGAGCAAGTAAAAACCTCATACTATGAAAGATTAACCCCAACCACCCCAACCCTTCAAAATCCAACTGCTTGTTTTGTTGGAATCTGTTGGAGTGAGTACTGCACAAGTAAACTGATTATGCTTTACATGGGGTCAGGCATATAACCATAATCCGAGTCCAACAGTTTGGGTGTCGAGTTTACCTTTATGGTGTTGGACTTTGCAAGAGTGAGGATGGTTCCTAGTAAATCACTCAAGGGGGTAGGGGTTAATGAACTTGTAAATTTGATAAAAAATGATAAATTTAGAGAATAGATGGTAGAGCAACCCTGTTCTTAACAATAGGCTTGAATCCTGCCCTGAACAATTTAATATTAGACTGAGCATCAAATCTAAAAAAAGTGTTTAATGCAATCAATAGTAATAGGCCTATAGCTTTGTACATGTAAAGTAAACATTGACATTTTTTATCTGGACCATGTCCCACTGAAATGTTAAGAATTCTAATAATTGAACAAATCCCCTCAAAGCATGTCTCCATTTCTAGGCTTGTCCCTAATTTTTTTAATTAAACGTCTTCTCACGTTTCCTCTTATAAATGGACCTGCCAAACCCTGTCCAAGTGCCGATACAGAGACCAACCCATGCTTGTTTGTTGGTTCAGCAACATTGATTGTTTGTCTGTGTGTGACCCCTTGCCATCCGCGGATCATGTAAAGGCGTGTGTAAATTGCATATGGACTGGTGCCCCTGTGTGTATGTGTACATGTGCATGTAAACGACGGTGATTCAAGATGGCAGCTATGAGTCAGTGCTAATGTGTTAGTCACAGTGAAGCGAAGTTTTGTTTTTTCTTCAGTGAGATACTTGGAAAAAAAGGTCAAGAGCCATTGACTGATTTAGATTCAATTTTAGGCAGTGGACATTTGGGTCATTCCATAAATTTTGAGTCCAAAGTGTGACATTTTCCCTGGCCCTGTTACCTCGGTACTATGTAATTTGCCATTCAAGTATCATTAAGAATGACTTCAAATATTTTATTTATTTGTTGGGTTGGCCATTTTCTAGTCATAGTCTCTCTTGGAGGAAGACTGCGTTAATGAGTGCATCAGAATTATGAAATCAAAGATGTCAGATGTAACAGGGACAGGAAAAAAGGTGGACCTAAAATTGATAGAATGAACCAGTTAGGCCCCCCCCCCCAAAAAATAGTTGGTCTCTGGTCAGCGCACGTTGATTTTAATCATGCGCGTCAACCTTTTTTTCCCTTCAAATTTACCACGGAAGCTACAACAGCGCCCTCTATTGCCGCACCTCCTCAAATGTTTGTGGTAAGGAGCACCAAGGAATGGGGAAATTGCGTCAAGGTGAATGATGGAGGGCACCAAGGCAAATTATGGAGGACACCAATGTATATGAGGACATAAAAAAGCAAAATAGTACCTACCTTGTCTGTACAATTCAAGCTTGAAAAAAAACAAACAAAAAAAAACATCCCAAAAAAACGCGTCGTCGCATCAATTCCGGAACTTCGGTCTGACCAGAGACCGACTGTTTTTTTTTGGCCTTACATGTATCATCAATTGCACATCTGCATGGGCCCGATTGCTCTCTGCTAACCCCAGATTTCCGCGCAGCTTACGCTCACCGTTCTGTGCTCACCCGGTAAGCACAGAATCCTTAGTGACAGGATGTTTATGTTTGCATAAGCCAAAATAGAGTATGAGTACTTTGCCATGAGTTTGAGTATGAGTACAAGCACTTTGTCATGCGTACGAGTACAAGGCCATTTTTTCCCATGAGTTCTAGTACCTAGTACCAAAAAAATGTACTCAAGTACAAGTATGAGTACAAATTTATACAATTACTTTCCACAAGTAGGAGCGAATTTCAATGTGTCATATGTTTTTCGAGGGCTTTTTGCTGTCAAACTAGGCATTAAACAAATGCAGAAGCCTCCCAAACAGTAGAAAACTGGTTGTCTTCCTGCATGGAGCGAATACGAGTACCAGTACTCTATCATGAGTACGAGTAATCGTACGGGTGAACTATTTCTTGCGAGTAAGAGTATGAGCACTACAAGACTGCAATTTTGTCAATGTTCACATCGCTGAAATCAGTAATTGACAAAAACTTTCCAGTACCGGGAAAAAAAATTGACTATTTAGATTTTGATTAACACCTACTTGTATGGAGTGAAGTCTGCGGCTTACCATTTTTAATAGTCCTGCATATTATTCATTCATAAGGCCAAAAAAAAAATAGTTCTGCTTCCATATGATTGTACACACACAAAAATTGCCCCCCCCAAAAAAAAATTTCCTACCTACCTACCTACATGTACCCTATTTTAGAATGCCATGTAATCGGAAGCAGAACTATTATTTTGTTGGCCTAAACTGTTCTGCCAGTGTAAAGGGCCTACATTTATACACCACATTATAACATTGAGCATGATTGAACATGTATGCCTGCACTTAACACGTTCTTTTAGACACCTATGCCGCTTTACAATGAAGAGTAGGTTAACATCATGTACCGTTAAAGCTTTTATGCGACTGTGACAATTAAGCCCCGTTGTGCCGTAACAGATGAATCGCCCAATGCATCAAACAGTGAAAGCGTTGCATGCTTTTCAGTAGGCTTACACATGCGTACCTTAACCTGCATTGACAGAAGCAGCTTGTCAAATCATAAGAAAAATACAAGTCCCCCCCATTACGGCATCTACACATTTATTATCAACCCCTTTTTGGGGGGTATTGTCCATTGAACAATTATCATGTTGGTTCTACCCACCCCAGCCCACTTTGCCTCAATTATATTTCCATTACATTGCTTGCTTGGCCAGGTTCAAGTTGAAAAGCAGGGGAAAAAAGCTAGATTTGTTTTTTAGATAATGATCAGTGCGTTTGTTCTGTGGGTGGCAAAGTCAAGGCGTAGCAGTTCACACCGACTTGTTTTTGGTGTCGTCCGTGATCGACCGTTGGCCGGTCGTCGGATTTAATCATACTGTGGCTTTGATAGAGCGAGGGAGTTAGCAACAGTGACATTTCAGCCAAGCAATTGAATGCGCTCAATGGAGGGGGTTTATAATCAAAGCAATTACGGGGTAATACCGTATTAGCCAGTACGACCTTATTGAAGGATTTTGAATACAATTTCATTCGGCTCGTGAAAAATGTGTGTCCACACGTTGAAACGTACTGGTTAGTGAAATCAATTCGACAATGACAATTAGACGGTGGAAATTATTATATGGAGACCAATTCTTCAATCAAAACGTTTGTACAGAAGGCCTAACAAAATTTTGTGCATCCACAAAAATACTACATGTATGCATACATACAATGTACTTTCCTTTTCCTGTGAAATTTACACATTACTTCAAGTACATGCAAAATCAAATGGAATACAAATTAGTGTATGTAACTATTTCTGCATGTCATATTTGTTCATGTTTTTGTCTTTAACCCTAACCCCCTAGGCCCTTTTGGCTATAGAACCATCCTCAATCCTGCAAATTCCTCCAATTGCCACCTTGTACAAATTGGATTCAGCCTCAATCCTCCAAAATCATCCGTTATTTCTTGCATTTGTTCAGTGGAGGGGTGACAATTGCCTCAATCCTTCAAAATCCTCCAACAAACACTGTTAATGGGTTGAGGCAGTGCCGATGACATTCACAAGCAGTGCGGATGAAATCAAGCATAATGCAGAGCTCAATTATGCTTGACTGAACATAAACAATGCAGGGTACAGCCTACGATCTTGACACAATGCAATCTCTAAAATCAACCAACACTTTTTTGCCATTCGGTCACTATCCTCCATAATCCTCCAAAACCGCCAGGAGGATTTTGGAGGATCGATGATAGTTGGGGTTAAACCAGGATTAAAGCCGTTGAT